GTATTTGACTGCAACCTTGGTCTTGGCCCAGCGACAGCGAACAGAAAGGAACTTCTGCTTCTGGTGCGTGCCAGCCGGGCGATTCGAGGTTCACACTCCGGTGGCGTTCCTGGAAGTGAATCCTACACTACGTTGTACACTACAGGAGCCCCTGCAGCTCCGTCTGGCGAGGCTTGTCTCCTCGAGGAAGGTTTATCTCGCAGCGCCCCATTCTGGAACCTTGGCGCGGCCGCGCAGGGTAAGCCAGTAAGACAGTCGCTCCTATGGATCTGAGGAAATCCTACCGGACCATGCAACCGAAGCAGAGCTGGGAAGAGCCTCCGCTCAATGCCGGCAATGTCACATTGGATGTATGGAGTTAAGGTACGCTATAAATATATGCGGCACAGACACACCACACGCAAGATGGTAGTGTAACAAGGGCTTGAGCTAGGAAGTACCCGTTGGCAAGCAAGGACCGCCACGCGAGAGGGATCAAATTAAGGGAGCTCGCGGGAAGAAAACAGCCATGAGAAGTTTGCGGATGATTATACACCTGACAAAACCAAGCTGCAGTGTCTTCCGTGTCCTGTTTCGCAACTGGGTCCATGTTGGTCTCTACACCGCAGCTGTGCAAATCTTGAAAGTCGTTGTTGCTGGGGTTGACTGTGAGTTGCAGGTCCCTTCAGTCAATGTAACACGAGGAATCCAACAACACATGGAGACAGGGCAGGGGTTTGGGACGCAGCCCTGTTATTCCCCTTCTTCTCTTTTTGCTCCCTCGGCCGGTTTATTTTGCGAGTGCTTGCTACCTTCGGTTTCTTTGCCCCCTGTTTCGTTTTCCCATCCCTAATTCTTTTTACTACCTATCTCATGTCTTCTCTCAAGGAAAAGAACTGCCGAAAAATATGACGAGAGAAGGTATTGTCGGAATCACGTGGATGAAACCGAAAACTATTGGTTTTTTTTTTTTTGGCCGGGGGATCTCGTTTACGCGCCAATCGAACACAACGGGAAAAAGCAAAGTCGAAAAAGCAAAATAAAATAAAATAAAATAAAAAGAAAGCAAAAGAAATATTGCTGCGTAAAAACCAACTACCGGCCGGCCAACTAACCTCATTGTCGTCATATTTCCCGTTTGTATGCGCACGTGCACGGCCAGCTGGATCGGTTCATCGGGAGCGTTGGGGTTTTAGCTCGACGTGCAAGCGCCTGGGCCAGTGTCTGGATTCGCGAGATAGTGCCACATAGGCAACCATTTTCGGGAGTAGACCAGGGCGGGGGGAGAGGGGGGGGAGGGGGTGGACCGTGTCGAGCAGCAACACTGGCTCTGCCGGATCAAGTGGAAATTGGCAGTGAATTGAAGACAGAATCCTTGGGCTTTGCCGGGGGCAGGGAGCTTGGTTCACGAGATGATGAGGGGGGTGGGATCTGCCGACAGCATGTCTGGACCTTTGTTTCACTGTTTAATCTCCTGGCCCTCGAACAGTCGAGTCTCAGTCAGGAGACATCCCAACGGCGGTCTGTTGGTTGTGGGATTGGATGCAGGCTCACCAACAAGAGTTGGCAGAAATATTGCATCGAGAAATATCACCAGCAAATTTAGCCAGCAGAGCAGAGTGGACCAGCGCTTGAGGTATGACAATCCGTAGGTGATCATATCTCGGTACTGCGAGCATCGTCGATGCAACCCTGATCAAGCATCGACCCGAGAGGCGGAGGGGTGGCTCTCGTGTGGTGGCCGCCGCCCATGTGTTTTGTTAGTGGCGGCACAGGTACATAGTTGCTGCGAGATGCAACAGCAACAGGCTTTCTTACCACGGTGCAGTACGTGCGTATGCCCCCCCCCGGACGTACTGGGTACTTCTCAATCCAAGTTGGAGAGACAGTGGAGAAATATCGGCGTGCCCAGTTTCCTTCCATTTTCTAGCCCCCCCTCTATCGCGCGGGTTTAACGGCCTAGTGGGCCTAGTGGACAATCTAGTGAAGAGAAGGGAAACGAGTGATGGACGAGGGGACAGCGTTGTTGGATCCTGAGTGGGATCTGATAGTTCGTGTAGAGTCAAGTCGAGCTGTGACGTTGGCGGTGTTGCCGGTTGTTGGTTGTGGCAGCCCGGCTGCAGGATCCGAGAAAGCCCTCCCTGATGGAGCGCGTATTTGGTGAGGGGATCTTGTGGGTGTGTGCCACGGCCCACGGCCCACACGGATTGCTGATGAATCCCGACATGAGAGATCCCAGAGCATTGGGATCGAACTAACGACGACATGCCGAGCGCGCCTTATTAGCGGCTGTTATAGCGTGTGTGCATAGGCCACTACCTCGACGCTCCAAGCCCTTCTTGACAGCGGCGCAAGTCACTAACTGGCACTAATGACTTGTTAAAGCGGAGGTCAGCTTCTCTAGGAGTGGACTTGAGCAACAGAGAGGTAGTAGTGCAATTGAGTACTCGGAATACACGGACAGACTCCAGAATACAGATCATACAAGAGGTTGTAACTTGTGTGAACTGCCTAGGTAGGTACGCATACAGATGATCCTCCCGGTTGGGGCGATGACGAGATCGGACGAGATGAGCGGGTCTGAGCAGCCGCTCTCCCGCTGGGATTCATGCCTCCGCAACCATGCAAAAAGGGACCATGGGCACGAACTACAAAGTACGCATGCAATATTTGGTACGGCAATAACAATAATAACAACGAATAAATAAGACCCCTCCAATCCCGGTATTGCTTGTATGAAATGGTAAAACTGATAAGTTAACCGTAAACATATTGGGAAGGGAGCACCCTGTCAATATTTGGACATGGAGCAGCTTACATTAAACCTAATAAAATAAGTTGGGTAATCCATGCACTGCACTAGTCAAGCCACACGCCCTCAACCCAAGAATATTTCGCACGGCAACTCCAAGAGTTCCCCGTCCTCGCGTCAATGCTGGCATGCCGAACCCCGCCTAAATTTCCCAAGTCCAGAATTCCCACGCCTGTTCAGTGGACTACCTCCGCCACCGTGTAAGCATAGTACGGCGACTACGCCAAATACAGGCTGCGCTATTGCATTGTATCATCGTATCATGCTAAAGGGACCACCGTCGCTTGTTGTGCGCTAGCCTGTTGGTACTATGTGGACGATCTAGGATAAGATCTAACAAGTTGGTACTTGGATATTAATAAGGGAGCGGGATATCTGGCCAGGTTGGTCGCTCCTTAATATCCTTGACCCTGTCGGACCATGATCGCCTACCTGGTACATAGCTTACCCTCGTCCAGTAGGGTAGTAGTGTTCGCCGTATTCGTCTGAATGTGATCCGTACAATACCTACTTTACAGCTTACAAATTGTTGGTTCAGGGACCTCCATCCCTAACTGAGGTATTGGGTATTCGCTGTCGCAAGTTCCGTCCCCATCACCCGCCAAAGATGAGCGAGCCCTAAGGGAAAATGGGATGCCATCCGCCCCATCGCTCATGCTCCGGACCTCAACTTGTGGACGCAAGAGACGAGACAGAGCTATACCTAACAGGCAAGAGGTCCGGAGCCGGCTCGATATGGCCGTTCGGTGTTTCCAATCTCCCCGTTCCCAGCTCCCCAAAACAGGCCCCTTGTCGCGGGTGGCATCATGTACGGAAGGAAGCGCCTATCTCTAGCTTACATGGGGTGGTGTGTATTTTGCAAAGTATGTATGTACCTACATACATACATATTGGGACACATATTGGTACACCACCACCACCACCCAAGACTGCCCGCACGAGGAACCGCCTCCACTTTCCCTAACTCTCCACGATTCCGAGCCCCAGTCGCCGTCATAGCATTCAGTGGTACGGATCCGTACACGCTAGGCTACCCTGGCTCCAGATCACGGCCCCTCCTCTTTCACACACGCCCCTTGCAGGGGCCTCGTTAAGTAGTGTACTGAGTAGTTCGTACACGGGGTTCGCTACACCCCCCCCAACTTACCCCCCCCCTCCCCCCAGGCCTAGATTAGGACAGTAGGGTCCATAGTACATACACACGGATCATGATTTTACGCTACGGGGGAATGAAGGGGAAAGGCGTTGTTCGTCTCCCCAAGAGACATCATTGCTGGGCACAATGTGCCCCATAATCCCCCCTCTTCTCCTCTCGCCCTAGTAGCAGGAAGAGACAGTCCATGCCGCTGTGCCGAAGCCCAGCCAACTTCGGACTAGCCGTCCAGCTCCTCCCCCAGGAAGTGGTTCCAGGTGTACCTAGGGTACATCAACAAAGACGACGGCACTTGGAGGAAGGGCTGAGCACCGCAGTATTGTATTCGTATGTACATTACTAATATCCTGCTGCTACGCTCAAGCCCATGTAATGAGAACTTACATACCTTACCTACCTACATACATACGTACATACATACATACGCCGCACATACACATACACACTTACAGAACCAACGTAGGACAGCTTATTTCCAGACGGCTTCCTTCTCCCTCGTCCCACTGGCCCCGATCCTCTCTATTCTCACGGCACCCTGTCCCCTAAGAAGTGCCCCATAGGATAAGGATAGAACTACAGCGTCCAATCCCTACCCGCCTCTTCTACCCCCCTCTTTCCCCCCCCCCTTTCAGCCCCCCAACAGCCACGACTTCTCACCTTGTGCTGCTGCTGCCCTCCCTCTCAGCCAAGCAACTCCTGAATCCTCGCCGACTCCCGGGCATGTAGACAGGCGGAAGAACAAGAACAAGGACAAGGCATCTGGTAGCTGCTTCAACAGGACCAACCGACACACTCTCTTCGGCAATTACCCGGAATTGGGACCTCGCGTCTCCTGTGTGCTCCTGCTGCGGGCCTTGGCGCCATGCTGGCGTAGACCGTGGCCGCCAACTGCACCTCCCGTGAACCTTTATCCGGCGGCTTGCCCATCGATCGATCTGATCTTGTGGCCGTTCTTGATCTGCATCGACAACGTTGGACCAACATTGGACACCGCAGATCCTTGCTGTTGGGACATGACACACACATCGTCCCGTTCAAGCCTCGACATCGTTCTCAATGGGGATTTCAGCGTGCCTCGAACCTCGACATCGTTTGGCCACTCTGGACACTCCGCCTGAGCTGGTGAGTCCAGGAACTTATGTATATCAACCTCGACAGTCTGAGGATCGCCCCTGGAACTCGGTCGTTCCCGTCTCTCCCCCCATGTCCAACTATGATTCGGCCACCAAGACGGAAATGTCTTCAGGGAAGAGTCACGACGACGCCCAAGGCGGCCCGAGACAGCAACTTCCATCCCTGAGCAGTCTGTTCGGACCACCATCGCATGTCCGACCTCTGCACTCTCCACTGTCGGACCGCCCTGGCTCCTATGCGTCCTTGTCGCCGCTTGATCGCTCGCACGTCCCGACGCCGACCATGGAGCGCTCCTACACCTCTTCGTCCTATTTCCCCTCGGCTCCGTCTTCCCTCTCACAGCCGAGAACTGCACATGAGCCCAGGTTTGAAGATCGAGGCCCCTTCCCCCCCCTTTCCAGGCCCTTCCCAGGGCCTCTGTCACCGCGGACTCGCGAGTCGGATTACCAACGGCCGGCCTCCAGCTCAGACTTCAACGGCGGGAACAGGTGGTCTGTCTACCAAGAGTCGAGCAGAAACGAGTACTCGTTTGGCAGTCGCGAATCTCTCGCGTACAAGGCTTCCCAGGAAAGGGTACCACAGCTGCCAGGGCCAAAGCGCGAGGGTGACCCGGGAATGGGGGCCTACGGAGACCAGCGGACGCCCCAGGGACCCGGCCAGAACCCCCCCTCGACGCCCGCAAGCACCGTCACCTCCGAAGGGGTCCCCGCGAAGGATGGGCTGGGCCCCAAGATCTGGACGGGAACCCATTTCCTGCCCAGGTTTGTGCGGGCAGCCGAGGTTCCCGGAGAGGGAATGTGCTACTTTTACGACGACGGGAGTCACTGCAAGACGATGATCGACGGCGAGCCCGTGACCGCCCACTGGGGGGTCACCAAGGCCGGGAAGCCGAGGAAGAGGCTCGCGATCGCTTGCGTCACCTGCCGGGAAAAGAAGATCAAGTGCGACCCGGACTACCCCCGATGCGTGCAGTGCGAGAAGTTTGGCCGGGTCTGCAAGTTTAAGAACGCGTACGTTGCTTGTTAGCCGTGTTTTCCCTCCCTCTTTGAACGGTGCCTTTTTTCCTCTACCTCTGCCCAGTATCACTGACACGGAACCCCCAATCTCGTGTAGCCCTCGCGGAGGTCACAATACTTCCCCCTCGACTCCGCCCGCCGAGCTGGACGATTCCCGGCGGCTCGGGCCCCTAATCAGACCGCCGCCCGACCATCAGCGTCCAGGCAGCAATTCCAGCGACTCGGTTTCCCCCCGGACGATCCTCCGGCCAACAAGCCCCGAGCGGTCGACTGTTCCTCAGAAGCGGATCAGGCTTGCCTACGAGCGCTTCACACCCTCGACGGGACAGCGGTCGCCGGTTGCCTCGGCCCCAGACGCCTCGCGGTCGAACCTGTCGTGGCATCAGCCCGAACTCCCTCGCATCCACGAGGACGTCTTGTGCCGAGCTTGGCAAACTGACCCGTATGTCTCCGACCCTCAGTCCGTGACCAACACCATCACCTCATTCTTCGTCCACGTCGATGCCGCAGCCCTCCGCTTCCTGCCCGAGAAGGCGTTCAAGTCGTGGGTTCAGACCGCTCACAGAAAGTCGCCAGAAGACCTGATGCTGGTCTATAGCATCCTCGCCCTGGGCATCGCTCTCTCTGGCGGGCCCAGGAACATTGCCCACGAGTACTCGCAGGTGGCCAGGTATGCCACCGAACACGCGGCCCTGTCCCTGCAGCTCGTGCAGTCGAGGATCGCCCTCGCTCTCTTCTACCTCTCGGCTTCGCGGCCGAGCGACGCAAACGACATGACGAGCGCCGCCATCTCGGCCGCCACCTGCCTGCAGCTGAACCTGGAACTGGACCAGTCGCAGGACGGCAACCTGGCCGTGTTCCCCTACAACCTGACCCGCGTCGGCTTTGCCGAGTGCAGGAGGAGGACGTTCTGGTCGTGCCTCATCCTCGAACGGCTGAATGGTCTGTTCCCGACTCGCGTCGGCATCATCAACACGGAGGACATCTTCATCCGCCTTCCGGCAGACATCAGAAGCTTTGAGGACCAGGTGGAGGTGGCGACCCCGGCGTTCGAGCCTCATTTCTCCTTTACCCAGCATCAACAGTCCGGCGTGGGCATCATGGCGCATCTCGTCCAGATCGTGGCTCTATGGGGAGACGTCATGGCCTCCATCTACCGGGTCGCGCTCCGGGGCACGTATTCCAGCACGTATTCCAGCATGGACTCGTTCAAGTCCCACGACAACATCATCGCGCGCCTGGAAGACTGGAAGTTCTCCCTGCCGCAGCGCCTCCTATTCTCGGCCGCCAACCTCGAAGCAGTCAGCCAGGAAGACAAGGGCTCGTACATCCTGATGCACCTCCTCCACCACCTCAGCATCATCAAGCTGCACCGGCACATCCACCCGCGCCTCCTCCGGTCGCCGCCGCCGACGGCCCAAACCAACCAACACCAGCACTCTCGCACGGCGCAGGAGCACGCCAGGAAGCTGATCGAGGTGGCTTGCGCGGTGGCCAAGGACGGCAGCCTCGGGCGCTCGACGATGCCGCCGCCGTTCTCGAGCTACGCCATCCTCGAGGCCGTCGACGTGCTGTCGGCCGAGGGCGCGCTGGCGGACCTGCCGCGGCTCGTCGACGGGCTCGCGCTCGCGCGCAGCGTGCTCGAGATCCTCGCCACCACCTGGGAGGACGCAAAGGTCCACAAGATGGCCATGGACCACCGCCTGGACAAGCTGGCCGCCCTGCGCGACCGCGGCGGTGGCCATGCCGACGGCGGCCAGGCGGGCCCCGGCCAGGCGGCCGTGCCGGGGGTGCGCGTGTTCCTCCGCGACGGGCAGCCCGACAGGGGACTGCCCGCGGCCACGTGCTGGCAGATGTGCGAGGCGCTGGAGGTGCGGTTCCCCAAGGAGATGGACTGCGTCTATGGGAGCATCACCCCGCTGCACCGGCCGAATTAGGAATATTTCCCCGGCATGGCGATATACCCACTCAACACACTCGGGTGGCAGATTTTATCATGTTTCTCTCATTCTCTCAGCATCTTTTCCTTCTCAACACTGTATTTTTCCCAACTTCACTTACAAGTCTCCTTTTTTGTCTTGGTTTCATGTTCCTTCAGCTATTCTTGGGAGGTGGAGGGTCTTTTGATTTGCATTACCATGGCGTTGGATGTTTCGGGTCCTCTGTTCAATTAAAATTCGGTACGAGAGAGTTTCATGGAAAGAGCGAGGGTTGGACAGACATGGAAGCCTGTCGGTTCGGCAAAGAGAGAGAAAACACGCGAGACGGCCGCTATCCTGTTCATGAACAACAGATACCCTGTACATTGCTTTCTCACATACGATAGGAAGAGGGGGCCCTCAGTGTATGTATTCGTAGGAGGGAAGGGAGGGGGTTGGATGCGTAGGTAGGCTTGGTCGGATGGGAAACCTTTCGTGGTTCCGTTCGTTTCCCCTGCCTGCGCACTTTTTCTCTCTCATTCGAAACTACTCATTTTGCTACCCAGAACTGTCCATATTACTTGTCATGGTGACAATACTGCGCCTTTCGTTGCCGGAAGCTGGGTTTCAGGGGTTAATATTGTACAAGTTATGAAGCAAGCACAATCGCTGTGTGATTGGCTGCGGTGTCCCAATCGGGAAGTGGCAACCACAACCGTCTTGGGCCCAATGCTGCCTTACATAATCAGTCATGGATTTCGATGTAGCTTTTAGCGGCGCCGTACAGTGCACAGACGAACATCATATACAGTAGTTGAGTGAGTGAGCAAGCCACCCCCCAGCAAAAGAAGGCAAACCAGCAGGAAAAGAAAACTGCCTCGGTGGTTCTGGCTGTGAGGACGATGGGAAGGGAGATTTGCAGCAACAAATGGCATTTCCGGACAAGCCTGTAGCCCAACTGCTGGGTGCAAATGGTAATTGAAGCGTCTCAAAAGATTTCTCATCTCACGCCTCAGGCCTCAACTCACAAGTCTATCTGGGGTTACTTGAGTTCCTCATGATGATATATTTACCCACCCCTTCTTCTCATATGCAACCCCCCCCGGACACTCTCTGAAATACCCCCGCCCCAGTTTCTGTCCCCGTCATCTTCGTTCCACTTACTGACCTCCCATCCAGGCCCCATCCACACAGTCGCCTACTCAGCCTCACCAGGCACCTACATCCTGACCGGCGGCGCCGACCGCTCCATCCGGCTCTACAACCCGGCGCCGACGACGGCCGTCCACCCGGCCCCGAGCTACATCACCGTCAGACAGCAACAGCAGCAGCAGCAGCAACAGGACCCCGGCCCCCAGCATGCCGGCGGCGGGGCAGAAGCGCCCGTCCCCGCCGGCCGCCTGATCCAGACGTTCAGCGCGCACGGCTACGAAGTCCTCTCGCTAGCCGTGGCGGCCGACAACGCGCGCTTCGTCAGCGCGGGTGGCGACCGAGCGGCCTTCCTGTGGGACGTGGCGTCGGGCACAACGTTACGAAGGTTCGGCGGCGGAGGAGCCGGCACGGGCCACGCGAGCCGGATCAACGCGGTCGCGTTCGCGGGCGAGGGCGACTCGCTAGTGGCGACGGGCGGGTTCGACACGACGGTGCGGGTGTGGGACACCAGGGGCGGGGGGGCCGGGCGGCCGGTGGCGGTGCTGTCGGGTGCCGGGGACAGCGTCACGGCCGTGGCGGTGCGGGGCGCCGAGGTTGTCGCGGGCAGCGTGGACGGGCGCGTGCGCAGCTACGACGTGCGCATGGGCCGCGTGACGACCGACGTGGTGGGCGCGAGCGTCACGAGCCTGTGCCTTGCCCGCGACGGGAAGTCGGCGCTCGTCGGGTCGCTGGACAGCAAGGTTAGGCTGATGGATCGGGAGACGGGTGCGTGTCTGAGGACGTATGCCGAGCCGGCGTGGCGCAATGCCGAGCTGCGGATACAGTCTGTCCTCGGCGGGGGGGAGAGGTTCGTCGTTGCGGGCGATGAGCTCACGGCCGCCGGCGGCGGATCCGCGACGGGAGGCGTGGGCGTCGCCGCTGAGGGGAGGATCTGGGCTTGGGATCTGCTCTCGGGGAAGCTTGTTGCCCGGGTTCGCGTCCCCTGGGGGCCTGGCGGGAGCGACGGCCGCAAGAGGGTCGTCGGGAGGGACGGGAAGGAGAAGGAGCGGAAGAACGTGGTCAGCTGCATAGCCTGGAAGGAGGACGGGTATGGGGACCAGTTCTGCGCCGGGGGGACGTCTGGAGTTGTCACTGTGTTTGGGAGCGGTTAGGGGGGCGGGGCCTTTTGTGTGTGCTTGTGGAAGGCAAGTTGAGGATAGAGGATAGGGTGTCAAAGAGCGCAGCCGAAATCTGGATACCACGACCACGACTTGAAATCCGTTTGGACTTCTGAGGACGACCAGGGAGGGAGGGGTTCTCGTTCATTGTCTCTAGAAACTATCGCCGAGGCATGGCGCCTCCATGTAATATCTTCCTTCTTCCAAAGAGGCTTTTGATACCGGGCTGTCTATGCCAACCACTTAATGCAAAACCAGCGCTAGTCTACAGCATTAAAACATGAAGATTATAAACCACGACCTGCGCCAGACACCCTCCACACCCGACCGTAATGCCCGCGTAGTATGTATATATATGCCTGGACGTTTTTTATCAAAACAGATCGAAAGCCAAGTCCCAATAGCAACAACACCGTAAAAACTTCAACCGTAGCCCACATATTTGAACCAGTTTGGTCTGCAGTCCTCTTTGGTGAGCCAAGCCTCACCATCCGTGATGCGACCGGTTACACAACCCTTGCATTTGGGCGAGTTGGGGCAGTTGAAGAAGGGAATGTGCTGGTAGCCGATATCGCGGAACCTAGATAGGCCAACCTGTCAGTATTCTGCGACACGACATCCTCGGAAGGCGTATCATTTGGAAGTGCAGGAAACGACGTACCAATGGATCCTGCTCGAATCCTCCATCATCGCCAATGCAATGCTGTGGACGGGGGCGTCGCCCCAGCGCTCGTAGAAGAACCCGCCGGCGCGGTCCAGGTGGTTGAAGTAGTCCTCATAAGGCTTACTGCGCCAGAAGTTCATATCTGCAATCTCGAAATTGGTCCAGAAATGGCATGTCGAGTAGCCGTTTGCCTTGTTGTAGTGCTCCGGGCGGCCCTCCTTATCCGTCAGCCACGCCATGGCGTTGTTCTTGTGGATATATTCGGGATACTCGGCTATGAACTTGACGGTCTCGGGCCACAGGCTCGGGATAGACTTCGGCGCATCGTAGAGGCTGATGGTGAAACCGTAGGTCTTGTTGTGATCCTGCATGAAGCGGAACACATCGTAATCGACATCGCAGAAGAAGTGGACTTTAGGCTCGACTCGCCAGTAGTACTGTATGTTGGCGAGTGCGGGGTGCTTGTAAAACAAGCCGCTGTTCCACCGGCACATCTGATGATACGAAACCTTGTCGGCGTACTGGATCTCGTTCTCCTTCAGGATCCTGACCGACTCCATGTAAAGATCTTTGTTGATCCAAGACGGCATCTCCCAGTGCTCCTTCGGAATTAGTTCTATCAAAACATGTCAGTCCGATGCGTCACATGCCAGAAACAAGTGGCTCCTACCGTATCTGCACTCTGCATTTGTAACCTCCTTCGTCTTCCGTTTGAACTCCTCAGTAAAGGGGACATCGTTGAAGAATGTCCACGGGTAGTTGAATTTGTGGTTCCACGTGCGCTCGAGATCTCGCATAGATTGCAGCATTGTCTCCAACTCCTCATTGCGCACTAGTGATAGGATAGTAGCATTGATCCGAGCCGAGTTCTCGATGCCCGGAGCGTACGCCTCTGACGCACGATGGAGGACCCCTTCAGGTTCACTGGTAGCTGTTCGGATGCCACATGTTAGTTCGGCTGACTGACTGGGAGGACAATGCAGAGGGAACTTACGATCTAGGTTGGGATCTCTCTCGTTGCGATCCAATTCGCTGGGCTTCGTTATGGGGGTGCTAGGCTTGAAGATTTGGTAGAGGAAAAGGAGCCACATCACGATGGCCGCCAGGCCAAGGACCCTGACAGGCCGAGCAAGACCCATGACGGATAACTGTGGGATCGAAAATCGCCTTCTTAATTCGGGGTTAGACCATCGACGTTGCGGGAATGATGCGTTGGAATGGCGAGCGCTGGCAGGATTGCTGTTGGGATTCAGGAGGTGACCACTTGGAGGTGAGCGCCAACTGGAGGGAGAGCTTGATTTGAGATTTGCGGATATGCCTAATCCCGGCTGGGACGAGACGCGCCAGCAGTGCAGCCCAGCATAAAGTAAAAAAAGTTGGGGTAACAAAAAAAAGGGGCGATCCTGATAAGCGGTGCCAAGAATCCTTATCAATTGCCGGGCTCGCCGCGTCAAACAGACGCGTCTCGTCCTAAAGCCAAGCAGAGCCTCAACCGTCGTTAGCTTTCGCGGACCGCCAAGCCCAGACGATATACCCAGTATGGCCTCCTTGGCCGAGTTAGGAGCATTGACAGATGAGCTTGTTACTGTCATAACTTCAGTTTCCAACGTTTGCAACCCTCCGTTCCCTCAGATACCAGTAACTTGGCTCAAGTCACTAACACCATGTTAGTCTGACCGCGACAAGTTCAACGTTTACCGTGAATCTTCACTTCGCAGTCTTCGCTATCATACTCACCTTCGTACAAACCAGTTCGACGTTGAGAACCAGCTCATAGGGCTGGAAGAGAGGCTTCGCGTTCAGGATCGTGAGGAGCTGGCTGATGCCCTCAGAGACCGCCTGGTAAGGCTAGAGGCGCATACGACGAAATGGACACCCGAAATCCTTCATCTTCTCCTCGAGCTCTCAGATCAGCCAACACAGAAGACCAAACTGAATGATCTATATCTCCTCACACAACCCGACGAGGCAGCCCAGTACAGGCTGACATGGGGCGAGATCGCGAAAGAGGATGGATGGCACGATGACCGAGCTCTCTGGCGCAACATAGACTACGCTGACAGTTCCGACGATGCCGAATATATAGACGCAAAGTCGGATACTTTCACGGACTCCGACAGCACCTCGTTATCCAGTCCCGAGATATATCAGCGGACTAGCCAAGCTCTGCTCGTCAATCCAGAAAGTGCGGCCACGTTACAACAGGTCGTGGACAGCCAGGCATGGAGATATTCGGCACCCCCAAGGGATTCGAATGGAAGACAGCATAAAACTTCCATTTCGGACTATCAAATGCTCCGGGAAGTTCTCTTCATGCTGAGTGGCCTCCCGACTACGCTTTTCGATTCCAGTTGTCGCCCGGTCTTGAGTTATCAGCTTTCGAACATCTCTTGGGATTCGTTCAGAGCATTGATAACGTCCTTTTCGGAGTGGGGCCGCTCTTTGCAGCCGTTGCGGGCGTTTTCCGCCAGAGCGCAGGACGTCCCCCTGATGCAGGTCTTCCGCGATACGGTTCAAAAGGGCCTCCACTCTTTTGACGAACGAATCTCAGATATCCAGGCAAGACTCGTCGTGTTACACGAGGATGTGGTAGTCAGCGTGATCGACGTCCAGGCCGAATTGAAGCCATCATTGGTGCCACTGTTTGCCTTGGCCAACATCGTCCGACAGGTTGAGGAGGAGAAATATGCTCACCCTTTCCGCTTCCTTGAGCTCCTGTTTGACGCTGCCGGGGCGGCCCAGTTCGAAGGCAACGAAGCTATATATAGGCAATTGGGTGCCATGTTCTTTGATTGCTTCCATGTTTACCTTCATCCGATCCGCCTCTGGATGGAAGATGGTAGATTAATCCCCGGAGATAGGACCTTCTTCGTCTCGCAATCCGCGACGAATGTGCCTCTGAGCCAGATCTGGCATGGCCAGTTCAAGCTTCGCAGAACCCAGAGCGGTGTGCTCCACGCCCCCCGATTCCTGCAACCTGCGGCGAAAAGGATCTTCACCACCGGGAAGAGCATCAACGTTCTTAAGCATTTAAGCCGCCACGAGCTGGCGAGAGAACAGTGGACCGCGGTCGAACCAAGTTTGGATTTTGCCAGCGTCTGTGGAGTCGACATGGGACTCGCCCCCTTCCCCGAGCTGTTCAACCGTGCGTTTGACCTCTGGATTCAGAGCAAACACCATACGACCTCTGCGACCTTGCGACAGGTACTATTTGAGTCATGCGGGCTTTCCACAGCTCTCGATTCGCTTCAGCACATTTACTTGGGCTCGGACGGGTCCATCACCGACGCATTCACAGTTCCATTATTCAAGCACTTGGACACCCTGAGCCCAAGTTGGAGAGACCATTTTACCTTGACGGAGATTGCTCAAGAGGCCTTCTCGTCTTGCGTTGATTCCTACCGTCTCTTGGCCAAGGCCGATCCTCGTGGTCTCGTTCATAGTGGAATCGCATCCCGCAGCTCCGTCAGGGTCAGCCTCCCAGCCATTCGCCTGACGTACCGTCTGAATTGGTCTGTGCAGTTGGTCGTCTCGGAATCCGGTATTGCGGGCTACCAGCGCGTCTTCACGTTCCTATTACAGCTTCGGCGAGGGACCTACGTCCTGCGGAAACATTGGGGTTCTCACACCAGCGCCTCCGTGGCGCATGCCGGGGAAGCTCATCGTTTCTATTGGCTTATCCGGACGAAACTTCTCTGGTTTTGCGAAACTGTTGCTACGTATCTGACCACGATTGTGCTTGCTCCAAGCATCAACGCCATGCGTGAGGGCCTACGGAATGCCGTCGATGTGGACGACATGATCAGCGTCCACTCCACCTTCGTAAACAGAGTCACCGAGGAACTGTGCTTGGGAGCCAAGCTGAATCCCCTCCGCGATTGCATCCTGGACGTCTTGGACCTAGCCATAAAGCTCAAAGACGTGCACCGAGCCGAGGTCGCCAAGGAGGCCGAAGAGTTCCAGGAGATATCGAGACTGTCCGTCATGTCCTCGCCTCTCAAGACACCCAGGAGCCGGAAAAATGCCCCGAGGCGAGGACCATACGTCGGCCGCGACGACGACAGGGGAGAGGCGGGCTCCGATTCGGACGACATTCTCAACAACAGCCTGGCGGGGACGGACAGGCCGTACCTCGAGGTCCTGGGCGGGATCCACGCCGACTACGAGAAGCACCTGCGCTTCATCAGCGGCGGGCTCAGGGGCGTCGCGCGCGCCACCCGGGATCCCGCGGCTGGGAAGTGGGATATCCTGGCGGACATGTTGGAGATGGGCATCAGGGACCAGAGGTGATCGGCCGCTTTGTGGCTACCTAACAAGTATGCGGCCATAGCTGGTCGAAACTCGCTCGCATCACCACCCCCCCAATCCCACGCCGCCGCCGGTGTCGGCTATAATTTTTCAACCCGGAGGCTGTCTCGAGCCGCTGCGACGATTGATACGTCAGCCACGTCCACGCGACGGCCAACATCCGGCCCGCAAAGGGCTGTTAGCCATGCACGTATAACAGCCCCCAGCCGTGCGTGGTCTTCTCTCCCCGGGATGTCCGGCTTGTGGCCGAGTTTGATCCGCGGCAGGGAAGGCAAAGATTGGGATCTTGATTTACCGGGACTGGTCTCCGCTGTCTAGACGACGCACCACTTACTCTCTATCGTTAGAAAGATGCCCTGAACCATAAAATCCTCTCGACACACAGCCCCCGTCTGGAGCGGTAATGGAGCCGTCCTCACGCACGTGGCAATCATCTGTCGTAGGCAAGCCAGATCACGGGTCACTGGGTTCACAGCGCTCTCAAGCCAGTATTTGAATGATCTTGGTATTTTCGGCTGCAAGTGCTGCTACCGTGATGAAGACAGATAAGAGAGCAGACAGAAGTAGAACTCGGGGTATTTGATGATAAACGTCCACGCGAAAGTAACAAATAAAAAATCGAATAATGGAAGAAATAAGTAGTGGCTGCGCAAGCTTCCAGGTACGACGAAAATGGAACGAAGAGAAAAAGAGAGAAGGAAAAAAAGAAAAGAGGAAATGATGCTCCTCTGGTCATGCAATGTGACTTGGCTCATATGCCATAGATGTATCCTCCCGTCCAGTAAACCACCACCTCACCTCACACTTCGCCCACGAAAACGTAATATTTTTTTTTCATAGCTTCCATGTGTTCCCCCCCCGCCACGATCGTGATAAATCCCCCCATCACCCCCCCTGCCGCCTAAACAGCCGCTTCGTAGCCCCAACCCTGCCCATGTCCCCGAACCTGTTGTCCGACACCTGGTCCGAGACCTTGCGCTCGCCGCTGGCGATGCGCACCTTCTCCTTGACGCTCTCGACCCACGCCTTGCTCTCCTCGCTCATCTCCACGTTCCGGCCCTTGGGCCCCGCCATGCCGAGCGAGCTGTCCTCCTCGGTCCAGCTGAGCCGCGAGCTCGACCTCGACCGCGTCGACGCCCCCGACGACGGCGTGTTGTTGGACGGGCCCGCTTCCGGCCCTGGCCCCGGCCCCGGCGGCTGCGTGGAGGAGGAGGGGGAGGAGGAGGATGAGGGGGAGGAGGGCGTGGTGGTGGTTGCGTTGGCCAGCGGCGTCCGGGGCAGGGGCAGCCTGACGGCACCCTCCTCGCCCATGCTTTTGCGCGTCTTCCGGATGTTGAGCGGCGTGACGGGCGAGCTGGCGTCCATCGCCGAGGCGGGCCGGCTGGGCGGGCTCGAGCCCGCGCGGCTGCTCCCCGTGGCGACGACGCGGGGCAGGTCTCTGATCTCGACCTTGCCCTCGCCGCCGGACCGGCGCCCGTGGTGCGTGGCGTACTCCTTCAGGTACTCGCCGAGGTCTGCCCATCCGCCGCCGACTCGGACCATGACCCGCTCGTTCTCGCCCACGCAGCGGATGAATAGCTTGATTGGGGCTTCGCCGTTGCACCTGGACAGGTGGTAGAGCTTGATCTCCTGGTTGCTACCTCTCTGGATCCGGGGTCGCGGGTTTCGGCCATACGCTGGGGCCAAGGTGAACGAAGGAGTGCCTGCGCGGGAGGATGCTCGAGAGGATATCGTGGATCTGCTCGAGTGGCCCCTAGGTATCGGGTCCGGTCTCGACGGCTTCCCGCGCGACGATGGCATGGTGAAGTCGGGTGGGTTGAGATTGACTTCGGGAGGCGCGGTGGTGAGCCTGATCTTTGCGGGAATAGACTCCAATATGTCGCTAATCTGTTGCTGAAGATGTTCATCTGCACTGGCGGTGCTCATCTTGCTCGGGCTAGCTGGGCTCTCGGGCTCCCTAGTCAGATCTTCATCGTCAATGGCGGAGAAGTCCATCGGTGTTCTCGGCGGGCTCTCTTCGTATGGCAGCTCAACGACGGTAGGTATATCGTTGAAACTGACCGAAAGAGACCTGGTGCTCGACCGAAAATCTGGCGGGGAGCTAGGTGGGCTCATATCGTCGCTCGGGGCTGACTCCACGACAACATTCCGTAGCCGCGAAATTTCCGGCGTTCCATGGTCAGGGGAGTCGCTAGACAAGTCCATAAACCTACTCTGCGGGCCATGAATTATGGTCGACGTGTTTGAGGCCTCGCTGCCTCGTCTTTCCCTTGGAATAGTAGGCAAGTCCGGCTCAGGGACGTCCATGTCTAGCGACATGTCGAGCACAGAGTCAAAATCCTCGGAGACTTCGGGAAGATTCATATTCTCCTCACCAGCCACGCCTTCTTCGATCGGTGTGCCGGGATCGCTGGCAGCCACCCGCTGCTCTGGGCCTTGGTGTTGGAAATCGGAATCCTCGAGGGTGCTGTCTGGTTGGCAAGACGTATCCAACGTCCCGGCAGGAGACAGAGGTGCATCGACGAGTGGCCTGACCACCTCGAAGCCATCAGAGATGGCCAACCCACGCTTCTCAATGTTTATTTGCGTGTCGTTCGTGTCCAGATCAAGTGAGCTCCCAACTGTCGGGTGCGAGGAAAGATGACTCTCCTGTCTGTCTGCTGCTCTGTCTGCTGCTGTGGTGCTACCCTCTGATGAACTATAAGCCTCGTGTTGATGGCCATGACTGGTATTTTCGGTTGCTTCAGCAGGATGAACTCTGATGACAACCTCAGGGCCAAGTGTTGTCACGGAGCCAGCAACACTAGGCGTATCATGTTGCTGCTTGGCACCCGAGTTGGCGAGGCTACCGTCGGCTAGCTGCAAAACATCTTCCTCCTGGTGTTCCCGGTCACGAAGGGTTTGGTCTTCTGCGTCTGTATCGATAGGCGAGGAAGCTCTGGCAGCCCGGTTCTCGCGTTCGAGTCTGGCCCACTCGGATTCTCTTATTTTCCTCTCGCATGCCGCAACCCATTCGCCGTACTCCCTCTCCAGGGCATCCATGCGGTCGATCCAGTCCTCGGGCAGCGTGTCCTCTCTGCCCTCGAGAGTGTCCAGCATGTAATCCAGATACTGGCCTGCCTTGGCCACCTTTCGTTCCAGGACCAGTTTCATGACATTGAAGTCGTTTCTGGACAGCGTCGAGTCACTATCTCCTTCTCGGGATTTCCCCTTCGCACCAAGGTCCATGGCGTTCCACCCGGATTGCAGAGCAGCCTCGGCATCGGCCAGGGCTGCTAGGAAACCCGAGCTTTTTCGAAGAACGGCCAGCCGGACACTCCAGATATTGATCAGCCTCGTCAATCTAGACAGATTGGGCAGAGCCTGGAGGATAGTTGCGGTGATAAGCGCAGCGAGGTCGTTCATATGGGCGTAGGCTGATAAGGACGACATTACGGAGCGATTCGAATCCGACATGGGCGTTCCCGGCCGAGAAAGGGGCATGATATGGTTGTGCAAGACGTGAGTTTTGATCTCCTCGACATCGAGGTCCTCCATATCCCGACAGATATCGCCAATCCGTCTCTCGTACTTGGAGACTTCAGTGGCGAGGAGGCTCCCCATATAAGTCCTCTCGTCATACAAATTGTTTTCTAGCTCCCCCTTTGATTGGGACAAAGCGCCTTTGTCGTGGAACAGTTTCCTCCTCTTCGGGGGCGGCCTCTCAAAACCGGCAGAACTATCATCGGAAGGCCATGGCCATGCTGAGAGCTCTTCCAGCCATTCTAGAATATTCTTGGATGCTGTCGCAGCTCGCAAGGCGAATGCTTGCTCAGCTTGAGTCGAAACATCCATGCACGCCCGCAAGGCACCGGATGGGTTTCGGAAGGCATCGACAGCCGCTCGAGGAGTCAGGTGGGATATGAGATCGTCGGTATGGCGCTGTCGGACGGGGGGATCTGATGTCGAGAGGGATTGGCGCCCTCTAGGAGCGAGATTTGCTGCAGCGGACTGCAGGAGCGGTGGATGGCCCATCATGGCGATACCGGGTGCTGTAGCGGTGGGTTGATGGGAAGAAGCGTCGTCACGCCGCGCGACATAATGGCGCGCCTCTTATAAGCCTGGGGAGACGTCGAAGATGGTTTGCTTCAGGGGCCGCATAGTTCTCGGACTGGAGGGACGGATCGTATGGCGTTTGCAGCTTGTCATCGCTCCCCGCGGAAGTTTACGGCCTTCAGTTCTGGGTCGCTGCTCCCTCTCTCCGCCCGTTCAAGCTAGCAATCGTTCCGCAGAGCTTCCCGGCAGGCGTTTTCAGAGGCGTTCCAGTCAAAGTGTCTAGGAAGCCTGCTTAGTATGACGAGCCGAGGCAAGGAGGGCGTTTGCGTCAGGCGTCCGGATGAAGCACAAGGTATAAGCTAAGGAGGTAAAAAGAAGATGGGCAATGAAAAGAAAGAACGAATGTCACGCTCCCGGATCCCGAATGCCCGCGACAGGCGCGAAGCAAGAGGATGACGGTGTCAGGGAAACATAGGAGAGGGATCTGGTTTGTGCCCGGCAAGTGGCTAAGCAGACCGGGGCATAAATGGGCAAAATGCAGATTGGATTTTTTGGCTTTATTGCGTGGTTCCATCATCCATCATGCGTTCGCCAAGTGCCCAGCCCAGAGGAGTGAGCAGGGGTGTGTGGCTGGCCCCAGCGTCCTACATCCAATCTTGCAATTTCGAGCCAATACGGATAGAGCCTGGCTTGAGCCACAGGCCAAGGAGATCTGCTGTGTATGACCAAGCGATAACATGTTTCTCTTCATGTGTGTGGCCACTGTGGTGCGGGCAAGGAGAAGCAAATCCTCTTAATGTGAGAAATTCCCCCTTTGAACCGCGTTTCAAGTTGCAAGTCAACCTCCTTTCAAGCCCTTTTGGCAGCGCGTCAAGCTGTGCAGAATACGTGACGCGGACTATTCCTGCAAGAAACGAGCCACGTCCACCCGGGAACAAAGTTTGGTCCAAACACCATGCAAGCAAGATTCCGATCACCCTAACTTGTTTTGGAGCACTAGGTATTCTTGCTCTTCTCTTCTTCCCTGACCAAGATATGGCCAATATTACCTATCCGGATATAAACTTTTGACTTGCCCGCAATCAATCAAACAAAATGGTATATTTATGTCCAAGGAAATATCCGTACCCTCTCCCTATTTCGCCAAGTCCTTGCCCGAGACATTGAATTATTTTGCGGATATTATTCATCAGAATCATCAAAAACTCCCCTTCTCAAGCTGGGACAGCCCCCATTTGCTCCTTCGGGGTCTTCAACCAGTCCATACTCTGCTCAATATCGTTCGCCACCTGGTTCTGGGCATCTGCAGCAGCGGCAGCAGCGCCGCCGCTGCCAAACATGCCCATGAAGGTCTCGTCAGAGGTGTTGACGCCCTCGGCAGGGAACTGGAGCCATTGATCGAAGTCGAGGTTAGTGGTTCCTGCAACACCGCTCCAATCAAACTGAGCCTGGCCCATGCCGCCGTCCAGGTCCATCTGGTCCCTTTCCTCCAGCGACCCGGTGGCAGACGGCGTCATCGCCAGCTCCGACGGCGTCTCTGTCGGCGGGGGCGAGTGCCCCACCACGACGGCCGGGTTTCCGTTCGAGTCTCGAGGCATGTACGTCCGATCGGCATGGAAGAGTTTGACCTCGGTCGAGTTCAGGTACGGCGCGTTGTCCGGCGGCGGGGTCGATCGGTCCTCCGCTCTCTGAGCGGGGACTAGGCTGAGCCCCGGAGTCAGGACGCTCTGCAGAGTCTTGCCTACGCCCTGATGTGCCGGGGTGCCGTCGGTCACGTCGATCGCGGCCTTGCGCAAGGCAGCATCGAGGAAGCCGGTTGCGAAGTCTGCGGCCGCGTAGATCTCTCGCAGCTTCTCCATCACACGCATGCACTGCTTGAACCCTTTAGTTGCCTTGACACGAGCCTCCTGTATCGGACTCTTCATCTCCAACAGGTGGATGATCATGGCTGGCAGAATCACCGTCACGCCGCTTGTCGGTAGGTATCTCTCGAGGCGCAGACGATGGAGTTCCGCCACCATCTGAGTGATCTGATTCGCTGCGTCGCGGACTCTCATCCGGGACATTTCCTGGACCTGGCGGGAAACGCATGGCGTCTGTTGCGGGGACGAGGAGAGGAACTGGGGGCGGTGCAGCGCCGACACCGTGGTGTGATAAACCATGTGGAGCAGATTGCGCTGGACAGCAATGGTTGAATGCCCGTTCTTGATGTCCTGCGGCCCCAATGGTCGATATTGGCACAGCTGGGGCAAATTGGCGTACCAGGTCATGAGCTCCATGTCGACCATATGGACCTTCTCAAAGTTATCAAGGGACTTGTTGGGGAGCAGCATCATGGTGCTATTGGTCGTGTTCTCGGGCCGGACCGATTCGCGATTCAGTACCGAGTACTGGGCTTTGAGCATGTGGTTGATACATATGCAGAGCTTGGCCTTCTCGACGCACATGACCGCCAGTTCCCGTTGCATGTTGATGTCCCGAATAAGAGTGCACTCGGCGGGTAGAAGCTGATTGTCGTCCGATAGCGCCTCGATTTCGAAGTCACCCTCTTCCAGCATAGGGACATCAAAATCCTCATCCTTAATCCTCGTCGGACGTCGCATCCCAAGAGCAATCAGGCGATCCCGCATAAAGCAAGACCACCAGATCCTTTTCCACAGTTTCTGCCTGTGTAGAGGCATGCTTGTGTTGGCGGGGTTGCGATGGAGGCCGATGGTGTGTGCCAACGAGATGGCCACTCCCATCCAGTGCCATGTATCTTTCTGGTCATCGGGCGTCTCGTACCAATACGTCATCAGCAAGAGGGCTTGAACAAGGACAAGGCGGTCTGATTCGTAGTCGAAGTCGTACAGCAGCTTCAAATCAAGTCAGCAACTCGTGTCCTAGCTCGGAAGATCCAAGGGGTATTACCCTAGTCCTGTGGAAGAAGTCCCTCCTCGCGGCCTTTCGGCTTGAATAGCCAGCCTCCTTCAAGTGCTTGGCACCGACAAAGGCAGTCGCGACGAACATCACGGCCTGGTACAGGAACAAGCTGACCTGCCCCGAGAAGCCATCGACGGAATTGATGATGTTTAGGAATTCGTGGAGCTCAAGGAGGGGCATGTACGGGTGAACAAATTCGACGTATGCCTGGAGTAGGGCATTCTGGAGCGGAAGGCTCGGCAGCGTCAATGCCCCCTTGGTGTGGAGGTATCTCGCATCCTCGACCCCGATCCTAGGCGGGAGCGGCTTGATGAAGGCCGGTAGCTGAGCGACGGCATCTGGCTCTTCAAGTGAGTTGAGAAACTGCGCCGTCCGCAGGTCCCCAAGCAGCGGCGACTGACTCAACCCCGGATTAGGCCAGATGGGACGGGCATCGCCCAACTTGGCCAGCAGGGCCGATGCATCCGTACGGAATCCGGCAGCGGCCGTGGCAGCAGCGGCGCTTTGTTGATCTATTAATTTCGCCGAGCATCCGCGGTCAGCATGAGATAGCTCGTGGTGAAACTCGAGGATTCACATGTAAAAAGCAGGAAAATGCGAGGGCGGGGACCCTGGTGGGACAGAGATCATAAGCTTACAGATGAGATGAGGAACGTGACCCTCGACAGGCAATGAGCCCTGCCACGCGGGCCCACCGCCATTACCAGGTCTCTGGAGATCCGCACTGGTGATACTGATTGGATTCGTGGTGATGCTGGCGGCTCTCAGTGCCTCGGCACCAGACACGTGCCCCGCCGTGGATGCAGCATAAAGATTCTTTCTAGAAATCGGGGTAAAAGGGTTCCAGGAGTTAGCGTAACTGGCAAGGGGGTAGGAGCAGGTGGAAGTTGTGTTGAAACGAGATCAATCAGGGGGACCGAAATGCCATGTGATAATGACGGAATTGATGCCTCGTGGGTGACAATAGGGGGAAAACTCACTTGCGCCGGCGGCTCTCCTGCACGATACACTCCACGTTGTCCCATCGGCAATTGCCGCAAGGAGCACCCTCGACGACATCGCAGCGAACCTTTCGTGCCCTGCAGGACACGCAGGCTCGTGCTGCACGCCTCTTGGTCACTTTTTGGCCTCCCTTGGACTCGGAGGCCGACAAGCTCAGCTTCCTCTTCGGCGATGTTGATGTGGCTTTTGTTGTGGCTGATGGCCCCTTGGAGGAAGTTGGAGAAGCCGAGTCGAGTGGGGCAGTTGGGGTCGGAGAGGGCGACATGGAACGCCCATCAGTATCGTGATCCGCCATGTTGAAGACGATAAGCTTCGAATCGGTTTATGTGTGTGTTTTGGACACTATCTTTCGCCGAGAAACCGAATTGTTGGTGTTTAGAGTTCTCGGGAGGCTCAACATATGCCGGGGGAATCGGGTTTGGACGGAGACTGGTTTCGAGTTGTTCGCGAAGAAGGATGTGGCTTGCAAGGGGCTCTCATGGCATCACCACTCGACAGAAGGATCTGGACAGAGCAAAGCATCGGACGGGTGGCAAGATGTACAACCACAAAATAATAAAGGTAAAGAAACCTAAGAAATGCAGCTACGGCAGACGGGGTGGGGGAGGGGGGCGCGGGCGATTATTATAATTTGGGATGATGGAGATTGAAGAACGGTCACTTACACGGAGTCGATACGTACCTGAGGACCTGACAGGGTCTAGCCGTCTAATGACATCGACTGCGACTAAGACCCGACCACACTTGCAGATGCCAATGCCTGCCGAAGAACCTTTTTCTACAATCAGTCACTCTTGATTAATCCTTAGTAAAACAGACAACTCCCAAAAGCGCGTATATGCTTGGCATTCCTCTGTCCTCGGACCGACCATCATTTTGAGACAAGAAAGATTGAGGTCTCTCGATCTCCTTTCCCACGGTCATGCCCCCCCCGCGATGGCGAGTTCTACCATGAACTTCCGTACCTCTACTGCGTATGTAAACGCCGACAAAGGAAGCCGTGTTTGACCCATCCATCATCCATGCATGGAACTTCTCCACACCCCTCCAGGCTCCACCCCTTGGCCCGGGCAGTTGTCGCCTCTTGGTCCAGTGACGATGCATAAGTTGTCAATCCACACAAGAAAAACCCCTCGCCTCCCAAGTTGGTTGTGGAGCAGCCAATCAAAGCAGGACTGGATTGGTAGCTCGCTAGTCTTGGATTAAGCTTGGCCCGATGCATCGAGTCAGCAAATTTCAAGTCTGTACGTTGTACGAATACCGGCGAAAGTGTGTTCTGTCCACGTGCACAAACATTCTTGGCGGCCAGGCGCTCACCTTGAATGCCCAGGCTTCTGACGAGAGCGGATGTCTTACTCAGCTTGGCAAGTGGCTCTTGGAAGCATGGATTCCACCAGTGTGCTCTTAGCCTCCAGGACTACCCAAAACAACCATATGCAGCACACGGTCGCTTCAACAAGTCGAGGGCGGGCGCTCGTGACGCACCACCATCCTCATCGGATCGTGTATCAAAAGTCCAAAGGGGCAGGCAGGTCGTCCACAATTAAGAATCGGTAATACTCGGGTATGGGATTCTTCACCCGGGAGTTCACCGAGTAAAAGTGGGTCAAGGCTTGGCGCTATAACACACTACCTAAATGTCGCATTTCGCCGCTGCAGGGCAGGACTCTGGATGCCCGTGCAATTGGTCATTGTCTCCTGCGTAGATCGCTCTTAAAGTTGGCACATGCCAGATCCGGTGCCTTGATGTTGAAGTACCAAGAGCTGCTGACTATGAAATTGGGCTGGACTGGAAGTTTGAAAGTGGGGTAAGTCAACAAGGTCAAGACTCTAGCAGGCGTCTAGGTAGCTGGGGCTCTTTACTAGGGCAAAAGACCTACTTACAGTCTTGCAGAGGCTAGAACCTGACTCCTGGTACGACTGTTGCATATTCTCTTGGCCTGACACCTGAAGATGATTCTGGTGACAGGAGTAGGGAGCTGGTCAGAAAGGGGCCACATGCAGATTTGCATCGAATCCCCCCAGCAGGATCCCTACCTTAAATGGAGTTGAGCGTCCAAATATTCAAGATTCAGCTTGGCCACAAGGGTGTTGCCATAGTACACATCCAGGCAGTTAATAGAAAGTAGTGGCTTAATAGTCTTAGGCCCACGCACCCTATGCTAAGACTACCTAGGTAAGGTAGGTAGCTTTGGGCTGACTGGCATGTACCGTGGCGTAATTAACGCCTTGTTGGGGCACCCACCACCTTCCCTTTCTCCGTCAGGAAAATTCTGATTTTCGGGGATCTCACCGAGTTGTCGAGCGCATTGCATGACCCCGTACATACCTACCTATCTGGCATCTCGATTCTTTCATTGATGTGGGCACGAGACCGTTCCTTCCCGACTTTGGAGCGGATAATGCACCCCACCATCGAAGCGACCCCACATCCCTCCACACTGTCCACAGCCCACGACAACTCCGTGCTTTCCCGGCTGGCGGGGGCAGATCTACTTTTTTATTGGCCAATGCTGGATCCATTTTCCCGGGACCTGGGTCTCCTAATCCTGGGTCTGGATTCTGGAAGTGCCTCTACTGTGTAGACTAAGAAATAGATGCGTCTTATATTTTCTCCTGTCTTCCCCTGCCCGCACACCGACTGATGTTGGTAGGGAATCATGGCGTGACAATATCCGTGTTGGCACACATAGTTAACTGGCGATGCGGGAGCCCCAGGACTTGGTGCCTCTGGCTTCCCCATGGGGTAACGATGGCTGCCGTCAACTCCCAACTGGCATGCATTTTTGATGCAATTCAAGGGCTATGTGTGACGTAGAGCTACCAAGTTTGACGCGGATCCGGTAACCCACGTGATGCACTCATGCCAGGTCCCGTTCCAATCTCTGTTTACATAGTACAGAGAAAGAGAGCGCTCCAAATTCGGTCCCGTCCCATCTCCCGTACCCCTCACCCGCCCGCCCGCGCCACGAATTTCTCCGCATGAGCCATTACCCCGGCAGATTTCGCGGCAGGGTTTGCGATACTGTGGTCGCACATTGCATCCGACGGGAAGTAGAGTGGGACCCTCGTTAGCCACCGGCTCCGACACTCTCGGCCGCCGGCGTTAGCAAGGCCACCGGATCTTGTCAAATGACAGGCCCGGCCAGGTTCACCGCAATGGGGTTTGCAGAAAGCAGCTCAACGCAGGGTGTGGGGAGCCGAACACAACGATACAGCCTTCTTCCGTGCCGGTTGCTAGTTGCATCTGCCGAAAATGGCCGATCCATCCCCGAGATTAGGAGGTTCGGCGGCATTCGGAGGTTGCGCCTCAACCAATGGCTCTCACTCCTCGCCAGATGACCTTTGCATCCTCGATTGGAGATGAAAAGATGGCCGGAATCCCAAGGATTCAGACAAGCGCGACCCGTTCAACTGCGGTGGGCGCGAACGGTCCCCTCCTAGAAATGGATTCTGCACTGATGGCACATGACCAAGTCGATATTTCCTGGTACGGAGTCTATTATCCTGCCTCCCCCCCTATGTCCATCTATCCAAGATTCCAGGCGCTCTCGTTTCCAAATAAAGACTACAGGGATTATATGATCTAGCCCAATGGTAAACCTCTCCCTTTTACGAATCCACATTGGCACGACGCCACAAGTATCAGCCCGTCGTTGGCAATGCCGTTATCCAACTACTATGGGCATATTTATATATATATTTTTACATGAGAACAATCCCCCTCCACAGAGACCGAGCAAGGGGGCAGAAGGTCGTGAATAGAACAGCAAAGCAGCAGAGGGCACAACCCCGCCTACACCAGCCTAGCATAAACGCTCAACCGGTTCGCCGCGCCGCAGAACTCGGAAACGTTGCCCGCGCACGGCATGTCGCACTCGGACGGGCCCCCCGCGGCCGCAACGGCGCCCTCGTCCAGGACGTCGCCGCAGTAGCACTCGCGGGCGTACTCGGTCCCGAACAGCGCGTACCCGTCGCACAGCTCCGCGCACGCCTCGAGCGTCATGTCGTCGTCGGCGTGCGCCTCGGCAGCGAGCGACCGGGCTGCCCCGGGGGCCGCCGCCGCTGCCTCGGTGTAGCAGTCGTCGAACGTCCAGCCGCCGGGGAGGGCGGTTGGCTGGGAGGGCGGCGGCGGCGGCGGCGGGACGTCGACGTCGGGCGCCGAGTAGAGCTCCAGCCTGTTGCCGGCGCCGCAGAACTCGAGCGGGTCGCCCGTGCAGGTCATGGAGCAGTCGGTCAGCGGGGCTTCGGCCGACGAGGCGGCCAGGGTGTTGCCGCAGTAGCACTCGCCGCCGTACTCGGTGCCGAAGTACTTGTGGCCTGTGCAGAAGGCGGCGCAGGACTCGACGGTCATGTCCGTGCCTGAGCTGTAGGAGGACGATGAGAGGGCGCGCACGCCGTCGCCTTCGGTCCAGCACCCGACGAGGGTGTAGGGGAGGACGGTGGGCTTGTGTGATGGGGTGGCAACCGTGGTTGGCGGAGTTGTCGGCTCCGTTTCCGGGGGTGGCGTGGTCGTCACCGTAGGGGACTCCGTCGGGGCGGCGCCGTTACTGTAGAGCTCAAGGCGATTGCCGTTGCCGCAGTATTCGAACGGATCTCCTGCGCAAGTCATGCTGCAGTCAGAAAGCGGAGCAGATGTGCTGGAGGCGTGGACTGAGTTTCCGCAGTAGCCTGTTTCCGCCCAAGGTCAGCAATCAGTTCTAGCACCCGAATGTTAATCTAGCGATTGTCCAGAGGGACTTACATTCCCGGCCATACTCGGTTCCGAAGTAGTTGAAGCCCGAGCAGAACGCCGCACAAGACTCCAGGGTCATGTCATCGTCGGCGTACGAATCTGCGGACAAGGCTCGCACGCCGTCGCCCTCGGTGACGCAGCCGACAAAGGAGAACTCGGCAACGGTCGGTTTGACCGCCAGGGTGGCAGTCGGTGTCGGCGTCGGCGTGACGGTTTGAGACGCCGTTGTCGAATAGAGCTCGATGCGGTTCCCCGCGCCGCAGTACTCGGTCGAATCACCGCCGCAGACCATGTCGCATTCCGAGAGAGGGGCTTCCGTGCTGGTGCTGTCGAGACTATTTCCGCAGTAACACTCTCGGCCATACTCGGTTCCCCAGTACACGAAGCCTGAGCAGTTGCCCATGCAGCTCTCGAGGGTCATGTCATCATACGCGAACGCAGCGCCCTTCAATGCCCGGCTAGTCGCGCCCTCGGTCCAGCATGACACAAGCTCGTACCCACCGATCATCTCGCGGTGACCCAAGGTCTCGGTGGGCGATGTGGGGTCCTCGGTGGTCACGGTGGGAGACGGTGTCGTAGTGGGCGATGTAGTCGGTGGCGTCGACGTGGTGACACCGCCGCAGGCAGCGCTTCCAGTGTAGGTAGTGCAAGTGCCGGACAACTCGCCTGCACTGTTGAAAGCATCTGAGATGACATCCTCTCCATCCCCGCTGACAATGGTCAGCCTGGCTTTAGAACTCAGTCCGCCGGTGATACTGTAAGTCGCCGAGTAGAAGGTGTAGTCGCCGACGCAGTCACCCTGGGTCATTGGGACTGTCTCGTCAAGCAGAGCAGGAACAGGGTTCCCATCACCTGTGGTCCGAGGAACAAGGTACGAGACGGCCAGGTTCACAGGAAGCGACGTGCGATCGTTCCGGACCAGGGCCGAAACTGTAAGAGCACCGGAGCCTTCGACAAGGCAGCTTTGCGGCTTCTGGAGCAGGACCGCATCCGAGATAGGGTAAGAGTTCCCATTGTTGTCGAATTCCTGAGTTGTATCATCATTAAGATTAACGGCGACGGTAAATGATGAGATACCTGTGGCGGTATCGATATCTGCCGAGATGGGGAAGAAGGCGAAGCTTTCATCGAATCCGTTACCGAGCTCCCGAGCCGTTGTGGCCGTGGCACATGATCCGCAATCATTACCGCCGTCTCGGTCCTTGTAAGTCAGAGTGACTCCAGAGATGGAGGTAGAGGGCAGGTCTGTGGTCCGAACGCGAATGTATCCACTCAGGAGCAGGGTGGTGCCGTCGGTGTTCAGGGTCAACTGCATGTTGACTGGCTTGACTGCGTACGGCGTGATAGGGTCCGTGAGAACCACATCCCCGGGAACCGTATCGATCATCTTCTGAAGCACCGTCTTGCAGGTGTTTTGGAAAGCGGTCGGGTCAGCCAAGGCCTTCATGGTGACGTTTCTGTCGGCACTGAAGACCCTGAAGTCGGAATCCTTCTTGAGGGCAACGGCTGGCCCAACGACAAGCGGGTTCTGGGTGGTATTTGCCAGATACTCGGTCACAACCTTGTTGTCAAAGGCAGCAACGGTCGAGTCGAGACCAGCCTCATCATTGGTAGCAGAACCAGCGGGAACCAAGTCGGGAAACTCTTGACTATGGACTCCACCCAAGGTATGACCGCATGCCGTAACCTGGATCATCTCAGGAACGGTGAAACCCATACGGTCGAACTGATTAGTGAAGATGCTAATCGTGTTTTGTGGCTGTGGCACGCCGGGATCGCCGGCTTCTGTTGCGTCCTTGCGGCCACCTCTCACCGGGACAACAGGTCCACCGCAAGATCGTACAGAAGCATAGACTCCAGCGGCAATCAAATCGGCGATGCTAGACTGCGCCGACAGGAAGTTGCCCATAAACTCGAGGGTGCTGGCGTGTCCGGGGCCGGTATTCTCGGTGTTAGTCAACTCGAACTGCAAGGAACCGTCCAGGCCCCCCGTGCCAAAGTAGGTGTTTGCTGTGGACATGTCGTGGAAACCGACTCGCAGCCATTCTGCGGCGTTCTGCCGGCCGGGACCCGATGCCTCGTTCGAGCAAGGGCTGATTTTCTGGGAGAAGAGGCGGGCCCCGAAGCCTTGCAACTGGTACATGATCTCCTCCAGCTCATCGGTAGGTGCCGGCCATGTGGGATCAGCGCCGGCCCTCGCCGTCAGCGAGAGCAGGCCTGCGAAGAGAGGCGTCCTTGGTCTCATCTTGGGAGCTCCTTCCAAGGCAAACAGCTAAAATCCAAGATACAATCGGGGGCAAAACGAGGGGATGGGGTTGGCTGGGTACGAGTCCGAGCACAACTATCCGACAGAAACTCGCCCGGCACACTGTCAGTGCAAAGGGAAGCGAGAGAGGAGGGAGGTGAGGTAGAAAGAAAGAGACACGGAAAGCTCGCACTTGGGAGCGTGCGACCTACTGGTTTATCAAAGCATGCTTACCTTCGTACACTATTCCAAGCCATGTTCTCGAACCGGCAGCGCTGGCTGGGCTATCTCCAAAAAGGGACAGGAGGCGGAAGAAATTGCATGGGACGATGTGATAGTGCCCCTGCTTTTGGTGATGGCCACATCCCTGTCACTCGTATTTCCCCAAGGCGCATGCATGACAGTGGGGAATCAATGGCCAGCACAGAGCGAGTGCCAGTATCGCTTATGAAAAGACGGCGCGGGATTGGCCCGACGTTGAGGTCTATGTCCAGCCGCAAAATGGACCGGGTTTGTTGGCGTCGTTGGGCGTCGCAATCCCATTAAATATCAGCTACCCATATTCTCGGGCCGCCCGCACTAATGCAAGAACATATTATTGCTAAGAGAATGAACATTATCAGGTACGAAAATGGGCAGCTTCGACGAGCATGGACAACTCGTGGCTGGTGGCAACTTGTGTGGCTGGCTGATTGGGCTGCAATCAGTTGAGACCCTGCAGCATCCATCACTCTCTTCCTCTGGAACAAAGCTCCGGCCTCAGCTTTGGCGATATTCTCCCAACAATTGATCTTGCCAACATAACCAGGAAGAGGGTTATCGGCGCTCCCAGCGGCTTCAGCAACATATCGGACAAGCGGGTATGTTCCGCGGAATAAGAACGAGTTATTCTAAGGAGTCGTCGTAGGACCCGGAGCCTCTCGATCGCCCTTCAATATGCCGGAATTGCCGTTACGGAACTGGACTGCCGCTAGAACGCGGGGCTGATAAGGCCCTGATGTCTGCCGAGGTGACCTTGAAAGGTCGGACCATGGACTGACAAACTAGATTCCTAGACGAGTACGGAAAATTGGGCCTCCAAACGAAGAGCGTTGTGGGAGGGCTGAAGAACGCTGCGGTGGGAACCAGCCGATATCCGCGATCCTGGACGCCGTATTAACCCTACTGTGGTATGCGGCTGTTGGATGCATTCAATCAAGGGGGCCCAAGAACGCCAGGCTACTCTCGACTAGCTTACCTCGATCAGCCATGGCTCACTGACGCCGCTACTGAGCCTACTGAGCCCATCCGAGCTCGAGCACAACTTGGCTGTGGAAATTGGGGTGTCATAGCTCGACAGAGAGAATAAAGCACATGCCCAGTGGAAGGCGGGCGTGTCAGCCATCAGTTTAGGCTGGCCTGGCCGCGGCCAAAGCAACTCTGTTCGGCTTGTCCATTTCAGAATACGGGAATACTTCGAACGCGGCAAAGATGGTTTCCGGGCGCTGGGTCTGATGTGACCACTACGATAATGCTGCTGTCAAACTGCTACGAGAGGTAGGCCAGGCTGACGCCGACTTGGAAGATACCCTTGGCCGGACGTCGTTACCGTGGGCTGCTGCAAAAGGCAAATGGATGACGCCGTTGTTGAGCTGCCGCCGACATGGCACAAAGTCGATTCATACCTGACGCACAGGACTATTATGGCCAACACTATCTCGCGCTATCGCAGATGGTAATGGCAAGAGTCAATGCTTACGAGTATACTAGGCTGCTAGTCAGGTCTCACCTTGCATGTCTTAACTACATATAGCCTAACCGCTTCCAACCAGCAAGTTCCAACGTTGATTATGTTGCTGAGCAGGCAGACCAAACGTCTTGGGACTGTCTATAAAGATACAGGCAGCTTCAAGGATGCATAATGATGGTTCGGTGGGAAGTTCACAACATCTGACAAGTGTGTCATACCCGCGGTGGACAGTGGAGAGTTGACCTACGGAATTGCTGCATAGTAGATGCTCAGCAAATATTGTCAGACCGTATGTCTGGAGTATTCTAAAGAGAGCACCGTTTTCTCAGTTTGCCATTCACCTTTGACTCGACTCGCATTTGGTTATGCTGAGCCACCACAGGAATCTTCATAAACCTACGGAGTATACTTATCTGTATATGTCATACTGTGACTGCACCGATAACTCCACTCCTTGTGGCGGTGTCATACTTCGAGCAGGGGTCAGTAGGCTCAAGGAAGAGAGTTGTTTTTAGGACGTCTTTCTTGGTGGGCCATAACCGATCGCCATGATCATCAGTGGGCCGCCAAAAACTTACAAACTTCTAACAATCCACTTTGTTGGTTCTTCTCGTTACCTGTAGATATGAAGAGATCTCTACATATTCGAGGTATTGCTTACCGCATCAAGAAACTCATAACTTGGTAACTCAATTGATGGCATGCCGAATCCGACAACCAAGATGTTCTAGTTTGCTCCCGATGGTTTGAAGGTCGAGTAAGCATTAATGGTGAGGTTGAGAGGGTGACGTCACCTTCCTTACCCCTGTCACTTTCATGAGGATGGTGACCATGGAGGGGCTTAGAGGGGCAATGTATTCGTCACCAACCCGTCAAGACTTCTGGGCCACCCTCAGATCAAAGATATCGACGGCCAATCATGACCGCTACAGGTTGGTGTTTTGCTCCTCATGGGTCTACGGGGTACGCCCAAGCCACTACTCTGACGGAGACGAAATGACCATTTATCAAGGACCCTGTTTCCTCCCCGAGGACCCTTCATGCAATGCTCTACAACTACCGGCATCCTGCAAGGCACCATAGCACCGTAGTTATCTTTCGTCAAGTGTCATTCTAAGACCCACGATATATACACAATCCGTACCTACCCTTCGACCATGGGAGCGAGCGCAGGTATCGCTCTCAAGTTCCTTCAGTGGTTCATCCGCGGCGTCCAGTTCTGCTGCTCGGCCATCGTCCTCGGCATCTTCTCCTACTTCCTGGCGACCCTGAACAACCATGGCCTGCACATAAAGACCTGGATCCGAGCCGTCACAGGCATCTCGGGCATCGGCGTCATATACACCTTCCTCGGCCTCCTCCTCCTGTGCTGCCTGGCCGGCCACCCGTTCACGTCCTTCATCGCCATCGTCCTCGACGTCTGCTTCATCGGCGCCTTCATCTACGTCGCCGTCGAAAATCGCGCTGGCGCCGGCTCCTGCAGAGGCCATGTCAACACCGCCTTCGGCTCCGGCGACTCGGCAACAAAGGTCCACGACAACGGCCACGGCGGCTTCACATCCCTCCCCACCCTGCACCAGGCGTGCAAACTCCAGACCGCCTCCCTGGCCGTGTCCATTGTAGCAGTGTAAGTCCCCTCCCAGCACCCATCACCCGATGGCCCAAAAAAGAAACACCAACCAACAAAATCTTCCCCTAGCATCTTCTTCCTCCTTTCCATCCTCGTCGAGCTTCTCCTAGTCCGCCACCGCCGCAAGGAGAAGCGCTTCGGCCCGAGCCCAGCCAACGACTACAGCTCCGGCTACGGCCACAAGCGCGGGATCTCCGGTAGTACCGCCGGTGGTGCCGCCGCCGCCGGCGCAGGCGGGGGCTTCCTCGGCGGCCTCTTCGGCGGGCGCCGCTGGGGCCGACGGCAGCATGACGACGCAGACCCCAACGCCCTGCCGGTGCACACGGCGCCGGGAGAAGTGCGCGACAGCTACGGCACGGAGCAGACGCGCGTCGCCAACTCGCGCGGCACCGACTCCGGCCTCGCCCCTGGGGCGGCGCCCTACGGCGGCAAAAGGTACGGCGAGCCCGGGTACGACTACGACCTCGCCAACGAGGCCGTCAACACCGGCGGCCGCGGATACGCGCCTGGTGGTGGTGGTGGTGCTGGGTACACCAACGGTGTCGAGGGGGGCGGTGCTAATGTTGTGCAGCCGGCTCATTACCCGGCTGGGAATTACAGATATGATGATGGTGTGTACAATGCCAGGGTTTAAAAGGGAGAAAGGGGTTAAAATTTTCTGGGTAGTGTGTTCGAGGTTCGAAGGGAGATACCCGACCCGCACATACTCAAGGGGGATTGCCGGTGGAGGGGAACTGGTTCCCCGTTCGCTCACTGTCTGTACTCTGTACTGTTAATTTAGATGGAAGGCGCAAGCTGTTGGATGTGCCTCTCGATGTATCATCATCTCTGTAATAATACCTACTATGCACGCGATGAGAAAATCCCCTCTTTGCGATTTGCCACAAGCCTGGGGTGCTAATACGCAGTCAGTCCAATACCAACACCAACACTACCGATACCACAACAAGCAAGCAATCAATTTCCCCGTTCCCCCATAATTGTCATTCAGCCCCAGCCACTCCCGTCCTCCCACTCGCTCCCGGACGCGCCCTCCGGGTCACCCACGTCGGACCAAGTGAGGTCCGCCTTCTCGAGCTCGCGGATGAAGAAGTCCTGCTCCTCCCTGAGCGCGGCCCTTGCCTCGGGCGCCATCTTGTCCGTGTAGCGGCGGAGGTTGAACCAGTGCGTCAGGCTGCGGAGGGCCTGCTCGAGCGGCAGCGCCTCCTCGACCTCGGCGTCCACGTCGCTGCCGGCGAGCCACTCGTCGCGCAGCTCCGGCCGGCAGTGCAGGTACACGGCCGTGATGACGCGCATGTTGGACTGCCGCCACTTGCGCCCGCAGTAGGGGACCTGGTTCTTGAACAGCTTGAGCGTGTACAGCCGCAGCTCCGGCTGCGGCACCTTGAGAGACTTGCGCAGGATGTTGGACGACTTGTAGTTCACCAGCAGCAGGTTGCGGTGCGCCTTGTTCTTGCAGATCTTCTGCACCACCCGCAGGTGGTTGATGAGCGCGAAGAAGTTGCGCCGCGAGAAATCGGTGATGGGCTCCTGCGGCAGCGGGTTGACTGGGTACCCGAGCTCGTCGACCTCTGGCCGCCCTGACTGGGACGGCTCGCCGTCGGGCTTGTCGCCGGCGATACCGGCGATACCGCTGCCGCTGCTGCTACCAGGTTCACCTTCCTCCTCTGCCGGGCGGTCCGGAGAGCGGCGGCGCTTGATGGGCGGCGGCGCGGCGTCGTCCTCACTCTCCTCATCCTCTTCAAAGGTCGTGGCTGTGGCCGGGTTCGGTGTGCCGCCGGCTCGGATGTTGCAGAAGTAGAAGAAGCTGTGTTCTATTCGATCCGTCTTGCTCTCCACGAGAAGCTGAATGTCGTGTACGGCGAAGATCTTCAAGACTAGCGGGATGTAATTAGAATCCAGCAATAGCTGAGTTAGGTATTCGAATTTCAGAACATCTGATACTGGAGTTAGCAAAGCCCAGACAAAGTTCCCGATCCCCTTCCGCCGTTATCGGTACTCGAGAACTTACGTGACAGCTTGAACCACTTCAACATCAGCACCATAATCCCCGTCACGGCCTTGGCGGAGATTTCTTTACTCCTCACTGCGTCAATCTCCTCGTCAGACGGCGAAACCGGCTCGTTCTTTGGGGCACCATTAGCGCCACTTGGTGCTTCTTGGGCCCTGCCGGCGCCGTTAACTCGTGCATTGTTCTGTCCCGCGGCGCCCGGATGCTGCTGCTGCTGCTGTCCATTTGCGGGCTGAACCAACAGGTTCGCAGCGACGGTTACAACGGCTCTGAAAAGCACAATGACCAGGGATTGAAGATGGGGGAGGGCATTGCTCTATCTTTCAGTTAGCAACCACACGCCGCATGGATCGCCATGACACCTTGACTCACGTAAAACGCTTCCACAGCCTCGAGCCGGTCTCTAATGCGTGGGTCAATGTCTGACCTGGGGCCAATATCGACCTTGGAATCCGAGTCTTCGGCACGATTATTATCCGCCGGCTCCGGCCTCGACAAACCCAACTCCTCTTTTTCCTCGAGGGTCAGCGACGACAGGTCGAGCTCGTCGATGATATCGTCGTCGGGGGCCTCCCAGCCGCGGTCGAACTTCAGGAACTTCTCCCGCTCCTCCCACAGCTGCCTCGACGCCCGACTCATCCTCACCCTCCTTGAGAAGAGCTCCCCGGCTTCCAAGATGGAGGCGGGGACATCGCTGCCTTCCCATTTCCGGCCCACCAGCAAGTCCTGCAGCGCGGCACCGCCCTTGCCGCCGGTGCTGTTGCTCGAGGCGTCCAGCGGCGGATACATAAAAGGGAAGTTCTGGTTCGTCTGATAGTTCTGCTTCTTGCCTCCCTTACCACCGACGGCCGGGGACGGTGGCGGCGAGGGCGCGGGGGTTGCGATGTGGACGGGCTGGTGTAGAATGGATGCCCCGCCGCTCTGGAGGTTCGCAGGAGCGGGCATGATGCCGTTGGCTCCATTGTTTCGTGTCGGATGGTTGGGCAGCTGGGGAAGCAGGGACGTGTGCTCCGCTTCCAGTGGTATCACGGGCTGTGGTGGGATGTATGCCGGGTATTTAGATGTTATCTCCTGCCGGAAAACATGGTAATCTAGAGGGGACGCGGTAATGACGTCCTTTTCCTTGTCGTCGTTGTCAGTCTCGGCCGTTGCCTTCTTTGCCTCGGCAATCTCCTTGCTGCCGCCGAAGACGAGTAAAATGGACTTCCAAAACAGAAGAAACACCTAGCAAGGTCAGCGGGAAATTCATAGCCGGAATCGGATCAGAGGCTAGGCTTGCCTGGGTGTGTGGGAGGACGTTTGCTTCATCCCATCTCAGCTTGGCCGTCGCATCAACCATGAAAGGGAGCAAACCAGGTTCAAGCGCGACTGGAGCATGTCAGTCACACATACTCGCCAGCCCAATGAAGGATGAGGATATCCACCTACAAAGCTGTGACTGAACCGACGGCAGCCGGTAAGGGTCTGATAATACCTCCTGGATGACCATGTACATGATCGTCATTACGTTCAGGAGTTCATCTTGCGGGTTCTGAAGACCCCCAGCCTGCAACTGCTGCGTATCGTCGGTCCTGTACAGAGTATGGTTTAGCATCCGTTCCCCAGGGCAGTGATGAGAAATTGGGCATACCAGAATGGCTCAAAGGCCCTCCTCGTCGCATCCCAAATAACAGATATCCCACCACAGTCAGCAAGAAGCTCCACACCGGCCTTCATAGCCGCCAGCTGCGACGGATTGGCCGCAGACTTGATCTTTCCATCATCCAAGCTAGGCAGGCTTGGCTCGTCGATGCTCTCTGTCCACCTCCCGAGCACCAGATATGTCAGCCCGCCGATGGCAGACGACCGGGCAGCCGTGTCGGACGACCGGACGCCCTCCAGTAGCCCCGTGACGAACGTGCGCCGGTCTTCCTCGCTCGCGTCCTTCCACGGCCTCTCGTCCTCAAAGGCGTCGGCCCACTCGGCGTAGAAGTTCCGCTGGGCCGTGTTCAGCCGCACCCACTGCCAGAAGTTGGAGACGAACCACTCGTCGATCTCCTCCTCTATCGGCGCCATGTCGCTGTAGACGTAGTCGTACGCGATCGGCTCCGAGCGCGGGAACTCGGCGACGATGCGCCGGAGCTGGGCGAGCGAGAGGGAGTCGGGGGGCTGTTGGGGCCCATTTCCAGGGATGCCGCCCGCCTCGGAGCCCTGCTGGGTCGGCGGCTGGGGTACGGCTGGGGGAGGGCCTTGAGGCTGCGCTTGCCTTTGCAGCGGTGGGCGGCTTGGGCCAGGCGTGGCGGTGCCGGCTCGACCGGAGCTCTCGGGGCCAACGTCGACGACCTCGGCGTCGCTAAGATCTGCGGCGGCTTTGACTGGGGTGGCGCCCTCGGCCGGAGCTTTCGGGCCCCAGAGGGAGTTCATCTTGGAGGGGTGTAGCTTGTTTACTCAAAGGTTTTGTCGGGACATGATGCTAGAAACAAACCACGACCGATGGGAATAAGTACTTGGCTATCAATAAAATAAAAAGATATCGGGCTGTTAAGGAAAACCGTGACAGATGGGGCTTCAGATTCTCGCGTCGGCCCGCTGGCGCATGTGTCTAGGTGCCGCAATGACACTGAAAGCTTGCGACGGCTTCAAGCTATCGATAGCTCAGATGTGGGGCGGTTGATTGGCTGGCGTTGGGGGCATGTGGCTGTGCAGTTCAAATTGTGGCTGGCCGAATATCAGGGTACGGGACCCCCCTGGATTCCTTGGTCCCGTCGTTATCAAGCAAAACAGACCTTCACAGCGACTTGTGTTCTGGGAATTGTCTAGTAGGATCTGGATATCATGTCAAATTTATGCCAAAGTGAGTTTTGCTACTAAACCTCCCTATTCTACCGTATCAGAGCCAGTGGAAGATGCGTCTCCCTGGACTCCAGCCCCGGCCTCCTCCTTGGTGATGAGCTTCTTCTCCTTTTCCTTCTTCTTCCGCTTCAGCTTCTTTTCCCTGTTCAGCCGCTTCTTCTTCTCCCTCAGATGCTCCTCCTTGGACACCTTCTTCTTCTCCAGCACCTCCTCTCTCTCCCTCCTGGCCTTCTCCTTAGTCCTCAACGCTATCCTCCGCTTCTTCCCGGGCCGCTTCCTCCTCCGCGGGTCCTCTGCAGGGCACTGGACCTTCCCGTCACTAACCTGGACCTCCGCGGACGCATTGCCGGGCCGTCTCCCGGACTTGACCGTGATATGCGTGACCTTCCAGGGAACCTCCAGCCCCCAGGCCCTCTGCCCAGCCGCTCTCAGCACGTCGCCGTAGCCGACCGCGGCACGCCGGAACCTCGAACACTCTTCCGGACTCAGCTCCCCCCTCAAGTAGAAAGAGGCCGGCCTCGCCGAGGCAATACCCCCCTCCCCTCCCCCGTCGGCCCCATCCTCCTCGGGGTCGAGGACAACCGTAGCGGCGCCGCCGGTGGAAAAGAGGCGGAACTCAAAGGCACCACCGCCACCATCAGCCTCCCGCGCATCTGCAGCGTCGTCGTCGCCGTTCGGCCCACCCCCGCCGGACGGACTCTCGCCCGCGGAGCTGGCCCCGAACAAGTCCATGGAAAACATGTCGGCCAGGCGCTCGCCGAGCCTCGAGCGGGCGGCTGCGTCTCGGTCCGCCACAACATCATCCTCGTCCGACGACGGGTCACGCAGATCCTGCCGCCTCACGCTGCGGTCCGATGTTAGTCTCCCCGAGCGGCTTAAAAAAAAAACCCCCGTTCGGTAATCCGCGTGGCGGTGTGCCGGGATAGGTAAAACTTACCGCTTTGCTTCTGGGAGGTCGAACATTATGTTGTTATGGGCGGGTGGGTGGGTAGGTGATGAGATAGGATTTGGTGTTGTGTCCGTGATGCCCGCCAAATTAGAGACTGGCCGCTGTTTTCACGCCTCCGAATGGGGCCTATGATCACTGATCAAGGCGCGGTGAAAAATCAAGACGATTTTGTCTCGAATGCGATCGTTGGTGCGGGCAGCATCGCAGGCAACCTTTTCGAGCTGGAGTCAAATTAATTCAGGCGCGGGCATGCCAGAAGTTTCGCGGCACCTGTTACCAGCCGGCAACTTCGTCGCATCTCATGCCTTTCGCTCCTACCTACCTCGTAATGCCCGCCCAGGCTAATGTTTCACTGTAAACCGTCAGACCTGACCCGGAGGCGCTCGTGCCATCGAGTTGAGACTCAAACTGAAGATGATCATGGGTTTACGCGCAGCCGTGGAACAGATCAAGGCAATACATCGTTTGATGCGCGGTAGAGCCGTCTTCTGTAATCTTGGCGCTCTATACAGCTGCATGTAGATATGTAGATATCAATATATATATACGTAGTGTCTGCTATATACCTAGCTATGTACGGTTCTTGCCCATCGTCCAGTCTTTCGCAGCCACACCCAAGGAAGGTCAGATAGACAAAGTTCCAGCCTGCCTGTAAGAAGCTCGATCTTCCCCAGTAAGCTTTGGGTTTCTTCCTCTCCCTGCAAGCCGTCTGACGGATGGCCGGAAAAGATGCGCAGCGATGACGGCTGGCAGGGAAGAAGAAAGCGACGGCGAGTTGATCAGCCCGTCGAAACTTGTGGCGCCCTGTGCCCGTGCCAGCAGTCTCATGGACCGAAAGAGACAAATTTCCTCCGCACCTCCCTACCTACATCCTGCCACCCACTCATATCAAGGAAACACGGTCATAACATCCGATCCAAGTATAAAAGGAAGAAAAGAAAAGAAACGCGTGGGGAAGGTATATAAGGTTCGTCTCCAATCAATCCGCCCATAAACATATGAAGGTCAACTCCTCTTTCCTGCCTCCGCCCTTGTCCCCCTCCACGACTGGTTATATGTATCGATCGAAACGGAAACGTTCCCAAGAACAGAGTGGTATCGATTCCGGACATGCTTGGCCGGTGAAAAAGATGAATCAAAATCAAAATAAACATGGAAGCCGCCTCAAAAAAATAACCTCGACCGATGAATAATTTTTCTTCATTTTGCGCCAACCCCGCCGGAAGACATCGCTACTTTTCCTGCTCAATGTATCGTTATGCTCGAATCTAGAAGTGAGAAGAAGGAGGATTCGAAGGTTGAAGAGAGAGAGAGAGAAAAAACAGGTGTGTTCTTCTCCCCATCGTAGTGAATCGAAGTCGAAATCGTCCAACCCGGAACTTGCGGGCGGGGGGAAAAGGATTCGGGGGGCGTTATGGATGCCGAAGAGCCGCGCAAAAAGAGAGAAGTAGACTATGGTACAGTTTGGCGCTGCTCCATGGTTGCGCTCTCTCAGAACTTCCCCTCGGTCAAGCGCCAATGGAGAGAGAAGCAGGCATCGCCCCCGCAACGAGGGGTCTGGGTTTCTCGATGGAACAGATCAAGAGGGGGGGGCGGGAGCTGTGAATCTGGCTTCGTTTGCTCATGTCGCGTTCCATGAGTAATGGTTCATGGCCTGGCCCTGATAGACCCCCGGTGCAGAGTGTGGCGGCGGCGGCGGGTGGTGCTGCGCGTCTGGCTTTGAGCCGCCGTGTCCCGTCTTGTAATGGTCGGGGAATGCGTAGGGGCGATGGTCCCCGTTCGTATACGACACACTCGACGCCGTGGGCTCTCCAGCCGTCGTCGTCCAGGATTGTGACGGCGGGAAATAGTCTCTCGGCGGGGGGGCCGCCGTCGGAGTGGCTGAAGGAGGCGCCGAGCCGTTGTCCTGCGCCGTTGTCCCGTATGTGGGCGGCTGCTGGCTTTGGTGGCTCATCTCGGCCGAGTTGTTGTTGACGCCAACGTATGTTGGAGGGCCGTACCGGTACTCGTTCGAGGGCGAGTCGTTCGTGAGCGAACTGGTGCTGTGCACCGACTGGTGGCTCGCATGGCGGGGGCTCTTCGAGGGCCGGGGGCCGTCATCCATGTATCGCGGGACGCTCAGCGAGCTGTCTGCAGTGGCGGAGAGGGGTATTTGTGCCGGGGCTGATGTGCTCTGCGCGTACGTGGCGTATTGAGTGCGTATGGGGGGTTGTTGCTGGTCCTGGGCTGCAAGAGACAGCTGGACTGACGGCACCGATGTCTGGAGCGGCATCTCTTGCGGCTCTGCCGTGAAGTTCTGTGTCCCTGACAGGGGCATCTTCTGGTAAGACTCTGCTGCCAGTGTTGCTGCTGGGTAAGCAGGCCCTGAGGCCGGAATATGTGCCATAGACACCTGGCTGGAATGGTTCCAGTTCGTGGGGTACGAGCTGCAACGGTGTTAGCATTGAGCTCAGCCATCTGTGCGCTCCCGAGTCACCTCGCTCGCCAGAGAATTTCGGGGGCTGGTGCGGGAATTGGCTGTCAAGATCTGGTTTAGGGACGACTCACTTCGATCGCATCGACATTGGGCTCTGGGGGATTTTCGGTGCGCTGAAAGTGAACGCAGTTCGTGGCAGTTCGAGATTCATCGGCCTCGCCTTCGGATCCTGGGCTTTCGCCGACAGTGGCCCTGCAACGATTCCGAGTCCCGTCTCGACGAGAGCCTGGCCCCTCGAGCCGGCGCTAGATCCCAATAATGGGATTTCTTTCCTCGCCTGGAAATTTCGAGGACTCCGTCCCCGGACAACGATCGGGGCGGTGGTGCTCTCTGTGAGGGTGACCTTGGAACCGTTTGTTAGAGTGCCGACGACCTTGAGGTGCAACACAAAGTGTTGCTGGAGCTCTTTTCGCCTCCCGTTGTTCGCCGTCGCGCTAAACCCCTGCTTAGCAAAGTCCGCATCACAATTCTTCGCCATCGTCCTGTACTTACATCCGAAACTGCAGCCGCCGCCAGCCGATCGGATAGACGGCATATTCGCCCTCGGATTCAGAGCCGTCGTTCTGGAAGGGGATGAGAGGGAGCGACGGTGGCTCCTGGTCAGGCGCTTGGCTGACATCGGGAGAGTTCGGCGGCGGCGTCTTCCAAGGGATGACGATCAGGCGCACCGGATGGCCGTCGACAGACTCGACGGCAGAGATGGTCACTTCGGTGGTGCTGACCGGTACCGTCTCCCCCGTCTCGGTGATAACTGAGAGTGGGCTCCGGGGAGTGATCAGGGACCCGCTGATCTGGAAGAGATTCCGCCGGTAACACGTCAGTTCGGGTTGCAGAATGGACCCGTCGCTAGCGCTCGAGGGCATTTCGGAAAGAAAGAACATCCCGTGGAGCTGGGCGGACAGCTCGAGTTGCTGGATTCGGCCGTGCTGGTCGACTATGGTGTGCTTGTCCTGCGATCTCCGGAAGGACAGGAGCTTGTGGTCATTGTTGACGGTGAGCTTGGAGGCATCCTCTCGCAGGTCCTGGACAATCTCGGTGAACGGGGGCTGTTCCGTATGCGAATACGGCCTCTTCAGGTTCGGGTAGCTGTGGTGGGCCTGCAGAGGTGGATGCTGATGTCTATCGTAGCCATCCGCATCGTCCTGGGAGTGGCGGCCGTAGTGGTATGGCGGATAGTCCATGCTGCTGGGATTACTACTCCGGGGTCGCCCGAGATGTGGCGATGCCGACGACGAGTTCGACACGGCCGAGTCCAGGTGGTTAAAGCGGCCAGACATCTGTACCGGGCTGCCATAGTTGGACCAAAGACTGCCATGTTGCGATTCAGTCTTCAAGTCTGCCATGGTCACCGCGTATGTGGCCGTGGTTGACATGGACGCATATCTCTCTCTCCCCCCAAAACAAGCCCAAGGAACCAGTGGCGGAAACCCAATATGCCCCCAGACACAAAAGCTATCGACTCGTCAATGTCGGCGACGGCTGCTGACACTGAAACAGAATGGGCGCAGGTTGTCGGCTCTGCAGTTTGATGGTTGAAACCAAGAGGAGGCTCGAACAGAGTGGGTGAAGGCTGGCCAGCCAAGGTTGCAGCGCGAAGCGTACTTGTATAAAACGATGCGGTGGGTTGTTGAAGGGGGGCGTGTTTTATGAAAGCGCCTCGGCACTGTTTCCTGGGGTGTCAAGGTAGATGGGGCCCGCACCGCCGTTCGACTAACGGGCCTGCAGAAGGGATTGGTCACTGCACAAGGGCCGGTGCAGTGCGGTACATATGTCCAACCGTACAGGGAAGGAGATGGAGAACTCGGGGGCGATCTGGCGGGCTAGGTCCAAGGCCCCTGTTACCTCGTCGAGGATGTGGCGTGGGATAGCTACTCCGTAGGAACCCAGGTTCGAAGGGGGGTAGGTATCTTCCCTCTTTGTACTGACTGTACTGCAGTGTACTCGGAAGGCAGGTGTTAAAGCGTCAGAGTCGGTGGATAAGATGGCAGGTTCGTCAACAGCGGCAATCTCAAGCAATGGCTCCGTATCTCCCCAGTAAGGAGCAGTGGCGATGCCGCAGAATCTCAGATATACAAGAATACGAAACTGATAGAAACCTGGGAACAAGGGCAATCAGGCGAGAAACAAGGAGGGCGTCAGAACATGGGCTTGACAAGGTATACGTAGTAGTAGAGCTACTGGAACGGCCACCACGACATCAGATAGCGTGTACAAAGAAAGATGGGGCATCTCTGGCCAGAGCGCAGTAGCTATCCAACGAGCAGGATGGGAAGATGGGGGATAGAACTGAAGACAGATTGGGCAGTTAAGCAAACACCACCCCCCCCCCCCCCCCAAACAGCTCAAGCTTGACAACGACAAACCCCCATTCGATCCAGGACAGGGCACTGGCAGCCGGCCCATCCCCCATGTCCCATGTCGCAGAACAGGGGCATCTGATTAGTGTAAAAAGCAAGAATCCTCCGAAGGGCCTGGGATGGCTTTTCGACCCGCAATTTTCTAGAAAACCGTTGGATAAACAGGCTGATGGAGAACCAGAAAGGAATGGCGCGGAAGCATGGGTCGAGAAGAAGGGGGTGAGGGGGCGGTTGCGGGCATGGGAAAATCGGTTCACAAGATTTCCTATGTACGGCCGGGGGTGGAGGGGCGGCGACGGGGAAGTACCCAGGAAGCCGTACCCCGGTCAGCTCGGCTGGGCGAGGAGATGGAAACAATTACCTTTCATATCCCTGCACGCCCCTCGCCCAAAAAGGCAGCATCCCCAAAGTCCCAAGCAATAGCAGAGCCGTATTATAGCCTTGCTAAACCTTTTGCGGTCGCCAGAGGTGGAATTCACAAGTGGCAGAAGCTGTAAACGAGATCACCATCTGCACCACGGCATGGCACTGATGCAGTATGCAAGGAGATGGCCGCGATTCAGAGCAGGAGAGCAGGAGAGCAGGAGAGCATGAGGGAAGACGGAGATGATGCACTGAAAAGTGAATGCATCGGGTATCGAGCATGAGAATCGAGAATAAGGTACCTGGTCGACGTCGGGAGGCAAGGAATTGCCAGCTTCCGGGGGTTGGTAACTTGTCTCGCTCGCCCTCTCTTGTCTCTCTCCCTTACCCTCTCTCCTTCTGTCTACCTATACGGATACCGGAGGTATGTCTCATTCGCTCTCGTGCTATTCGCCTCTGCCAGCGAGGAGGGGAAACACAAGGAACAAAAGTTGAGAACTCGAGTGTGACCATTTCAGCGAGAAGGTGACGAGATCAGATCTATAATAGGTATTCTTCTTCTCCCTCTTCTCTTCTCCTTCCTCGTTCGCTCTCGAACCGAAGGTAATTCTGCTGGCACACATACACGTGCTTGTCATCGGCGGCGACAACATGTTTTGGTTTGAGAAGAGATTGCAGTTGACTGCGGAGAACATGGACATGCACGAGGATGCGGAGGCGGCAGGATATTTTCCTAAAAGGAAAGCGGTGACTGCCACGGCCACTCTTAAATACACTCACTTTCGAGGGTAGGTATCTACGAGGTACCTCTGGGTGATCGGCAGCCTGCCTTGACCCTGAGGTTGACTGGCAGGAACCTACCTAGCCACCTGCTCTCTGGGTTGGGTAGGTACAGTACCTTAATTGGAGGCAGCAATTACCATCTCCTCGCTGGTGGTGTGCTGTGATATGCTTGCCACAGCTGTCCATCAGCCCGCGGTGTTGCTGCACCACTCCACCAGTATCGCATCAAGCTCGGCCGCATGGCAGATGAGCGGCGTCTTGTTTAAACGGTGGGTGCATGCAAGGACAGGGGGTCTAATTTTGGACCTTGACTTGGTTAAGACCATCCCCTCCTTGGCCTCTTCGAAATTAATCAATGCATATCAACGGCGACCGAGGCCAGAAACAGTTCGAAAGCTCCGTCCAGCAGAAGAAAGAGAGCTCCTACCCATTTACAACCGTCAGAACGATGATCGAACCTTGAACTCCCTCGATGTCAAGTGTAGTTAATTGGCTGGCCAAGGAGAGTTGGTGATTCGACCACTTGCTCGAGAACTTGTGTGAATTTGCCCTACCTACGTTGTATACCTATCATTTTGGGGGGGCGGATGGCCCATGCACACCTAATTACCTTGGAGTTGAGGTGTGGTGGGTTGTTCCTAAAAAAGAACACGCAACTGCCGTTTTACTCCAGGTGTGTGTGACACCGATTTGAAGGCGCGAACGGAGTAGTGGAGACTGGATTGAAATACATACCTGGCAACCTGGAGAGAAAGAAAAGGAGCAAAAGCACATGGGCAAAATACCTCAACTCCAGAGTGATCAGACCCAAGTTCCACATGCGTGTCGCACATTATTCAACATGAGCCGAGATGATGAACCAAACTTCGGGCCATGCTTGCGCAACGGCCACGTACCGCAGTCCGAGCCAAGGAAATACAAAGAACTGATGGTCGCGAATGGAAGCTTCATTGATCGCGCCGCCACTCAGCACTGACCATTCACTGACCGCTGTCAAATCTCGGCTGCAGTTCCAGGCCGTTATGAAGAACCCCACCCAAGCAAGCCATTGCCGGTGGGTTGTGCCGACAACGACTGTGGACAAACGCTCCGATTGCGTTGGCAAACGTTACAATCGTGATCGCATCGGGCAAAGTCAGGGGCCCTGACGGCGAATTTCTGTGAGAGATCTGCCTCAAGGCGGATGTAACGGTGGCCGTCCGTCACTGCACGTCCAGAGAAATGCCCCCTGAGGAAGGGTTTCGCGCAACAACCCACGCTAGCCGCGCCGTGACCTGGGTCAAATTCCTTTAGTGGGCGCCTCCTGTCGCTCCGTTCCTGGGCTCGGTCTGGTTATCTGGCGCATCCGCTCCAAATCAATACGATTGGCCAGGGAAGTGGCGCTTGTGGTTCGTGCTGAGGGTCCGAACATGAGGTGTGTCGCCCAGGCACTAGCTACGATGCGGTGTCTACCTTAAATTCAAGTTACCTAACCATCAGAGCCTGCCATGGGCATTCGGCAGAGGAGATAGGCAGTGGTAGCCTGTGGCAGGGACGGGGATACACCGGCACCGAGGACAACAACGACGGCGATGAACGTCGTCTTGGGTATCCGCCCACCATAACGGCCATCCACGTATGCATGCGATACAAATATCACGGCTGCAGGCCGAAATTATCTCTTGGCATTAGGTGGCGCCCATGGGGCTTAACGCGGCCGGTTAATGGCTATATGTGCTGGCTAATATAGAAAAGAAGGCAGAGCACATCCCTGCTCCGAGCGGTACCGCTTCTTCCTTTTTTTTGTTTCCTGGAGGGTTCAGCATTCAGAACCACCACAACACCTGCAGCACTACCGCAGTAGTGCTATGTACTGTACTATAGTAAGGATACCATGCTCACAATCCGCATAGATACGATAGATCGTTGATCATCCTCGAAATGTCTTCTGCATACCCGGCCCCCAACCTGTCCTGCCACTGCTACGCAGTCGAAGGCCAGGCGCCACATCTTGATGGTTAACGTTAGTGTGCGGGCACGGATAGGCATTCAACATCGTTAGGGGGAGCCACTAGCGGAACCATTGCCGTCAGCCAACAAGGATTGCTGTAAGCCGTTGTCACCAATAGCTTGCCGGCAGCCGAACTGCTGGCCTCTGCCCAGTCTCCAGATCACGCCAGCCCACTGTTCTTGTCGTTTGCTCCAGCCTCCAAGGGCTTGTCCTGACGCTTCTTCACAATGAGCGAAGGCCGGAACAGTGGAGACGCGCTGGCTGCATCCAGGGGCCGGTTGGTCTAAGCTTATTCAAGAAGGCCCATTTCGAGCGACGATCACCTGTCCCCCCCCCACCTTGGAGTGGTCGTGAAATCGAGAAATTTGCTCGCGGACGCCGCCATGCCGCCCTGGGCCTGAGAGGGACGGAATCGCCGCCGTGCCCTGCTTGCCCGAAAGGGCTAGTTAACTGGGATCTCGCAAGATTGCCTAGGTAGGTAGTCTCAACGTAGAGTACGTTATTCGTAGTGTATGTACTCCGATTACGCGAGCAATGTGAATCATAGGCGGGAAGCTCCTGTGGGCCAGAATACACAGGTGTTTTACACCAAAAGTGAGAGCGACGGATGAAGCCAAAATGCAAAACGCCATCATTTCTTCAAGTACCGCAGTAATCGTTTTACCGGGTACAGGGATGATATTCGGCGAGGGCGTGCTTTATTGTTTACCTATGATTACCTACTACTACTGTTGTAAGTATCGTGGGCACTTCTAGTAGTAATAAGTCACGGTCCCACAAAACCATCACTGGCACGGACTCTTTTTGGATGACCAAACGATCTGTCATGCTCACCCGCGCGGCCCCGTGACTTGCAGCTCCACATGTGGGAATTGCAGCTGCCAGTGCGGCATTCCTCAGCTCATGGTCCAATAGCGCATCACCTGCCATCCCGTGTCAACTCCTCAAGCTTCCCTCCCATGTCAGTACAAGCGCAGGACGTGTGTGTATTGATTGACGTACGAATACGTAGGTACCTAGTCTCTGGAGGAGGGGCCGCTCAAAGAGCCGGGTCTCTGTCGTCCCGTCGTCCCTGGCCCGGCGTGGCGAGATTACACTGCCTATGCGCACACCCATGATCTAAGTATAGGTGAAAAAGAAACGGACGATATCGAGCCGTCCGCCTCCCTTTTTGCCAGAGCCAACCCGATGCAGCCCTATCTCAATCACATATAGCCACCCCAGCTTCAAGTCCAAGGCCCCGGAAACCCACCGCATAACCCCCAATCTAACTGCTACAGAGTCTCCCCCTGATGACGAGACCGGACGGTCTCAGGACGGGTAGAACATATGGATGGAAGCATTCTAGAAAGCTGAAGATGGGGCATTATGCCCATGTGTCCAATATTAAAAGTAATTCAAAACCCGCCGGGAGGGTTCAGGGGAGGCTTAATCCCCAGGTTTTTCACATCAGCAACTTGCCGTCTGCCGTCTGCCGCCCGCCAGGGGGGACTTAGATGGAAGGTAAATGGACAAACACGCAGGAGCCCGCGCCTACCGGGCCCTCCCGAGAATCAGCAGGATTTTGCCCTACTCTTAAATCCTACTGCCCACCATCCCCAGACTATAGGTGCCTAACTAGGCACCCATTTCCGCCTCCAAGGGTCCGGGATAAAAGTATGGACGGATCGTCAGATGAAGGCAACGGAACAGCAAGTCTAGGTAGTTGTAGTGCTTCGCCCAGGATTCCTGGTTGGGCAATCATTATCAGAGCAACGAGTTAACAAGTAAGTACCCCTCTCAACCAAGGCAAGTCGCAAGACAGGGACGCCGTGACGGAACAAGAGGGACAGGCAGAAAACGAACAAGAGGGACAGTCTCGCAACCGGGTTTCTTCCCTTGAAGGCGTCCCTTTGATTTAGCCTGGAAGGGCCGATTCAGCAAAGGTCTACATCTCCCAGCCAATCAGGACTTGCGACTGGAACGGCTGGGGAAAACAAGGTGCGGCTGCACTGATCGTGGCGCAACCAGAATCTCCACTCATTGTCCCACCCTTGTTTGATAAGAAAAGGCAAAAAAAGAGGGAAATAATTCTCCTTCAACGCGTCTCCTCTTCCACTACTAACCAGCAAGGGCCTAGCACCAGCAGCAACCCCCCTGGAACCTCCACCGGGGTTCCAAGAGTTAGCTCCGATACCTGATGGGTTTATGCAACTACCGCATCCAATCTTTGTGCCTGCGACTCGACACACTAACACTGGCCTGCTGGACAGGAGCACCCTCGGCTACGCAGCAGGTCCCTTTTGTTTCCCGTGATCCCGGCCTATCCTCCGTGGTCCGCACATGCCTTCCATTCTGGGCTGTCCTCCCGATGCGAGATCCCTAGACCAGAACAGACCGAGATAGGCCCCGTCAGTTTTGCTTTGACGCGAGCTGAGTCTGACCCACATATTGGCCGGGTGCCAGATAGGTTGGGTAGCGCAAGGAAAGATCGAAGCCCAGCCTGGATGGCAGGAACCTAAGTCAGGAACCGCTGCTGCAGCAGCACACACGCGCCCCCCCCCCCCCCCTCCTCTTCCCCCCGGCTGGCCCGTGGCTCCATGAGGATCATGCAACAACAGATTGAGCCCGAAGTTGGCTTCCCGGATGTTACCCAACTCACCTGGCGCCAGTGGCCCAGTGGCCCCCTGATGCCGATACATGACGTCCTCCCCAGGGACCGTTTGATATCTGCCATAAACGCGAAATACCGCGTGGGACAAAACAGGAGTAGCCTCGTCACTGAACCAAAAGACGTACAGACGCAATCACGCAAGGAAATATCCCGTGGATCTCCATCCACCATCGGCTACCAAATTGAACCGAAGTGGAGTTTTCCTCAGCTGTCACCAAAGATGTCGGGTCCCTCAGGGTTCTTTCTTTTCCCCGTTGGTGAATCTCACCCCACCCATCCCCCCGCCTTAACCCCCCAAGCGAGCCCACTTAGCGTCCTAAAGCACTCGAAGTGCGAGGCGCGCGGTGCGAGAGTGTGAAGAGCAGGCAGAGGGAGATGAGGAGAAGAGTGATATCATCCCCTTCACCGGGAGCTCAGGAAGGTATCAGTCGGCAGTAGAGCAGTCCGGGGGACAGGGTCATGCCGGGTCTCCTCTCCCCTTTCTCCAGGCGCAAAACCAATGCCGGATTGCGATCGTGCCAAACCCAATTCTATCACCAAGGTAAGTCCCGTAGCGCGCCTGAACCCCCCAGCAATCTTTTATTACCGCAGTCATCATTTTAACCTTAGTTCGCTCGCTCGCTGCCTACGACTAGAGAGGCAGCTCGCCCCGATTCCGCACCACCCTGTATGTACAACCAGGGGTTCGGTAGGTACTGTACTGCGTAAGTGAGTAATGTCCCATTCCGCGCCTGGCTCCACCCGAGGCTCCAGGAGAAGAGTCAGAAACCCCCAAGTGAGTGCCTTGACACTGACAGTTTTGACATTGAGGGGGGGAAGAATTATGGAGCTACTTCCTAAATAAAAGGCCCGCGATCAAAGATACCGGGGGTACTGTGGTTTAGTTCACATCCAGGAACCGGCTCTTGAATCGCCGCCATCTTGGGAAGTGTCGCACAGCATATCAATATCTACTAGTTCTTGGGGAACCAACCATGCACAGGGACGGAGTTTAAAAATAAAGAATAAAGCAACCAAGAAGAGAACGCTGCATGGCATCATCATCATGAGTGCTAAACTATGCTATGGCTACTTCCGTGTAATGCTATTTTGTATCTATGTACCCTTGATGTGTGTGCTCCCGCCCGGCGGCTCCCAGAGCCATCTCCGCTGCTGCCCCTGGTGGGTTTCTGCACGCAATGACACACCCCTCCCCACTTAGTCTGAAGATGCAGGAGGGAGGGAGAGGGTCGCTCTGGGGAACGGACGCTGCGAGGTAGAGATGGATTCTACCGGTGAGCGAAAAAAGGCGACGCTGCCTCTCAGGCAAGCAAACCCAACCCTGCAGGGTAGCCCTCCGATCGTCATCCGGGGGCTGGGTGGGAGAGAGCGACGAGGAGAGCGACGAAGAAGGTGGGGTGTGTGTGCGCGAGCCCAAAACCCCACAATTAGGATATCCAGATCGAGCATCGTGGCAGGACAATCATGACCCAATGCGGCCTTTGAGTTGCCATCTTCCGGCGGGATCATCTCATGCTTCCCAGATGACCTGACCGCCCATCTCGCCCCGGTTTGGGTACTAGTGTATCTGATGTAGGACAGCGTAGCACCGTGGCGGTCACGTTGCATATTCTCCGATCCCTTCTTGCGGCATGACTTCCGAGGGCCAGGCCAAGCCGGAGCTATTTCGTGGTGGCGATGCGACGTCAACCTTTTACAGAGGTTGAGAAGCCGGCTGGTTAAAAGGGGGGAGGGGGAGTGGGAGGGTTAGGTCGTGGGGCGTGCGACGTGCGACGTGGTCATTGGAAGTCGTCGCTATCGCTGTCTAGCTCGAGGAGGAGGGCATCCTCCTCGTCGTTGAGCGCGAGCTGCACAAACTGCCTGACCCAGGCGCGCTGCTCTGCATCTAGATCGCCTCCGCCGGGGACGACGTTATCGGCGCCGGGGACCTGCCGTCCATGCGCTGCTACTGCGTCGTTGCGACGCTGCAGATGGTTGCGCGCTTGCTGATTTGCCTGCTGATTTGCCTGCTGATTTGCCTGTTGATTTTGCCGGGGAGGCCTAGCGTTTCCTCCTCCCCGGCGGCGAGCAGCACCTATCCCCCCTCCCGCTGCTGCTCCCATTCGGATTCCACCTCCTCCTCCTCCTCCTCCTCCTCCTCCCCCTCCGCCTCGCCCACCCCGCCCGACCTGGTCGCGTAATTGATGGCGTTGGCCTCGCGCCATATTTACATTACCCTGCGGCCCGACTCGGACAGGCAGCGCCGCCGCGAGCGCTGGGTCGGCCCGGGCGCGAGCGACGCCACGGTCTGCAGCCACTGGCTGGTTGCCCGCGATTCGAAGGACCAGAGGGCCCTCGCGAGCAAAGGCCACCTGTCCGTCGTTCTCCAGCGGGTTTCGGCGCCATAGTTCTTCCTGCGCAGCCCGCCGAGCGGCCTCAGTCTCCTCGTCTTCCTCGGCCTCCTCGATCTCAGGTACGACCTCCGCCGCCACTGCCGGGGCAGCGAGCTGCGCGGGACCCCCTGCGAAGCCGTAGCCCACGTCGTCGCCGTCGCCGTCCTCGAGCTCCCAGAGACGCATGTAGCAGCCCGTCTTCTTGCCGCCAGGCATCTCGTTGAAATGCTGGTAGGGGTTGCCGGGGTCGAGCCAGGCGGAGCAGAGATAGCAAAAGTGCGACTGGCACCGGTAACAGATCATGTGGTTGCATCCGTGCGTCTTCTGGGCTGGGGCAGCGCATGTCGGGCACGGCGTCGTGTGAAGCTTGACGTACTCGAGCGACGCCTGCTCCTCGGCCGTAAGCTCCTCCATGTCTCGCCGCGGGGTGCAGCGGACAAACTCGCCGTGCCACGACATGTTGCACCGGCTGCAGAAGGCAAACCCGCAGTCCTCGCAGATAGCGAGGAGATCCTTCATCGGCTTGTAGGGTTTGGATTTCAGCTCGCCTGTCCCGTTCTCCTCCTCAGCCTCGGATCCCGATTCATCGGATGACTCGACAAGCTCGAGTCCGCTGGGTTTCCTGTGCTTCTTGGACCGCGCCGCGCCATTACACCAAGACCGGGGACAGTAGATTGTGTTCTTGTCGGATTCCAGCTCGGTCTTGTACTTCAACGTCACGTAGCGTTTTACAACTTCTTGATCAAGAGGAATCTGTAGAAGCTCGCTCGGGCTGATGAACGTCTTGGCCTTCTTCCCCTTCCTTGACGCTGATGGTGACTTCAAAGCCGCCTTCTCACGATCCCTGGCACAGTTGGGCTCGAGACACCGTACCGCGGCGATGTCACCTTCCTTGATCGCACTGTTGTAAAAGTCTCGTAGACACTCGGTGCAGAAGACATGTCCACAGTCCAACATCCGGTGGCATACTGAGCCTTTCTTCGGATCTGGAACTTGTTGTTAGCCGTGTTCCGCGAGTATCTCCAAAGGGGGCCAACGGAGCGCAGACATACCTAAACAGACACCACAGTCAAAAGTCCCCTTCTCAAAGGCCGCCCGTTTAGCCCTGATGTCATGATCCAGTATCGTGATCTTGTGCTCCGGATCCACCACCAGGCCACCCGCCTCGTCGATGAGCCCGAACACGCTCTCGGCAGACTGCTGCACGTGGTCGATATAGGTGAAGCCGACGATGTCCCGACCCATCTCTTCCCACAGCCGGGGCCCGTCATCCTCCAGCCTCTTTACGACGTCGGCGGGCAGCCACGGCGGCGACGTGGATATCGACGTTTGCGGCGGGTCGCTGGCGGGGTAGCCGGGGCCGAGAGCTATCTGGAGGCGGATCGAGGGCAGGTGCGAGAGCTCGTGCGAATCGACATTCGCCTGGTTGGCCGGTACGCCGCTGGCCGGCTCGCCCCCATGACCAACGCCGTGAGGGGCTGATGCGCTGGCTGGGGCTTCGGTTGGCGTGGGGAAGAAGACGAGCACGTTCTTCGACGGGTTGACGGGCACGTCGAGGGCGATGGTGTAAGGGTCATCGCTGTTGACTCTCTGGATCTCGGGGAAGATCGCGGAGAGGGAGCTAAGCTCGACGTCGCGCGGGTCGTCGGACTCGTCGTCCATTTGGTTACGCCTATGGCTATGCGGGGAGGGAGGTTGTGGAGATCCCTCGGCAGCGGAGGCTATACGACAGCATATAGATGATGGTGTTGGTCTAGGGGGGAGAGGGTGTTCATGTGGGCCGGATGGGAAGAAGGGGCAGCCTCTTCAAGCTTCGAGGATGGATTGTGCCTGCGACTTGGGGGGCGAGAGAATTGTCGAGGTAGGCAATGATCCGAGGCCATTAGGCATGACTCTTTTCGCCGATGCGGGTACGGACTAGAGGTACATGCATATTGAATGGAAGAAACGGGCAGTTCCCAGTGGGGCGGCTCAGCGGTGCCACTGCAGCCGCTCGACTGAACGGCTTAAGCCGATTGGGTGACATGAATTTAGCACCTGGCAAGCCACGGATCTAGCGATGACGCCCTTTGAAGAATATCTCGCCCTCCAGGAGGAACCACCCACTTCTTTGGCGCAATTCGTACCCAACCGCCTCCTTATAGCGTGTCGAACTGTACCCCCCCTGAGTGTGTGGGCAATGCACCACTGAGTGGAGGATTTTGACGGCTTTGAAGCGACGGTTAAGCAGCAAAGGCTACCTAACAATGGCGGACAATGTGTCCCCTCTAGCCTCGTTCTCTCTCACCCACGTCTACTATGTAATGTCCCAACCGAAGCGCCCTTCTCTTCCCGCTTTTGCCTCCACCAGCTAACCTCCCCACCCGTCGACCCCCATCCCCCCCAAACAGGACCCCTCCGACCCCATCTCCTACCTATGCGCCTTCCTCGCGCTCGTGCCCCAGGCCCTGTGCGTCGTCTACGCCACCCTGATCTGGAGCACGCGCGAGGCCGAGGTGGCGCTCATGTTCGCCGGCCAGCTGGCCTGCGAGGCCGCCAACTTCGCCCTCAAGCGCCTCATCAAGGAGGAGCGCCCGAAGCGCATCCACGGCAAGGGCTACGGCATGCCCAGCAGCCACGCCCAGTTCGCCTTCTTCTGGGCCGTCGCCGTCGCCCTGTTCCTCGTCGTCAGGCACCGCCCGCGGCCGCGGCAGGGCGCAGCCCGCTCCGGTGGGGCTGCTGCGAATGAGACACCCGTCGGCGGAGGAGGAGGAGCAGGAGGGAGTGGGAGCAGGAGCATGAACAAGGGGGGCATTGCTGGCTCCGGACCGGCCACATCGGCCCCGGGCAGCACGGCGGCGTTTCGGGGCGGAGCTCTGGGGCCCCTGACCGCGTGGGATGTGGAGAGATACGCCCACCAGCCGTGGTCGTTGCTGGAGCGAGTCGCGGCCAGCGCTGTCGCGCTCGTGCTGGCCGCGATGGTGGCCTGGAGTCGCGTCTACCTCAACTACCACACCCCCAAGCAGGTCTTGGCCGGCTGCCTGGCCGGCGCCGTGAGCGCCGTCGCGTGGTTCGCGGCCACGTACGTGATGAGGCAGACGGGGCTGCTGGCCCTGGCCCTGGATATGCCCGTGGCGAGGTGGTTCAGGTTGCGCGACCTGGTCACCGAGGAGGATCTCTGCCAGGCGGGTTGGGAGAAGTGGGAGGATAGGAAATTGAGGGCCCTGCAGGCCAAGTCGAAGTAAAAAGAGGAGCCCATGTGGAGAGGAGATATCATACATATCACGTTAAGAGAGAAAGAAACATGCAAACTTGCGTTGGCCATTCAACGAGCTAAGGGCCCATGCATTCATTGAGAGTGAGAACCATGTTAGAGTGTGTTTGAAATTCCTAGCATTGATTCCTGTTTACGTAGAGCTTCATATCGTTTTCCTAGCTCTTCTTCCCAAGTCAAGGCCATCATCACCTACATACATAATCTACCCAACCCTTGTCCATCCGGCAGAGGAAATAAATGAGAAATCGGTAGTGAAAGGAATGCCCGATGATGGTGATGGAAATCTCCTCGATAAAAATAAAAAATAAAAAAAAGCTCCGGGGCAAGTAGTCGTTGCTCCCGCGAGTCCTCTTGGACGCCATTGTTGTATGCGATACAAAGCCCCAAACACCAGAAAAGCGAAAACGGAAAAGACAAAAGGGATACAGCCCCAATCAACAGGCAATCCGGTTGATTGCCCTCGACACTCCAAGCGCCTTACGATATAATCCCCGCTCCTCTTTTGGTACAGCTGTCAGCCAACGGGGTCTGAGCCGCGCCGTCGTCTATTATTCCCACGTGCAAACACCAGCAAATGCTTTCTTTCAAGGAGGACACGCAACATGCAAGTCTGAAGATGAGCCATTGAGACCAGATCAGATCCACTCAGCCTTCGTATTGGCTGGCAGGCCAGAACCGTCGCCAGATCCCTTGCGAGGAGGAGGTGAGGTGGCCGGGCTGCTGGGGCGCCCGTTATTGAACCTTGATGTGGGCATCGCTCTGTCCGCTCCCCGAGGACTGATAATTCTAGCCTCAGCGCTGTAGACGGTCGGACTAAGCACCACTTCTTCTCCTTCTTCTTCTTCTTCCTCGGCTTCCACCTGAACGGGTGCCGTGCCGCGGTAGGGTACAGGAGGTAATGTCTTCATCCTCGCATCCTTGACAGGGTCCCTCCTGGGACTGGCATCGGGGATGGTGTCGGCCTCCATATCGACCTGCCGTGTTGTGCTCAGCGGGCTTGGTCGCCTAGCAGCAGCAGGCTTCGGCAACCCTTCGGGGCAGTCTAGGGTGATCACCTCCGTGTCGACAGCAGTCGCACGGTTGCTCAACGGAAGCATGTCATCCACTGACGACAGCCTCAGACCGATCTGCACTGTTGCGGATGAGACCATGGACGAATCCCGCCTGTGCCGGCCAGCGAGGTTGCGGATTGATGGAGGGGGTTTAAGAGCATCGGCCGCCGATTCAGCATCCTTCGCCCGGGCATTCGAATGTGGTGCGTAGGTGGTGGCCGGCAAGAGCGTGACTGGCGACTTTGAGCTGGTGACGCTAGGGAAGATGTTGTATGACCGCTTCCGCATGTGGCCGATCGAGGCTGACGACATCTGGGCGGGCTGAGGAATGCTGACAGGAGGGTAGATGGCATTCGATCTCAATGGGTTGAGGCCGTTCGACCTCAGTGGGTTTAGGCGTTGGCTGACAAGTGTAATGGACGATGTACGGCTGGTCCGGGGCGCTGTACCGGCTTCCTGGTCCTTCTCGTTGCTAATCAAGCTCATCTCGCTGTCCATGCGACGCAAACTTCCAGGTCCCGATGCCCGGCCGATGACGTGGTCCTCCTCGTCCCCGTCACGGTCACTGTTTCTGGACCCATAGCGACGGATGGTATGCTTCAGTCTCTGTCTCTCGTACTCGCCGACCTTGTCCCTGGGTCCGATTGTTGATAGGGTATCCGACTTCAAGAACAAGTATAGGCCGCCAGTCATGACGCCTGACACGTTTGCCACCACCGAGGCGACCATGGCCAATGTGATTGTTTGGCCTCCGTCCGAGCCTGAATTGTCAGGGAAGGCCAGACAGTAGAAAAAGGGAAGCATGAAAGTCTGCCCGAGCATTAGCACCCAAGTCCAGTATGAGGGAGACCCGCACCCTATGCTTTCCACTTACGTTGGAGATGGTGGCGAGAGCCAGGTAATACACCATTCTCGAACTGGTAACCCTCTCGGTCACTTCAATCTTGGTGCTCCTGTGCAACTTTAAAAAGATGGTGATCCCGCAAACCAAGAGTATGGCAGTGATGGCGGTGAGGACACCAAAACAGCCGGTCCCATATGTGGCTATCAAGAAGAACAGGGAAGCGAAGCAGAAGTCCTTGGCCCTGATAAAATCGGCGACCAGGAAGTTTGTTAGAACGAGCAGACCGACGGTTGTCACGCATATAGTGACGGTCCATTTGCTCCTAGGAGGGAACGGCTTTTGTCGTAGTGCCCGCATTGCGACCTCGACGCCGAAGACAAGTTGTATGTAAGGTACTAGAAATACGGCTGTGTCTGGATTAACATCTACTTCACATCACGGTATCAGCTCCCTCTTGAACACTTACCGGGTAACATAATCTGGGATAGTAAGGTGCACCCCGTGATGAAGAACGTGTCCATGCCGGTCGCCTGTGCTCCTGCGAAAACGGTACTCTGAACAACGATTCCGAAAGATAGGACGAGAGGGTAGACCTCGCCAGATCGGACGAACGAGAATCCAGAACGACTTGAGAAGTTGGTTAGCATGGGCAGAGGCTGTCAGTGGGCGCGCACGCGCGGGGGGAGGGCTCCCTTACCTGAACGTGAAATCTCGGTTATTCCTCCTCGTCCTACTGTAATTATCGTATAGGATCCCCATCGCCGTCGCAAAGGCCGCAATCGCGTTAAAGGTGGCTAATATTATCGTCGATGTCCTGACTGACTTGGCCGCCGCGAACCTGAACTGGTTGATAATCATCTGCTGGGTGGTCGAGTTGGTCGCGGCCTTGAAGAAGGGGTTCGTCCCATTCTGCGAGGGGCCCGTCGCCACCTCCCGCAGCGCCAGCCATACTGAGCCATCCATCACGAAGGGCGACATTGGTTCTATCGTGAACTGAGGCTGGCAATGGCGATGAGCCGGAGTAGTGGCCTCGAGTCCCGTCGTCGTTAAGTCATCCAAACAAGCGGTCGATATCGTGATAATTCGTCGATGTTGGACAGGAAAAGGCAAAGATGCAAGGAAGGGGAGGGAGAAGGGAGTGTAATGGCAGAGCGACGGGTGGGTCACTGACCAAAGGTAGGGATATCTCCACAGACTAGACGAAACAGCACCCGGGCCACAGCGAGAGGAAGGCTCATGACTGGGAATAGAATGCCTGCAGGGGAGGCCGTGTACCTTGGCTAGACCACACGACTAGCAGCACACGCACCAGCTCGCAAGGTTCCCTTCGAGGTGCCTCCTCTCCTACGGACGAGGAACGCATAAACTAGAGACAAGTTCAACATCAGAAATCCTGGTCACCCGTGGATGGACGATGGGATGGACTATCCCGCCCTGCGGGGAGCAGAGAGCCCGTCCAATGTCCACCCTGCACAGTCAAGGGTACCAACATCCAGCCCAGCTGTGTGTGCAGCGTCAGGTAGGGCATGTGGAGGCGCATCCTCGAATAGGCACCCTCATTGGGCGAGATCAGGAGCATCACGGTCAACGGACCCACCGACGTGAAGCTGGACGAACCGGTAAGGCATGTGCAGCGGACCAACCACATTTCAGACATGGGGCGACGGTGCACGAAGCACCAAGACTAAGGTACCTAATGCAGAGCAATTGGTGACATATTGAAGGGGGTCTAGGTCAGATCGGCCCCTTGGGGAGATCTGGGCGCTGCGGGGTTGAAGATGGGAAGGCATTGATCCGGTCTGGGATCCAAAGAGGACCAAAAAGCGTCGAGGCATTGCAGAGCCGATGGGGGTGAAGCAGTCATGTAACAACCTCGGGTTTCAAAATGCCCCGCCAAGCCGCGCTATCTTGCAGCTTTGGCCCACTAAAACTGAGCCCCATAAGCTTCACCATTCCTATTCCGGTTTAGCTGCCAAGCAGCAACCATGTGCGGATCAACCCGACGGGGTTGAGCTAAACCTTGTATCAAACCTCACCTCAACTGGTCCAAGCTCCCACACACCCACCCACCACCAGCTCACCTCACCTTGAACTCTCAGGGCTTGACCCGCTCACTTTGCCGGTATCATATGGGCATGGAGATCTTCGTCCCACCCTCAGAAAATTCTTCAAATAGCCCGCAAAGATTATGCATCCTAACACCCTGTGTTATGCTCATGAGCCGAAGAGCGGCATCAACCGCTTTGAAAGCGATGCTGATGAACTTGAGATCTAAGAAAAGTGACCTCATGCATCATTCGACTACCGAGATATATTTTAAGACTTGGACCAGAATTGTTCTCGGCATTGGACTTATCGCAGGGCAAAGACAAGGTCGAAGGTGGGACGATTCGTTCTTTAGTTAATGCAATAATATTGTGCACAAAACAAAAACAGTGGGCTGTTGCTGGCCTGGGAATTTTTCGTCTTGGCCAGAGGTTGCCGCCAGAAATAATAGCTACTGTGTAGTATAATTCTTAAGAAGAGTAATAAAGGGCATAGCCTGGTCAAGAGTTTTGCACAATAGCCGTCAAGAAACCTGACTCTGATTTGCCCAATTGCCTTCCAGAAGTCTAAGCCCACGTTCTATGGCAAGAAACAGTAGTAGCGGGATATATCAGTTTGGGAAGCATAGCCCGCCCGCTCATGAAGCATGGCGTGTGTCATGTTATGTGGACGTGCTGAGGTATCGCACGGCAAGGTCAACAACCCATGTCGGATTCTCTGCCAAGAGGTGTGACCTCCCTGTGTACAATCCCTTGGCTTGAACTTTGCTCGTGGCCAGACTCCATCGATCACCATGTGCATCCAACCTGGGAAAGAAGGGAGGTAGAAGTACTTGGTTATTTTTACTTTCATCTCATCCCATCTCACCAAGTGCCGCTGAGCTCACGTCCCTCGAAGCCGTAGATTTGAAACGGAAAATTTCGCCTTTGAGGGGGTGTGGGAAAATCCCACCGAGTAATGGCAGCTTCAGCTTAACATTAAATCCGGACACCCAGGGACGCCGACTTCGTACTGGAGCCGAAAGCATCTCCCAGAAACTCTTGGTAACTACAGTAGCCCGTAGCCAGGTGGGTGGCAAATTCCCAATCAGAGAATAATAATAGTCTTGCCCTTGCCGGCTATTATTCAACCCGTCCATGCGCTCCCCGCTCCAATCCAAAGGAACCGGTAGCACACTCCAAGTCACCCAACTATGCCGGCGTTGACCTGGGTGGGTGGTGTGAGAAGGAACGTGATTCGTCCCCAGAGCGAGGGAGGCTCTACGCATTATTGTAGAACTGGAATAACAGATCCCTTATGGAATCTTGTCCTTCCGAAATGATATCTTATCCCAACTCCTGGACTCGAGCCGGGGATGCCCTTGCCCTGCGATTACCTCTTTCAACCCAACAGTGGTGAGTTTACCATCCCTGTCTTTTGCCTCGCTAGTGCTAGAATCTCTTCATCCTTGGCCTCCGAGGAGAAGAAGGAAAACTTTCAGCGATGACGGTTAGACTCCACCTCCCTGACGGATTGTAAACGCTGTGAGCCTCCACCCAGAGAAGCAAGGTTTATCTGGGGGGAGTCATCGAGACTCCGACCTCCAGACTTTGACTGCCTCTGCCTCTGTAGTCCAGAACTCCGGCGACTTCTGAGTTCATCTGCTGTGCGATAGTATAGGCTGTAATAAGATGTATAGGTGAGCACCAAGACTCTGAGAGAACTCATCAATCAGCACATGCTGCTAGACAACCAACAGAAGGCTCTTTCCTCTTCTTTTGTTCTCCACTGATGGATATCTGGTCAAGGACATCCAGATATCTACAGCTAGGCCTGGACACCAGGAGCGCCGCCACGCCGAGCTGTCAGTAGAACACTAGCCGGTCACCATCACGTACCGATGCTTGCACAATATTCCGAGGCTGTCTTTCGCGTAGGCCCTAAATTTTATCAATTGTCCAAGCCGGCTGCAAAATTACACCCCGGGTATCAAAACCGACAAGAGCCCACACTCGTAGACCCTTGCATAACATTTTTGTGTGATTCCACTCAGAGAGCCCATTCCAAGGAGACTCTTCTTCCAGACTTCTCTTCCATCATGCAGTATCCATCAGTTGGCCTTCTTAGCACCCACTCTAGCGCTCCTGATCTTGAACGCATCGAAAATATCGGCCGAAGCAACATAAATGGCATAGGCTGGGATAAACACCCACAACATGTTGAAGAAAACAAGATAAACCCACAGGTACATGAAATTGCTGCTGTCCAGATTGACGTTGCCCGTAAGCCACTCGGGACAGAAAGTCATGAAACCTATAAAACGGTGGCCAGGTCAGAGGAGGTGACAATTCGCAATTGGGGGTGGGCGGGAGTGGGTTTCTCGACAGCTCCAAGCCATCGCCGAGGACGTCAAGGCAGACCACCTAGACAGGGCGACCCAAAACGTACCTCCATACAGCTCCGCAGTTGCCAACATGATCATGGTGATGTTGGCGCGAGGATTCTTCTTGGCGATGTCGTAGCAGACGGAGACCGCCATGGGACCGACGACGAAGACGGTCAGGAGCTCGAGGCTTACCACGCCCTGGGTTGACATGAGCTATCAGCACTCTCTTGTCTCTCTTCCCTCATAACTTCCCCGAGGAAAGGGGCATGAATAGAATCATACCAGATCCACGCCCGCCCACCTCCTATCCGCCCTGGCGTACACCATCCACAACTGCGCAAAGGGATTAGCGCCGCCGGCCTGCGAGCCGTGCACGCGGTCGGTGTGCCCGAGGAAGTTGTGCGGGTCCGGGTAGAAGCCCTCGGCGGCTGCGTCGAGCGGCAGCGACGAGAAGAAGCAGTGGTACAGGAAGCTGCCCTCGAGGCAGAAGTGGATCAGCGCGTCGAAGGCGTGCCAGATGAAGAGGAAGCGGAGGCTCGACGCGATCGACGACGAGAGGCACCGGCGCGACAGGCCGTACGCCAGCGCGAGGATGGCGACGGTCGAGAAGAGCGAGACGAGAGTCGTCTGGTCGAAGAGGTCTGGTGGGAGGGTTGAAGCTGCCATTGTGGGCTTGTTCCGCCGCGTATCTCGGGAAATGGGAACTCGTTTGCTTTGCCCTTTATTAGACTGATAATAAGCCGACAGCAATAGGCTCTTGGATCCCAGCGTTTTCAGTTGGCCCATTCACCACTCAAGAGCGAAGAGGTTAGGGGTTGTCAAGTGGGGAAGCTCAATCACAGATGCAGTCCGTGCTCAAGCTCTTACCCAGGTTACCCTTGTCAAGCGCCCCGCAACGCAGGTACACCGTTTAAAAGGGAGTTTATACATCACGGAAAGCGAGATCAGTTGATGTCTAGCAAAAGCCAGTGTGTTTATTTGCAAGCTTCTTGAAGGTAATCCATCGTGAGGGTATGATAGTACAAGTGTCCTCCCAAAATATCACTAAAGGATATCTGTCTCCCTGAACGCCTTCATAACGAACCCAGCCCTTTCCCAACCAGTGTTGTCGAAGGAAGCTTAGTGGGTGGCAGCTTGCTTGTTGGCCTCGGCCGAGGTGTCGCTCTTCGACTCCTTTGCCTTATCAGAGACGGCGTTGCCGGCAGACTTGATGCGGGAGCCGACGGGGGCGTCGCTATCCTTGGCAGTCTGCTTGTTGGCTTCCTTGGAAGCACCGTGGCCGGCACCTATTCGACAATTTATCAGCTTCGCGGTCAAGGTATGGAGGCGTGTCGAGCAGATAACTTACCCTGAACCTTGTCGGAGACGTAGTTGGCGGTGTTCTTGATAGTATCCATGTTGATTGTTTGTGTAAGTTGTTGACGTGAAGTCTTTGGGTTTGATTTGCTTTGGAAGTTGGGTTGAAGATTGTTGGTTGTCTGATGAGGAGGAGAAGTTGACCTCAAGGCGGGCCGCCATCGAGCTTATATACATATAGGTTGAGATCGGTACGTATATTGGCCATCCGATGGCAGGTTGGCAAGCACACGGGCAGTGATGGATAGCGTCATCGTACCATCGAGTTTGGAATCTAGATCCGGCATGTGAATGTGGTGTAGAAAGCTACAGCTACGTCATGGATGTGGGAGATGAATCAAGGCCTGTGAGAGGAGCAAACTTGACATTAGGTAATCATGATGCAAGGAACCTCGCTGCAAATTACTGCATATCATCTACTAGCCGCATATTCTGCTAGCTCCAACCCAGGTGTCTGCAAAATGACGACACCATTTTGTTCCCTCCCACATCGCCGCTTGCTGTGCTCCGCAAATTCCAATAAGCAGTCATAAGGCGACAGAAAGATGTGTAAGCAAGGCGGTACGCCACGTACGCAGATGTCGTCATGATGATGATGGCATCCTTTCTTCTTGGCCTGACCCGGGTCGTTTACTCCTTTGCTGGTCAAGGGCAGCTTGACGGTAGCAGTAAGATCGTGGAGGTAGATCTCCGGGCGATACCGCATGCTAAATTGGTAACTCGCAGTAGTAGTTGTTCTGGGCCAGGCACAATCTTCGATGGAGGCTGATGTGTCTGAGGGGCAAGTCAATCTTAGATAGATCCCGTTCCTACTAGGCCTGTTCCGTGGCAAGCAGAAGAAGCACTACTTGGCACATCCTGGATGTGAATGTGCCACTCTCGGCCAGCACTCAGCAGAGCTCCGGCCATATCGAAGTTGGGGTGAAGGCCCCTCGTCTTCGTCCGAGCTACCCGGCTCATTCCGATGTTCTCTGGGCGATCAGAGAGAGCAGGCAAATTGGGAAGAAAGGATTCCAATCTGGTACACACAAGTATGGAACCTACCTAGCGAGCCTAGGTAGCTTTTGGTTATCTCATCTAGTTCCGCCTTTGGGGTTACTCTGGGCAACCAGAGTTTCCAGATCAGCCACTCCCCGTCTGCGGCTTCCCGTCAACCCTGGTACCATATCAGTCTTCACGACCTCGCCAGACAAACAAGCCACTTTATGAGACAAGGTTGAATCTAGTCGTTGTTCTCGTTCCCCCATCCTTTGGAGAGTGTTTGGTTTCGGAAGGCGACATGTGGTGACTCGGTGGAGGCACACCTGAGGTGGCCAGGGGTCAGATAACGCCTGCCCTTCATGGAAATCAGAGCAGATATACCACAATAGAAGCTGCGGTTTTCAACGGCAAGGGGGTTTCAATGGTTTAGGACGTCCCGATTGGTGTAGTTGTCAACATTTCGGATTCTCATATCTTGTAGAGCTCCGGAGCCGGGGGTTCAATTCCCTCATCGGGAGTTTCCTTTTTGCTCTCCTTGGGTCATTTGTTCTATCTCGTGCATTGCTGTCGACGCGACTGTCTACCACTTCTCCTAGGCTTTCCGGAATCGTCCAGAGATTCTGCATATCGTACGTCCTGGCACAGCAGGCTCTTGGCACCCCTTTTTGGCGACTCGAGTACCCATCCAGATACTCTGTTTCTCTCCATCCCGGGAGGTCCCTTGCCTTGGCCGACGGTAGGAGGCGAGACAGTCTAGACGCTACACGGCACTACGACACTATGGCACTGAGGAATCCGGGCCAGTATGCATGTTGAGTTGCTAGTATGCCTGGAGGAATAGAAGAAATGTGGAGTTCGGAATTGAGCGCTATCAAGCTGTGACAATTCGAACCAAGAGTGTATTTCACTTCATATAGAAAGAAGGACTCTAGAGCCAAGGCCCCATAATCAATTATATATCAACCACAACCGACCGGTCCAGTGTAAATGAAAAGACAGGCGGCCCAGGAGAATCCGCGACACAAGACAAGCACCATGTCCTAAACCGGAGCACTTCATAGAGATGTTTCACAAGCAGAAGCCTAGAAGCCCAAGAATACGGCGCCGGCGGCCAAGAGGGCGAAGATCGTGACGTGAGGCTGGCCAAGGATGCCGGCCTCGTTGACGATGACGGTGGACGGCGTCGAAGAAGGGCCGGATCTAGTCGTGTTGGAAGGGCTCCCGGTTGGGTCTTGAGCCGGGCCCGGGTTCGTCACGATGAAGAAGTTGCCCGCCACAACCTTGTTTTGGAGCCCGGCCTGCTGCAGTACCGCCTGCGCCTGGAAGCCCCGGCGGTTCGCGGCCGCGCCCTGGAGAGCGCCCGTTGCCTGGGTGCTGACACCGCTGGTGTCGACCAGGATCTGGGTGTAGCGGTGGCTAAGCGGTGTCCTTGCTGGTGGGCTGGGTCCGAAATACGGCGCCAGGGCAGGCGTGTTGGCGGCGTTCTTCAGGAGAAAGACGGCTTGGCTCCCGCTTGTCATGTTCAGTTGCGTCGGGGTCGTCGCCGGCGTAAGGTCGGTCTGCATCCAGTGAAGGAGGGTGTCCGTTACGGACGTATTGTTTGTCGGGATGTCAAGATCGATCATGATGACGGCGTATGAGGTACCCGTGAGTTGGGTTGCGGTTCCGATTTGCGGCTCGTTTGCGCTTGCTGAAGTAGCCAGGGTCAGGCACAGAACCCTCAATGATGTCGCGCAATGACAAACCTTCTTTAGATATCGTAGCCCCGTTGAGGGCTGCGAGGTTCGAGAATTCGACTATTAAGTCTGTGTTCGAGGCTGGCTCAAACCTGGCCGGGGTCTTTGCAAACGACACTGTCGCCGCCGCCACCAGGACAGCCAAAGACTGAGACAACATTATCGCGGGAAGGGATTGAATGAAAGCGCACGTAAAATAATGTGTAAAATGATGATAACTATGGTATCAATTGGTAGTGCGCCAGGCCTGGTAGAATCAAAATAAATGCGAAGAAAACGAGATAAGTTCAAACCAAATATCCGTCAAGGACGCAGGTTGTTTTTGACTGACAGCAAGAGCCAGAGAGACGGGAAGGAAAATACAAAGCAACGGGCCATATCGCAAGCCAATACTCCCTCTTTCTGTGTCTTCCAGTAATGATTTTCGGCGATCCCCGTCACGCAGAAACGATGACGACCAGGCGAAACAGGATGTTAGCGACTTGTAACACGAAGCATGGAGCATGAAGCATTGACCGGGGCGACACTTGGCCAACCTTTTCTGCCGCCCACCAATTGATTCGGGCTGACAGGTGTGCAAGGAGAGGAAAGCCCTGGAAGTTGGTTAATAGGTCGCAAGAGCTGACGAGGCCTGAAGCCGGAGGAAAGAAGGGTCGTTGGTACGTGTGTGTTGCAACTTTTCCTGGCTGAAGTTGAGGCGTCGCGTTGATCTTGGCGTTTTAAGCAGAGCATGGAGATCCATGGCAGTCAACCTCGAGAGCAGCTTCCTTCGACGCTTCGATTCAATCGAACAATCTGAGAACATACTTTGATTCCCGCATGAAATATCATCGCTGCGGGAAGGGAAATAGAAGCATGGGGCGGTATCCCGGTCAACAAACTCTGGTCGGGCCGTCAAGATTTCGCACCCGCACTATGACATGACTGTCGGAAGCGATAAATTAGAGCACGACAGCTACGGCATGTTAAAATAACAATCGGCCACAACTTCCACGTCTGGGGCTTCGCTCACTCGGGATGAGAGGAGACGAGTTCAGAACCAGAGCACTCGACGGAATCATCCCGTAGAATGGCTACTTGAAATAGAAGACTGGGCAGAACTAGCGTCTGAAGGAGACATCCATCCCACGGAGAGATATCGGGTCACCTTTTTCTCCGCGCTCCCCTTCTCCGCTTCCATGTCCAAACAGTTGGAACCGGAAACCCCGAACTGAAGCAACAGCGCTCCAAACCCAGTCACCACGAGTGGGCAGGCTCAAGAGCTCTGGCCGCGATAGCGTCGCTCCGTCGTGGAACCTGCCCAAGAAACGCCAAGAAACGAGGGCGTTTCTTAAAAACAATACTGCCCTGGGCAGGTCAAACCAGTGGAGATGGAAATGGCGATGCCAAAGGCGCTGCAGTGGAAGGTTCCCAGAGCTGCTCGCAAGTGCTTACATAATAGCCGTGTGGCAGCGAACACCACGTGACAGTCACAATTACCCCGCCAAACAGCCTGGCCAAAGCTATAGGTAGGGTTGTGAATGGAGCCAGCTCGGACTGGCGTCATCAGTCTTCACCGCCCCGCAGTGGTTTGGACCTCGCTCTGGGGAACCGGCAGTGAGTGTAGATAGTTGAAGAAGATGGAGTAAAGGGATGCAAAGGACTGGAATGGAGGAAAGACTGTTATTTGGGTTGAACTGCTATCTATCCCTTGACTGAACACCACTGATACCATTGTGTGCCTTGCCTTTGCTTGTAGTCAACTCAGCCCCGCGTCACTCTGTTCCCAGATTCTAGTGCTGCCGATTCGCCGTCGAATGTTCTACAACCACCTGAGGACCGGACCCGCACACGATCATTCCCACCTTACTTACACTCTTCTGACAAGGAAGATGACACAACCCATTGATCAACCTCTCTATTGTCTCAACTGAACAATAACCCGACCTACCCAGCTTTCATCTTTGTTCACCTCTTCCCAGCATTGCTCTAGTCTATTGAGTGGCCTGCAACCTACTCCAAATACATTCGTCACTGGCTGACCTTGACTCTGCGCCTTTTTCTTAATCTTCCGCACTGGCTGCCCGGTTGCCACTACCTTTAGGCTTTAGCTGACTTTCCTTCCTTCTGACATCACATCGTGTGTGCGGCGATCTCGGCAATACCTGTCTCGCACTGCATAAGCCATCATTGAACCAACCACCTGCATTGGTGGACGCCGACTGCTCACGACGAACCTCACAAACTGCTAAGACATTGCCAAGATGGTCAAAGAAACCAAGCTGTATGACCAGCTTAGTATCAAGCCTGATGCTACTCAGGATGAGATCAAGAAGGCTTACCGGTAAGTTCCATCTGGTCTCCTACTATTTTTCTTTCTTCTTTCTTTGTCCGGAATCGAGAGGCCACCGGCGCCACCCCGATTCCCGGGATCGCCGTGGTGTGTGATCTTGATCGCCGGTACCTCCTCCTCCTCATCCTCCTCCTCCTCTGTAGCCTTATTCATATCCCCGTAATCCTCAAACCACTTTTACACTGATACGTTTGACTGACTCCACGACCCTCTCTCCAGGAAAGCCGCCCTGAAATTCCATCCTGACAAGAACAAGGATAACCCCGATGCGAGCGAGAAATTCAAGGAATGCTCCCAGGCATACGAAATCCTCTCCGACCCAGAGAAGCGGAAGACATACGATCAATTTGGTCTCGAGTTCATACTGAGAGGCGGAGCCCAGCCGCCTGAGGCTGGAGAGTCCCACCCCTTCGCCGGCGCTGGCGGTATGCCGGGGGGCTTCAGCGGGTTCGACTTTGGAGGCATGCCGAGCTCCGGTGGGGGGCGGACCTTCCACTTCAGCACCAGTGGTGGTCCTGGTGGATTCAGCTTTAGTAACCCTGACTCCATCTTTGCCGAGTTTATGCGATCAGCTGGCTCCGGTGGTGGTGGTGGTGGTGGTGGTGATGATGACCTCAACGACATATTCTCTAGCTCATTTGGTGGCCGGAGCTCTGGTGGTCGCGGTTCGCGCATGCGCTCGTCCTTTGGCGCCGAACCCATGCGAAATGCTCGGCAACCTACGCCCGAGGTGACAACCGTCGAAAGGCCGCTACCACTCGCACTCGAAGACCTCTTCAACGGAGTGACCAAGAAGATGAAGATCAAGCGCAAGATGTTTGACGAATCTGGCAAACGGACAACGACTGATACTGTCCTGGAGGTTCCGATCAAGCCGGGTCTCAAGAAGGGTAGCAAGATCCGCTTCAAGGGTGTTGGAGACCAGGAAGAAGGTGGACAGCAAGACTTGGTCTTTATTGTCGAGGAGGTTAGTTTTGCCCGGTCCATTAATCGCCTCCACATTTTCTCCTTGTCGGCCTAGCTACTGACTACATTGACAGAAACAACACCCATTGTATATCCGGGAAGGTGACGACATTGTCCACTTTGTCGACCTCGACCTCAAGGAGGCCTTGACTGGCTGGAAACGAACTGTCACCACCATTGATGGCAAGCAGCTCAACATCGAGAAGTCTGGACCTACCCAGCCTGGCAGCTCTGACTCGTATCCCTCTCTGGGCATGCCCATTTCTAAGAAGCCAGGCCAGCGGGGCAACTTCATTGTTAAGTACAATGTTAAGTTCCCAACAACGTTGACTGGGAGCCAGAAGCAGAAACTGCGGGAGATTCTCTAAGGAAGATGGATGGAAGACCCAGACTGTCATGATCCCCGCCATCTGGCGAACCACAAGAGCAGACAGGGCCAGTCGGGAATGGAAATGGACATTAGATCTTGGCACTACTGGATCATTGAGGGCCCACGGGTTATGGTAAGAGACGCCATAGGTATGGATGGTGGGTGGTAATCGGTGCATTTCCCTTATTAAGACATCGTATGAACGGTGGAGTTCTGGCGTTCCCGCGCATCGGAAATCGAGAGGGTTATCCAGGGGTGGCGGTAAACATAGGTGCAAAGCACAAGCAGTCACGATATCTTCAGCAATTGTTTTGTACTGGTCTTTCCCCCTTTTTGCTTTAATTTAGGTACCTACCAGGTGGCATAGAAAATAACGATGACTTCTATTTTTACACTCTCGTAGGCGAATAACAATTCCCAGAGCTTAGAGGTGTTCGACGCCAAAAGTCCCGCCAGCCTCTACAGGCAATATCTCCAGGAGGATGGTGAGGTTTCCCAGCCGATCTTCTGCAACGCGCGTTTTTCCTCCTATCTATCCCTGTCCCACATCTCACAGGCCGTCTGAGCTTTCGAGGGCGGGAATTATCATCCCAGTTGCGTAGCCGCCCTAGAGAATATTGCTAGGCACTGTTGTCGAGGCCGTTGGGTTGACATTAGACGCTCCCCTGGCTGGCCTAATTCGTGTTTGGCAGAGCTGGAAATCGATATCGCTGCGCGATAGGTAAACGGACAAATGAATACCACAAAGTAGCTGCACTTGAGAAGGAGCCTGTGGCCAGGTATGGGCATCCAGAACGGGAGAATCCACGTGGAAACGCCATTGGAACGCCTGGCAGTGATGGGCAGCAGTCATGGATGTTTACCTGTGGCAGGTACCCACTCACCGGCAGAATTGGGCGGTGACAGAAATTGCGAGGCTCAGAAAAAAATTGTGTAGACACGCACGGACCCATTACTCCAAATATATATACCTCGCAGCCCACCAGCCTTCTTGTCCTCTTCTTTTCCCTTTTTTTTCCTTGTCCTAGTGCACGGTAAGCCATCGCACCCTCCACCTTTGATGAGCACTTCAGCTCCGGAATGTATAATACTAACTGATACATAGGGCTTTACGTATATCAGTGAGGATTCGTCCGAGATTACGTTTTTGCTAGTTGAAAACTATTACATAACCGCTCCTATTGGGCTTCGGCCTGGTAGGGAATTTTTGGCACCTCACATCTCTGTCGAGATCTTCTTTTTCGTTGCTCTCGTTCCCTGGTGGAGCGTTGCAAAGAAGGAGACATCGCCCGTGACACTGGGCTTGTTTTGTTTTGGGCCCTGAAGGCTTTTGTTGTGGAGTGGAGTATCCCAGCCAGTGGCTCTACCGAGATTTGCCGAGGGGACCAAAACGACGCGTTCGAGCAGTGCTATGCAGGTATTGACAGTCTTGATGAAACGTACAAATACCGTCACATTATGGATCGAGGCGTCTGTTTGTGCCCTTGAATGCTGGCTTGAGCTGGCGCTTGTCGGAGCTATCCGATCACACTCTGTCCAGAACCGGGAACCTTCGATACCGCATTGATCCATGCCATTCCTGGACCTTCCAGTATTTTCCATGTATGCAGTTCATCCCAAGTTATACGTATGCCATGCATCTAGTGTACTACGCAGTAAAGATCTGTGAGACAGAAACCAGTTGACTTGCCTAGGTTGGTGATCCAGACTTTGGTTGCTTGAACCCCCACGGAGCAGCAAAATGTGAGAAGCTACCTAGGTACCTACATGGTAAAGCCGCCCGGTTGCCTGGTCACCGGCGTTGGTGGAGCATCCATAGATTAGTCACAAACCTAGAAAATAGAGGGTTGGTGGCAAAAGCCGAGGCCCACTTGTATTGTACTTGCAAATCCCACATGGACCTTCATTGTTGTGCAGGTGATGCATCTCCTACGTTACGTTCTTAGTAAGGAACAAAGTCCTTCCCTTTCATACTGTGGATGGCAGGGCGGTAACAGCAGCTGTGTGCGCAAAAGAAGGATTAGGTCAGGTGGGGAGCTCCCTTGATGGATGAGAGGGGAAATCAGGCTCTGCACTGTGGCATGGGCACTGTAATCTAACAAAGTACCTCCGAACACAGATTGGGATTTCTTGCAAAGATTTGTTACGATTGGCTGGGATACTCTCAGGTGCCTGGATTCTCCCAAAATGAGTTTGTCCAGCACTGTACTTATACTGGAACACGGGATGGCACAAAGGAAAGTGGGAGGGAGGAGGGAGAGTAAAAGTGGGTCTCCGGCTAAGCGACTCCTCGCCCAGTTGCCCAGGTGCTGGGAAAAGAGCCACTTGCCTTTCTGCTCAGGTGGCCGGCCCTGTCACTTAATCATCATTCAACCTCACCTCCCCAAACCCGACCGTCAATCAATCCTCAGCCCTCAGCGCACCGACGAGGCTCTTGACTCCAGCGAAAACCAATAGCAATTATTCCGACGGCTCCCTATTCACCTTACAATAGAGTTATCGACCGCCCGACACCGTTCCGATTGCCTGGGGGAGTGCATGTTGCTGGATTTGGGGTCGCCGGCTGCGGTTTTCGCGCGACTCGCCACAACAACCTCCTCCCTTCGGCACCCGATACTGCCACCACGGCCATCGCGCGCATCGCCAGGTCCTGCCGTTTCGATATCTAGAAGTCGGAATTGAGATCCTGTTGGATTTTTTTGTCCGTGCCTGTCCGGTTCGCTCGACAACCGTCGGCCACTTCCCCACCCGCCAAGACCTCCGCCCTCTCGCTCGATCACCTGTCTTCCACGATCCACCATGTCCTTCCATCCTCAGACTCCCCAAAGTCCCTCGCAGTTCTCTCCGAGCAATACAGATCCATCAATCAGCATGACGAGTTCGATGGCGTCGGTCACGACTCTGCCGACGCCGGCGCATAGTGTCAACGGAAGCTCGATGCCATCGGAAATGGCCCACGACATGGCGATGTCGGACGAGTCGCCACAGAAGCGCAAGCGCCCACTAGAGGATTTGGGAGATCGAGAGCACAAGAAAGTACACGTCGAGGACCGCAGACTCGGTATTGAAAACCTTCACTTGGATGTCGGCGAAAAATACCTACTTTGCAGAACTCGTAAGGCTCCCTTTAACTCCAGCAGCAGATGCACTCTCCGCTGCTGGGCGTAGCCGTAGGGTGCTTTTTTCCCTGTCAGATCCTGGTTAACATTGTCTCTCTGCAGCACACCGACCGTCGCGGCCACAACTATCCGAAGATCTCTTTGAGAGGTTTGGTTTGACGGGGCTTGCTGCTGAAGTCGCTCGTGTGCTGCCAAACGGCGAGAAGAATGCAATCAGGAAAACGTACAAGGGCCATATCAAGAGACTCGGCGTGAATGGTCACTTCGATTCCGTCAAGACAGATGCCGACAGTCCCGACGGATTCCTCGCCATGGTGAAATTCCCCGAGGAGGAATGGTATATACACCACGTCAAGGGAAAGGAGATTGAGAGTGGATTCTCGTATGACACTCGCGCCAAGATACCCAGAGCCGTTTCCATGTCCAAGGGCATTGTTCCCAAGTCCGTCTGGGATAGCTCGGTCCTTGGGGAGTTGGGTCCGGGGAATGTTGGAAAGGGTGATAAGCCGCCATCATTCTCAAAGGCGACGGCACCAAGCACCCCTGCTACCACTGCTGCAGCACCGGCCGCAGTCGGGATACCGCGCACGAAGCCGCAGCCGTTGGGTGGTCAAGGGGGAGTCCGACCACAGCGGAGCGTCAAGAAGCGCAGCTATGGCGATAGCAGCTTCGAAGGCTACGGAGAGGGCTTTCCCGATGACGACCACGGGGCCGAGACGGGCTACTCGACCGGTGAAGGCGAGATGGCCGGCCCCGGCCTGAAGAGGAGAAAAAAGGTGCTTATCAGAGGCTCAGCCTTGGATGGTGAACCTTTGCTGACAAGTTGCAGAACAACCCTGGTGGCCAGCCATTCCCTCAAGCCCGCCAGCCAAGCTACGGGCCGGGCATGGTAGGAGCCTGAGAAGCCGGCCGAAAAGCCACCGGGAGCCGGAGTTGCTTCGAGCTACCAGGACTGCCAAGTCCGAGACGGAGGAATTCGCCGCCCACTGAAGTCCATCCCGGCGATACCTAAGCCAACTATCAGGGTGATACCTGGCTGGCCATGGATGATGCTCAGCAGTGCTGCAGATTGGAACCTGCTGGCGTGAGAGCATGACATCGAGGACTCATGAGAGGGGAAGAGCATTGAACTCTCTCTCTTTTTTTTTGTTTTTGCATGAACACACAACACACAGGGCATAAAAACATGCAGATGCGAGGCACGAGCTTGTATAGGTGCAACGCTGGGATTTGGCAGACGCCAGTCTGAGGGGCCACTCTCTGCATTTTAATGATACTTCAGCATGGCGTTGGGGAATTTGGTTACCAGAATGAGGGTGAGAGATGCTTCCTAGGTTCTCGGACTATGGGCCTATACCCCGGGGGGCGGTCATACACTTGGGTCATTTTGCTTTGGGCCAAGTTAACGGGACAAATGGCCATCTAGAAGTCGGGTCCTTGTCGTTAACTTTTGGTCAAAACCAATAAAAAGCGTGTTTATCACTTCAGGGGACGTTACTTGTCTGGTGTCTCCATGGCCATACTAGATCGACTGAATCGATGCTGAATGCCGACCGCAGCATTTATCTCGTAGTCTAGGTGTGCAGCGCCTCCTAACCGGGGGGGTCAGCCGTCCACGGGTGTTACCAAAGCATCTGGAGATATGAATCTCCCGACGACGTTTCTATTCCCACACAGCCATGCGACTTACAGCTGGTTACAGCCGCTGCGGTCAAAACCACCTCTTGCCCCACCATTGAAAGTAGAAAGCCCCGGTATCACTGTCTTCTTCCCATGCATTGCCAACTTCGCGCAGTCGTCCTACTCTTTGCCAGTCACGTACGATCTTTCTAGGCGTAAGACTTAGTCCTCAGGCCTGCCTGGCGTAGGACTTATCTAAGCATAGGACCTACCTAGACGCAAGATCTAGGGAAAGGCGTGGGGAGACGGGTGGTATAAGGTTTATTACCGCTAGGTGATTCCAGGAGTGGGAAGCATTGAACCTTGAAGGCCGTGGACTGTAAATAATTACAAGTCCTGTTATATATCCTGTACTTTCTACCTGCCATCTGCTACTAGCAACCAAGTTCAAGAAGCAGTGATCTTTTCAGGCCAATAACGAGGGTCATAGTCACGTGGGTACGTGAAAGTTGATAAGAGAGACGCGTCGGGATTGGAAACCACTCGACAGCTCAGACAACGCTTGGGCACCCAGTCTGGGGGACGAGACCAACCAGCCAAAATAGCCACGCTAACTCTTTCATCGCTAACATGCGTCGTACTGCCGTACTGCGATACTACTCTGGTGGTTCACACACCCTTGCTGATCTACGATGCGCCTTGCCATCACTACGGCCCACTGATTCCAGGCAGACCCAGTTAGCTGCCAAATGGCAACGTGAATTAGCTCATTCCAGCAGCTTGCAGCATGACAAGGGCCCCCTGGATGAGCTACGAAGAAACCGGGTAAGGATGCACCTTCGGCCGCTAAGGAATCTGAGGCTTGCAGCGGAATCAGCAAGCACCTGATCCCCCCTCGCGAGAAGGTGCTTGCGGCCACCATCCACTATCTACCTACCTAGATAACCTACCCAGGTACTGAGTCATTTGCTACGCACGTATTCTGTGGACCTCATTGAGTTTGTCTGAAACGTGGGCAGAGTGATCGATAAGTTCCTTTCCGAGAGATTCAGCGCCAAGGGAAATGTGTGTTCCGAGTCTCCTCGCTTGATTTCTGTAAGAGAGAAGAGGGGTTGCTACGTGCAGATGAACGACCAGCGGGCTGATGGGAAGGCGGGACTATGTCCCCTGTGGCTCATGGTGGGCCCAGAACCGTGAATCATTCTGGTCACCGCAAGTTCGGCGATGGTCGAGCACATGGCGGCGCGCGGACGGCTTCTACCAGGGTATTTAAATAGAGGAGCAAGGCGACTCGATCAACCTGTCTGTCAGACGCAATCGTACGGAGAATATATACACATTTAAGGTGTGCGACGATACCAATCCTCTTCAACTTCCTCTACATATATCTACATCTTCCCCTCGATGGCCGCAGTTTCGTGAGTCAACTCTAAGCGATACCCGTTCTCTACCTAGCTAACATCACGAAGACGCTCCTCTGGGGGTTCCCCCAGAAGTTCCAAACATTCGAAGAAGCAAGTCTTGGTGATCCGGCCAGTACAGCCACCGCCTCCAGCTACTTAGATGACGACGGAATGACTGTCGTAGTTGGATTGGGGTGATGCTCCGGTATAGTCAATCGTGTTCCCACAAGCAAACACGGTACCGAACAAGTAACTGACAAATTGTGTTCAGTATACGCAAACTCGGAGTTGACCGCCCGGTCGGATATGTGTCTCCCGCACTTCCTTGTCTTTCCGCGACCCCTATTCTTGCCTTGAGGTGGCAAGTTCCGATATTGGTTGTTCAAATGCGGTTCCCCTTTCCTCTCTTCGCCTTTTATTTTTTCCAACTAGTAATACATGAAGATGGGAGTTGTAACAGTGGTTGTTCGCGTTCCAAATCACGTCGTCAAATAAATCTATTCCATCAACCCTGCACAGTACCTACTGTAGGTACCTATGCGCTGTGGCTGTTCCGTCTCTGCAGATTTACTCGAGTCATTGAACTAATTGATATACCTGAGGTAGGTAGGTGTATCCAAAGGCAGGAACGGTACCTGCAGGGAAGGATGATGGGCGGTGGTTGGATCGCCAGTCGCACATCAGGATCGTGCGTTGCTTCGAGGAAATGCTTGGATTAAGTGCAGTTGAGTGCTGGCACATCCTTGTACACAGTACATACCTGCCTAGTTGACATTTGCTTCCAGCCCACGGCAGCCTAGCCTGTGGAGTCTCTGGCTACAGCAACCCGCGAATTGGGTTGCTTGTTGTGCTGATTCCATGGGTGTTGATTAGAATTAGTGGGAGGTCCGAGAGCTCTTCGTTCACAGCCTTCGCTCCATAACACAGTCCAGATGCTTCTGTGTAGGAGAGACTGAATCGGCAAGCCTTCGTGCCACGGGCTTTTCTACACCACCTAGGTACTCATCACCTCAGGCCTAAAAGCGGCTTCTGAGTCTGGTCCCTTTGACAAGTTCACCTTCTTCACTAGGGCCTCAAGCGTTAGTTCTGGAAGGGAAGAGATACCTAAATAGGTACAAATACGGATCCGTACTAGGGGCGGCGATCCCTGGGTCGCGAGGTGGGGTCCGAACCGGGAGAAGCTCCAACGGCGCCAACTACTTAGTATCCGTAACGGCCCAGGAACCTAGACAGACGAAGCGACATGTCTCAGCTCACAATCAATAGATCCAGTTGCCTTCCCGCTCTGCCTCAGACATTGCTTAAGACCCCCAAGATGCTCCAGGCTCAGCCAACTAAGGGACAGCCCTTCCATCGAAAATAAAGCCCAAGCAGGCCCCCCCCCGGGAAAAAGAAAAAAACCTGCTTGGGCGATTGCCAGCCTCGCATAGGAATGAAACCCAATCAGCACGAGCACGGCGGTCTAAGCCACCGTTGTAAAATAACATGTTCCACAACATCTTCCTTACGCCTCCATCTCGCGGCTGAGGACCTATCAGGAGGTGACAGAGAGACGAGAGACGTCAAGACCACTGGAATGCGATAGGTAAGGCCGCTGTTCCTAACCCCTCGGGTGCCATCTGAGGGTCCATTTGCGAATTCGATTCGCGGCGGCAGACGGGCAGACACACAGTCATCTAAGAACCACCGGCTATTAGAATTGACGAAGCCATCATTGTCTTCAGGTCAGCGACGAGGCTCTGAAAGTGTTGTTCTCTGACGATCGGGCATCGCTCAGGCATAACGCGGGTGCCCAGCCCAAATCATATGCCCCCTGGGAGAGGCTCTTTGCCCTATATAGAACTTCTCAGGGCCGCTGTTGTGATCTGAAAACTGCTCTGTATAATGCCCCAGACACGGCATCTTAGCTAGCTTCAATCATGCTGGACTATTTCTCGTGCCTTGGTGCTCTTGAGTCCAGAGAACTGCCTGAACAAGGCGTGGAGATGGACGATTTAGCCACAATGGAGGCAGCTCCTGGGGGCTCACAAGGCCCCGGTTCAGGGTCTGATACAGCACCGGTGATAGGGGATGATATGAGCGACATCGACCTCAGTATGGCCCCACGGACATGAAGCCCACACATGCAATGAATGCGGCGGACGGGCTCGACAGTATCTGACGACATCACAGCCAGCCAGACAAACCTGATGGGGCTTGCCCACGTCAAGACTCGACATATACCCCACAACTTCCATCCCGTCTTCGAGTCCTACGCCATCAGAGCGCTCGAGTACTCTGCCTTTGAGGTCGTCGGCTACATAAAGAAGATTCGAAAGATAGAAGCAAAGCAGAAATCGCCCATTTCATGCCAGAAATACACCAAGCTGCAGAGAAAGTTGTACAAGAAGCTTTGCTCGGCTCTGCTTTTCCGCTGTATGTCGAACCCCCTCTCCATAGCACCTATATTATCCAATCCCTTCCACGAAGGGGCCTTTTAAGGGGGTTCCCTCGGCCAACTTCAAGGCCCACCGCCGTTAGACAACCTCTTCATCAAGGCCGGACTAGTCCTCGCCCATGACGTCCCGCAGAAGGCCAGCATCGACGCCGTGGCCTTGTGGCTGTCGAAGAAGTACCCCGGCGGCCACGAGATACTCCGAAACACGGACCCGGATGACCTCCGGGTCCTCAGCTCGCGCCGCGGCACGCTGGACAAGTTCATCCTGAACTTGCCCACCACGGCGATCGGTTCCTTCCTTTGTGTAAGCAAAAAAACAACAACAACAACCGCCCTGTCGCCCCCCTTTCCCCCTCGCATTCCATGGCTAACACAAAACGGGGGCCCACCCCCCCAACTCCCAAGCGACCCTTCCGCGAAGAGCATAGCACGGCCGACGGGCTGAAAGTGGAGGGGTTCAACGAGGCCCAGCTCCTGCGGGCGGGCCACGCGGCGATGCTGGCCTTGCTGTGCACGGCGCTGCTGGTGCCGACGGCGCTGCTGTCGTACCGCGTCGTCAGCTACCCCGTCGGCGTCGGCGTCGTGCTGGGCTTCTGCGTCGTCTTCATCGGCATGACCCTGCTCATGGAGCCCGAGAGGCCCGAGATACAGGTCATCCTCGTCCTGGCCTACGGCGCCATCGCTACTACGATACTGTCTAATTTTCGTTGATTGGTAGAAGCGAATCTGGTGTTTGTCGTGTAGGTTTGGTTTGTGTGTGGTTTGGGGGGTTTGGATGAGGGCTCGTTCTGTCATGATACTCGGGTTTGATGGTACTTTGGGTTCTTTTCGATCTCTGTTGCTTGTCATAGACTTTTCCTGTACCACCTTTCTTCTTCCTCCTCTTCCTCCTGTTCCTCCCTTGGAACCTCTTCCTTGTCGACCTATATTTTTAGTAGCTCTTATCCCTAGAATTTCATCCAGTTGTGAGTTAGGTAGTCTCAAGATACCCCTAGCTCAGTGTGACTGGCCCATACATAGTAAGGGCTTGTCTTAATAGATGGCCAGCAAGCACATTGAGCAGAGGTAGATGATATTTCCGCACAGCCGAGTAATATGAGGGCCATTCCTGGTTAAGAACTGTGCCTTCTGCAGTCCATGTCGCCCTCTACCCTTTTTGGGGTTTTAGGACTCCATGATGCAGCCTTAATGGTTATTAGGTTATTGCCAGCATTGATCATCTTGGTGCATTGCTGCCCAACACACCAAAGAGCAGCACCCAAGCATAGAGTTGAGAACTACTGGATAGATGAGCAAGGCCAGGCTCCTATTCCTAGGCAAAAAAAAGCAGGCATGTTTTCTTCCTTGACGTACCTTGTTAAGATCATAGCTCCAGCTAGGTAGTTTAACTTGTCTCGCCATGCACCTGCCTGTTCTTTCCACCCCTTGTTGTCAAATGACACAGGCAGTTCACAGCTAAGGACAAGACAAATGAATAAATAGAAGAGATGATCAACAATACGACTCTTCTCTTCTAGATTGTGAGATCAGAGACAAAAAGAGATAGCACACCTGGATGGAGGTGTCGAAGGGCAAAAAGACAAAAAGGAATGCTACGTTCGGGAGTCGAACCCGAGCCCTGCGCATGGGAAGCGCAGATGATACCGTTTCACCAACGCAGCTCTTGCGGTGGGGTTATAAGCACTGAGTGGTATTATCCATTATTACCTTGGCCCTGGCTGGACCTAATTACTTTGTCAGACTATGTGCAGTAGGCGGGATATTAGTTCGACTGTCCAAGCAGGGGGTTTTATTAGAGGCCTCACAGCGACAAATCTCAGCTCCAAGAAATCCTTGAAACGGAAGGAAAGAAGGGTAGCAGTATCCAAACAATTGGATTAATTTGGGGACATTTAAATGTAAGAATATCTGAGATTGTTGGATGTCGAAGCAGTCAGAAATTGTATCCCCGAAAGGTGGTTCTGTTCCACACTAACAATGGAAACGTCTGGTTGGAGTGTAAGCTCTGGCATTGGCAGCGAAGGTTCCCCCCACATACGTAATTTCGAGAACTCAAGATCCGGCTCCCGATCCAGCTCAGCCAGCTCGCATTCGCAATTCGCATCCGCCCTCCGCCGCGCCTTTTATACTCCCTACCAACTGGAACCCCAACATGAGCGGAAAATCCGGCGGTAAGATCGAAAAGATCATAGCCCGCCTTCAGCAGCGCATCTCGGAGGGCCAGTTCTATGAAGCCCAGCAGCAGACACGGGTGGTAGCCGCCCGTTACACGAAAGCGGCAAACTGGGACGCAGCCATCGACACACTCTACAATGTCGCGCAGTCGCTCCTCAAGGCCGGCCAGGGAGGCAGTGGCGGCGACCTGTGTATCTTGCTGGTGGATGTCTACAAGCAGGCCGAACTGAAGCCCGACTCGGACTCCAAGGGCAGGCTCTTGACATGTCTGCGCCTCTTCGACAGCGAGGAGCCTACACGGAAGAAGTACATCGGAGAGATGATCGGGTGAGAAAAACTCTTGGGGACAAATCCAATTCAAGAATATTGCAGCTACTGACACCTGCGCGCGGTCTAGATGGTCGTGCAAGTTCGGCGAATACCCGGCTGGCGACCCGGAACTCCACCACGTTGCTGGCTCGCTCTACGCCGAAGAACATGACACATCCGAGGCGGAACGGCACTTGATCTTGGGCACAAAGGACTCTACAGAGGTTCTAACTCGCATGGAGTACGAATGGTACAAGGAGGACGATTCCCACACGGCGCCCCACTACGCAGCTCGAGCTATCCTGCCCTATCTCCTGATCGCCAACGTCCGGGCGGCCAATGCCTCCTACCGGGCCTTCACCAGTTCCTTAAGCGCCGACAATAAAGATCTCGGAGTCCAAGATGTTAGCAGTCAGAGCTCGGACATGAGGGTATTCCCGAGCTTGCCACTGCTCAACTTCCTCGGCTTGCTCTTGCTTGCCGTGCAGAAGGGTAGCCCCGACCTGTTCAGGCAGCTGCGGAATAAGTATGCCAGCCATCTCGCCGAGGTTGAATCGTGGGACGAAGCACTCGAGATGATTGCCGAGATGTACTTTGGCATCCAGCGGCCGCGTCAGAACAACCCGCTCATGGACATGATGGGTAGTCTGTTTGGCGGGGGGGCTCCAGGCGGTGCTGCGAAGAAACCACCGGTCCGCCGTGTCGAGGCGCCCACTGCTGAGGGCCTGGATTGATCCTCTGGCTTGTAGCGGCCGCTCAGAGATACGGGCCTACGTGGACGTTTGCCGTGAATCCAGCAGGCATCCAGCCTCTTTCCAGTTAATGATACCTTGAAACCTCTTCGCGTTCAAACATCCAATTGTCTTCAGCCAACGCCGCAACTTTGGCTCTCAAGCTCGCCCTAACGACTTCTAGAACTTCTATCCGTAGACATATGGTCAGTCTGAGGGTTGACGGCGGGGGTAGGGAGTCGGGCTACCTTCTGGTTGAGAAGGCACACTGTTCTGATCAATCTGATGTTGCTTTACCGCCTCGGCCAGCCTTTGCCTCTCCTTCTCGTTGTCGTGCCTTGCATCAAGTGGAACATCGTCTGGCTCGTCGATGGAGGGCGTGGGGGGGTCATCCATCTCGACCTCCCCGTCCTTGTCGCGTATCACAATGTCGGAAGACTCGGACTGAGCATCGGCGTCGAGTCTAAGAGTCTCGGCAGAATTAGAGGAGCTGGCGGTTGGTCTGCGAGTCAACTGGCTCTGGAACAGGTTACGGCGAACACTGGGGCCTGTGATGCCACTGCGGACTCTTGAGACTCCAGGGCCCCCGGCCCGAGTCTGAGAACTATGGCGATCTGCCATTTAATAAATGACTGTATCGATAAAAAGGTGTTATAGGGTTGAGGTTGGGGAGTTTGATGTGTATGAGTGGCTTGCTATAGAGGTACCTTGGTACCTTCTTCTCACGTCACAAAGGACGGGAGGTTTGTTGTCGTGGGGCAATGAATGAATGGTGGGGCTAGTGCACGTGCCATATCAATTAATGGATCGCGCTCAGAAGGTGGGTCTGTCACGTCACGTACCTACTTTCTCAAGTCGCGTCGTGAACCTCGCTGCCAGGACCTCGACTTTGGTCACCACTCAAACTTGAACAGCCCATAAACCCATCCACTGCCAATGCTGCAGGTTCTACCCTCGATAACTCATCCTCGACAACCCAGTGATTTTATCACCGGTGACCCCAAGCCTTGACTATTTATCAAGTGGCGCATCAACGCCCGCTATGCCCGGTACTATTCTGCCCCAGAAGCGCGTGCTTGGGGAAGCATCCAGCGCTCGCCGCAATATACCTGCGGCGCCCTCCTCGGCCAAGAAGCGAAGGCTCGAACCTCCCTCCTCACCTGCCATCGGACTCAACAGCTCTCAGAACCGGCTGGCCTCGAGTCAGCCCAAGAGCGCTTTCGAGAGCGACTTTTTGGAAAAGTTGAGCCAGGAGATCTCGGATCGCAAGCAGAACAATTCAGAGAAGGATCAGGCCTGGGCACGACCTCCAATCGCGGCGGACTTCAGCCCCAAGACGACCAGTCTCCGTTTCCAGTCTATCGAAGCCGAGGAAGGCACTCTCCATGGCGGGCAGACAACCATCAAGCTCTTTGGTGTTAATGAGGATGGCAATTCCGTCATGCTGCACGTCAAGGACTTCAAACACTACCTCTACCTTCCTGCTCCGGTGTCTTTTACTCCCCAAGACTGCACCGCCTTCAAGCAGTACCTTGAGACCCGAGTTGCCCAACACCAGCCCGTTATCGACTCGGTGCAGTTCATCATGCGGGAGAGTATATATGGCTTCCAAAACAACACGCAAAACCCCTTCTTGAAGATCACCGTGGCCGACCCCAAGTTCATAAACCGGGTGCGGAGTACTATCGAGGACAACAATGCCAACTGGAAGGGCATGTGGAGAAGCGAAGACGGCAAGCTCATGACTTACGACAATCTTCAATATGTCTTGCGCTTCATGGTTGATTGTGGGGTAAGTGTCCCAATGTGTTTCTTGGAATCTGCCTATGCTAACTGGCATAGATCGGGGGCATGTGCTGGGTCGAGGCCCCCGCTAACAGGTATCAACTTGTGAGCAACAAGCAATCAAACTGCCAGATTGAGGCCGAGATCAGCTACCGCGACCTGATTTCTCACAAGCCTGTGGGCGAGTGGTCCAAAATGGCTCCTCTTCGAATCCTCTCTTTCGACATCGAGTGTGCTGGTCGCAAGGGCATCTTCCCGGAGCCCGAGCACGATCCAGTCATTCAGATAGCGAATGTGGTGACGAGGTACGGGGAGAAGAAGCCGTTCGTGCGCAATGTATTCTGCCTCGACAAGACGAGTTCCATTGTGGCGACACAGATCCGAGAGTTCGACAGAGAGGAGAAGATGCTCTCTTCCTGGCGCGACTTTGTTGAGGAGGTTGATCCCGATATCATTACCGGGTACAACATTGCCAACTTTGACTTCCCGTACCTCCTGGACCGAGCCAAGAGCCTGAAGGTGCATGGCTTCGAGTTCTGGTCTCGCACCAAGGTCAGGTCGGTGGCAAAGGACTCGAATTTCTCCAGTAAGCAGATGGGCAACCGCGACACCAAGGTCACGAACACCAATGGCCGCCTCCAGCTTGACCTGCTGCAGCTGGTCCAGCGCGATTATCAACTTCGAAGCTACACCCTGAACTCGGTTTGCTCCCACTTCCTCGGAGAGCAGAAGGAGGATGTCCATCATACCATGATCACGGAGCTATTCAATGGCACACCCGAGTCCAGACGAAGGTTAGCTCTGTACTGTCTCAAGGACGCGTACCTTCCTCAGCGCCTGATGGATAAGCTATCCTGCCTGGAGAACTACACAGAGATGGCAAGAGTCACTGGTGTTCCGTTCAACTATCTCCTTTCAAGGGGACAGCAAGTCAAATTCATTAGCCAGCTTTTCCGAAAGGCACTAGAACAGAAGCTCGTCATTCCCAACAAGCGGGAAAGCGCCGATGACCAATACGAAGGTGCCACTGTCATCGAACCCACCAGAGGCTATTACGATGTCCCTGTGGCAACTCTGGATTTCGCATCGCTGTATCCCAGCATTATCCAGGCCCACAACCTTTGTTACACCACCCTGATCGACAAGGATAACAAGGCGAAGATCGAGAAGTTTGGCCTCAAGAAGGACGAAGACTACATCGTCACTCCTAACGGGGACACCTTCGTCACGGCCAAGCGGAGAAAAGGACTCCTCGCTCAGATTCTCGAGGAGTTGCTGACTGCCAGAAAGCAGGCCAAGAGGGAGCTGGCAGTGGAGACTGACCCCTTCAAGAAGGCTGTCTTGAATGGTCGTCAGCTGGCTCTAAAGATCAGCGCCAACTCTGTGTACGGACTCACCGGAGCCACAAATGGCAAGCTCCCTTGCTTGGAGATTGCAAGTAGCACGACCAGTTTCGGCCGTCAGATGATTGAGAAGACAAAGCAGGAGGTGGAACAAAAATACACCATCGCGAACGGCTATACACACGACGCTCAGGTGATATACGGCGATACCGATTCGGTCATGGTCAAGTTCGGGACGAAGGACCTCGCGGAAGCCATGAAGCTCGGCGAAGAGGCAGCTCAGTTTGTCTCAGCCAAGTTCGTCAAGCCGATCAAGCTGGAGTTCGAGAAGGTCTACTTCCCTTACCTACTGATCAACAAGAAACGCTACGCCGGCCTCTACTGGACCAACCCGGACAAGTATGACAAGATGGACACGAAGGGTATCGAGACGGTCCGTCGAGACAATTGTCTCCTAGTCCAGACGGTTATCGAGAAGGTCCTGAGGATGATTCTTATCGACCAGGACGTGCCCGGCGCGCAACAGTAAGTCGGAACACGCCGTGGAGGGAGGAGAGCTTGCTAACTTATCCCCCGCAGGTATGTCAAGGACACAATTTCAGAGCTCTTGCAGAACAAGGTCGACATGTCGAAGCTCGTGATCACGAAAGCATTGACAAAGGACGACTACGCGGCCAAGCAGGCGCACGTGGAGTTGGCCCAGAGGATGAAGAAGCGTGATGCTGGCTCAGCTCCTGGCCTGGGCGACCGGGTCGCCTATGTCATGGTCAAGGGCGCGGCAGGATCGAAAAACTTTGAGCGGTCAGAAGACCCGATCTACGTCTTGGAGCACAACGTGCCCATCGACACCAGATACTATCTCGACAACCAGCTGGCGAAGCCCCTGGGTCGTATTTTCGAGCCCATACTCGGCGAGACGAAGGCCAAGTCGCTGCTCACGGGTGCTCACACGCGTGCCATCTCCGTCGCCGCCCCGACGGTTGGCGGCCTGATGAAGTTCGCCAAGAAAACCCAGACGTGCATGGGCTGCAAGAAGCCGCTGACGGGCAAGGAAGAGAGCCAAGGTGCAGTTTGCGCCGACGATGCACCCCGGGTAGGCGAGCTCTACAAGAAGACGCTCGACAAGGTTTCGGACCTTGAGGTCAGATTTGGCAGGCTGTGGACACAATGCCAAAGATGCCAGGGCAGCATGCACTGCGATGTCATCTGCAGCAGCAAGGACTGCCCCATCTTCTACATGCGGATGAAGGCGAAGAAGGATCTGGAGGATGGAAATAAGGAGCTGAAGAGGTTTGATTTCGACCAGGCGGCAATATGGTAGTGGTTTGTCTCGTCTTTTCTTGGCTTGGATTGGATTCCTTTTAACGGCAAGGGGCACCAGGCGTTTAATGGAAACGGGCATGGCATACATAGTCGGTAATTCTCGGGGGGAGACGAATCTCATCCGGTAGCACATCTGCAGGAAGAATTGCACCTTGTTACACTTGATTTGATCAAGAGCTCTATCTCTCCCTTGCCAAGACCTGATTCTGGTAGTGCAGTACGGAATACTAGCTCTTACATGATATCCTCTTACGGAATACTAGCTCTTACATGATATCCTCTTACGGAATACTAGCTCTTACATGATATCCTCTTACGGAATACTAGCTCTTACATGAGCACTTAGCAACCCCCCCTGTTCGGCAACAAACGAACCACCAACAGCCCAGCTCTCTGAGCCACGGTTTGTTTGGGAGCTTGGCGGTTGCCTGCCGGAAAGTCTAGATAAACACATTGTTACACAATGAGAGAACGGTTATGCAATGCATTGTCCTCGCTATCTGGCCAGCCAAATTACAACGACCGTGACCCATATCCTTAACCCCTTTCAAAAGAAACCTCCTGTCCGGAAGTCCCTATTTGTTCCCCTGAGGGACACTTATGTTAAGAACGCCTTTCCCACACGCAACCGTTAAACCAACACGCCCATTTATACTAACCCAAGGCTCCCGTTATGGTATCCAGCTCCATCCGAGACTTGTCCAGGGTTAGTTAGTTATACCTTAGGGTTACCTTCCCTCTTTTCCCCAAAACACAGAAGTATTTGTAGTAATAAGAACCAGGGTGGAAGGGAGGGTGAGGAAACGAAGAGACAGGAGGTGAAGGGGAAAACACTGCCAGCCAGAAAAGAAACCCAAGAAAAGAAGAAAGGAAAGGTCAAGAAAAAGAGGAACACAAGCTGACGAAAAAATCAGTACAACAACTCCCCACTATCCATCATCCGCTTGAACTCATCATCCGGCTCTTGGAAGCGGTACGTCTCCCCCCTAGTGACACGGTCGACCTCCTCCCTGACAAAAGGGTACACGTCCTTCCACGCGTTACGGCCCATCCAGCAGTCGAGGTGTCCGTACCCGGGCACGACGCGGCGGCGATACTCGATGCCGGCGGCGGACCCGGCGCCCTCCCTGCCGGCGGAGACGCCGAAGCGGTCGCAGAGGGCCTCGTACGTGCGCTCCGTGGCCTCGGGCGACAGGACGGCGTTGTCGCGGCCGACGAAGAGCAGGAAGGGCACGCCGCGCAGGCGGCCGACGTTGTCGGGCGTGGTCAGGTCGGCGTACTCGGGCGCGTTGGTCATGGCGTGGCCGCCGACGCCCTGGCGCATCAGCAGGTCCAGCAGGCGCATGTTCACGCCGCCGAAGAAGCGGTCGATCTGCCGGTGCGTGGCCTCGTTGAGGTTGCGGTGGTTCCAGCACCGCCCGAACACGAAGCTGGTCCGGTGGCAGGCCGCGCTGTTGCACAGCTCGCGCCGGTCGTCGGGCATCAGGCGCAGGAGCTGGTTGACGGCCCACTGGAAGGGGCCGTCGCCGGGGGACGTGCCGCAGCTGAACCAGGTGCCGCCGCCTAGCCGGTCGTAGACTTTGTTCAGAGGTACGGGGCTGGCCATGATCTTGATCAGGTTGGCCGTGTTCCACACCGGGTTCATAAACACCTGGCTGCAGGTCACGCCGAGGATCCAGTCGGCCGGGATGGTACCGTCGAGCAGGCCCGCGCTGAAGGCCACGCTGCCCATGCAGTGCGCGATCGTGTACACCTTTGTCGGGCCGTACTCCTCGCGGATGGCCTCGAGGCAGGCGCGCAGGTCGAGCCGGGCGTCGTACGTGGTCCACATGTTCTCGGCAACCATCAGCTGGCCGATGCGGTGCACCGTCACGAAGACGCGGTAGCCCGCCCGCGCGAAGTAGTTGACGGCGTTGAAGGGGATCGTCGGCAGCGCGTAGATCTGGTGGTCCACGGCCGCGCCCGGGATCATGAACAGGTTCCGGATGTTCTTGGGGTCGCCGCCCGGGTACGACGTCGGCTCCCAGATGTGCATGCGCGTGCACACGCCGTCGCTCGCGTGCACGGCCACGGACCGGTCCGGCGGCGTGTTGTTGATGTAGCCGCTGTACGACTGGCTCGGGTACTGCAGCGGCGTGAAGGGCGCGAGGAAGAGCGACAGGGACCTCCGCGTGAAGAAGGTCAGGAAGCTGGCGGCGCCGACCACCTTCTTCAGCAGGCTGCTGCCCGTCGGCGTCATGGTCATGACCTCGGAGAGGAAGTCGGCCGGCTGGATGTGCATGATGCCCTTGGCCAGCACCTTGCCCCGGCGCCACGCCTCCTCGTCGTCGAGGTCGGCCGTCATGCCCGGCACGTGCTCGCTGACCGTCACGTACAGCGTCGTGGTGGAACGCCACAGGCCCACGGGCGCCAGCGCCACCGACGAGTCCACGACCTTGTACCCGTGGAAGTGCAGCCGCTTGCCGTCGGTCCCCGTCATGTCGAAGTCGTACGTCAGGTTCCGCGTCCCGGGGGCCTTGCGGTCGAGGATGAACAGGTTGAACTCGCCCCGCTGGACCATGAACGGGGACCCGGGGATCGTCGGGCAGACGAAGGTCCCCGTCAACATGCCCCGGTGCTGGGCGTCGTTCACGATGCTCTTGGTGCTGTACGCCTGCACGCTGAGGAAGAACCGCGCGCTCTCGCACAGGCTCTTGGCGGTGCGGTGCGCGAGCTCGTACGTCGCGCGGTCGTCTTCCTTCATGTTCTCGTCATAGTGGATGAAGCCGGACATGACTTCGGTGAAGCCGAATCCGCTGGCCTTGATGGCAACCGCCTTGTCGATAACGTCGGTCGCGGACAGGATGCTCCGCGTCTCCTCGTCCGCCCCCAGGTCGTGGCACGCCTGATGGGCTTTGGGCTTGTGCTGGGGCTCGCCGAAGAGGTCGAGGATGCCGTTCTTCTCTTGGCTGATGGTCAGCCCTTCCCTCGCCGCGTAGAGCTCGAGCGAGCGCTCGGCAAGCGCCGAGATCGTCGCGAAGGGGTTGGCTCCGAGGGCAACTGGGACCACGGCACCGTCCGTCACGATGAGACCCTTGTGGGTTTCGCTGCCGCGTCCGGAGAATAACTCGCCGGCGTGGTTGACCACGCCTGTCGCGCCCGTGCCGTCCCGGGCCATATGCGCGCCACTTCAGTTGTGTCAGCGTCAAGACATGCTACACATAGACGGATAACACGGGGCTCTCTTCTCTTACCCTATGGGATGGACCGTCACTTGTTGCTGACCCATCAGTGCGAAGAAGGGGTTCTGCACAAGCGTGCCACCGACTGCCTCTGTCGCCTTTTCAAGCAGCGCATTCAGTTTTCGAACGTGGTCGCTTCGACCAACTCCGAGAAACTCGAGCACCGGCCTGTCGTCCTGCAGAGTCAGAATAGCCTGGTTGCCTGTACCATCCGTCAGTCAGCATTGGCACAACCGAGGGCCGCGGGAAGGCGTAATTGGACTTGGAACGACTCACTGTCATGAGACATAACCAGGTAAACCTGCGTCTTCTCAATGGCTCCTCCCTTGAAATAGGGGCCAAGGAGGCGACTCCCGTAGCGAGCAAGCGCCGCCTGCGTCCTTTGGACAATGTTCTCGTTCTTTGGCCCCTTGCTACCGGGCATGAGGTCCAGCATGGCCTGCAGGAGGTGAGATAGGGCCTGCGGGACGGCGCCTTCCTCGATCACGAAGCCATCCAGGGGATTCTCGCTCGTGTCTCTACAGTCGATGACGCCGTTGATCGTCGGACCGACAGGATTATACGGAGATGGGCAGGCGCGGCCGATGCTGTTTACCGGCTCGTCCGTGTTATACCTTGGATCTTGCTGTTAGCGGGACGACACCGCCAGGGGAAACGACCATCCACCGGGGAGGAAGAAGTCCGAACACTCACCCAAATGCCAAGATATCGCCGTTGCCGCTCATATTCAGACCGACCTGGTCGCTCATGCTGAGGCCCATGGCCTTGCTCCGCAGCAAGATCTCGGTCGTGCCGATGGCGCCGGCGCCGAAGAACACGGCCTCCTTGGCGTGTACCCACATGAGATCTCCGTGCAGGTTCGCCTTGAAGTGGCCCCTGTTCCGGCCGTGCCAGGCGAAGTAGATGATGTATCCCTCGCGGTCCTTGGCCTTCTCGACGTGCCTGACCTCGCACTCGCAGAACATCTCGGCGCCCCAGTTCCAGGCGTCGGCGAGGTAGGTGACCAGCGTGGTGGTCTTGGAGCTGTCGTTGACCCCCGTGGCGTCCTGGCCCGAGAGGGTCGACGGCGACATCTCGACGCCGCAGCTGTTGGGGCCGTTCGTAAACCGCGTCGTCTGTCGGACCTTCTTGAAGCGCTGGCCTAGGCCCAGGTACTCGGCTTGCTTCTTCAACACTTCCAACTTCTTCAGGTCGGGCCAGTCGTCGGGATATTCCTGGGGTTCGAGGACGTCCTCGACCTTCTGGTAGTCTTCCGTGAGGGGAGGGAAGCGTTAGCGAAACTATCACTCGTTTGTCCCTAGGATAACTCTCCAGGCCTCACTTACATCTTTTGAATCCCTCGACATCGTCCCTAATCTCAGGGGGCCACATCTTCATGCCCAGCGTGTTGTTGTCGGCCTCCATGAAGACATTCGCGTTTATCAGGCTCGTGCCGCCGAGGCCTAGAATTCTTGTCAGTTCACACGACTAGCAGCAGAACCTCCGCCCCAACCCCTTTTTCACATTTATTTCCTGACCCGCGGACCTCGAGGGAAAGGATCCCAACTCCCAGGTCTAGGGGGACATTGAACAAACAACATACCATTCCCAACAACAGCATTCTGCCCCTTCCCAAAGATAAGATGATACAGCCCCGTCGGATCCGCGCCCCCACCAACAGCCCTCCCAGCGAGCCCGAAGGGCGCGAAGTCCCCGGAGCAGTGCAGCTCGGCCAGCGCCTCGGCGGCGCCCGAGGGGTACTCGCCGGGCCATTTCTCGCGCCCGCGCTCGAGCAGCCCCACGGACCGCCCGCCTCGCGCCATCCGCGCCGCCGCGATCCCGCCCCCGTACCCGGACCCGATCACCACGCAGTCGTAGCTGGCGCGCATCAGCTCCACGGGCAGCGAGATCCGCGGCGGCGTCCCCAGGAGCCGCTCCTCGTCGCCAGCCCGGACGCGGCTGCGGCTGCGGCTGCGGCTCCGGGCCGCCGCCGTGGCGGTTGCGTCGTCGTCGTCGTCATCGTCTTGGACGTCTTGGACGTGGACTTGCGGGAAGGGTGCGGGTGAGGGCTTGGGAGGTACGGTGAGGCGGTCGGGCTGAGTGGTGGTGGCCGCCGCCGTCCAGTCCGGCGGGGTGGACTGGCCACCGCTGCGCGTGGGGAGGGACGGTCGCCTCTCGTCGGCCGGCGGGTCGATACAGTGGGCCTGGGAGTAGTCGCCATGGCCGTTGGCGAGGGGGTCTTGGCCTTCGTGTTTCCCGGGCGTCAGCGGCGGAGAGAGGAGCCCGTTTATGCCGTGGGAGGCCATGGGCTGAGTCAGATACGGCGCCATCGAAGGGACTGTCGGACGGCGTCCGGGTGGACGATCTATCGAGGGGGTTTCGACGACAGTCCGGGCAGGGATCTTGGGGTGGCCCTTTTACAGATGGCTTGTATCCGAGATGGGGTGTGTGCAACAGATATGGGCCGCGGAGACTCGCAAGAGGGGTCTCCGTCACAAAGATCAGAGTACGGATTTTCTCTCAATTACGAACAGCACTTGCTCGATGTACATGGGGGAAGAGGGGGAAGCAGATGGTCCGGAGGAGGGGGATGCCGACATGTTAAATCGCAGGGCAACCCGGAGCATCTATACCTCTTCTGTGATCGCGGATCTGCAGGGCTGACGGGTAGTCTATTATATGTGGCTTGCTCGGTAGTGGTCCAAATACGTACATATCCGTGTGTGTAAGTGTGGTGCGGACGCATTTTTCAAAAGGAGATTTGTCTAGTACTGCCGCTGACCTCAGCCATCCCTCATTCAGCCCTCCAATTCGTCCTAGCTGCGAGGCTGCGCCGAATAAAAATATCAATGGCACTATTTGTGTGTTGTAGCCGGGCCACTAGCCATTATTGGCCCGATTTATAAAGTTGATGGGGATGGGGGGGAAGAGTAAGGAGAACGGTCCGGCCCATTGCGACTGATCTGGGGCGGTAGGATGTAGATGGAGGCCCTTCAAAGGCACAAGAGAGACCATCGCAAAAGTTGGAAAATGGAAACTCTCTCGCCGGGCATAATTTTGACATTCGCAGCTTAGCCGGACCTCCATCGACATTTCCTAGACATCACGGCCGTCCGGTGGCGCACCGTGGGGTCACGAACAGACGAACAGGCCTCTATCAACCTTCAATTCATTCCATGATGCCAAAAGACCATGATCTGGCTTGGATAGCACGGGTTCATGGGGGCGCAGGAGCAGGGTAATACAATACAATGCTACGAGATGCACTAGTGAGCGCCACGGCGCCCCTACGGACAGTATTGAATTCTGGAGCACCTCGAGGCGTCCCTCGAACCTAGGCTGCTGGGCTTTTCATTGGATGGGGAACGAGCTAAGAAGGTGTCGGTTGGAATGGTGCCCGGCATTGGTGGGCGCCGGAACAGGGGACCGCCCTTTTGTGGCGTCCGTCTATTTTTCGGCATGCCCTTCACTGCCGAGACTGCTCATCAACGGTGCCTTTGCTGATCTCCCCCCCACCACCTTGTCATCTCGAGTCTCTGGTTAGTGCCTCGGATCTTGATTGGGCCTTGGCGCCATCAATGTGTTCATGGAAGGTGTGAGATTGCGCAGACGTACAGTAGCGGCTGCGTCAGAGTCAGGAACATATGCATTCAACACGGGCAAGCTTGCGCTTGTGTGTCCTCGGTACTCCGTATAGGGCTTCATCCCCCGTGGCCGGGGGCATGTCATCGTCTCACTCGGCATCGTACAAGCCCGTGATTCTCTCGTCGAATAGCCAGGCGTGTGTGCATCTCTTCTACCCGAGGAGGTGGTCACACAGCCGCAGACCAGAGGAGTAATCCGTACAGGGATGCTAATGAGACGGCTCCGAAAATAAGGCTGAGTCCTTACATATTATGTAGGATATTGACCATTTAGATTTGGTAATTGCCCAGCCTTCCAGTGGCATTGAGGCTGAGCGAGAAGGGCATGGTTCTAATGTCGTCATATGCCGGGGTAAGTGTTGGTTGAGTTGGCGAGCTGAAAAGGTGCCCTCTTTGGGATCTTCTAACTACTAGTTTTGCTTTTTCTGGCATGGCGCGAAGGCTTCGGGTTTCCCGAACAGGAGCAAATAGGCAACGGCGCCTCCGCTGACTTTTGTCTCTTTGACTTTGACTCGACTCGGCTGCCTACATCGCCCCCATCCATCGGCTTGGGCAACGTCGCCTGACAGTTCCGGCCCCCCTTGGGACCCAGGCCGTCGGGATGCGCGGGGTCATGGTCAGCTACCCGTCGGGCGGCTCTTCTCAGGGGAGTATTGACATGGCCACCACCACACTCTGCTGCACGATTGTACCCGAATCCTGTCTTTTATTTTCGTCGCGACAGGACTGACCTTTGTTGCTGGTGTCTAACAACCGTCCCCAGGCAGGCTGCAATGTAACAATACCAAAAACCTAAAAAGGGGCAAAGACGGTGTTCCGGAGGACTCAATTAGGTTCGCTGGTGGGGAAAGTGAAGTGTTATCATCATCATCATCATCATCTATATCGAGATCCTCCTAAACTAACTAAGTATCCTGAATTGACTCGGTAAGAGACCGAGGGACGATACAGCATTGGTCTCCTTCTTCTCAGGTGCCTGGCCAGTTGGTGGCCTTCACTCGTCGGCACACATAACCAAATCCCGCCACCCCCTTCCAGTCCCCTCCTCATGGCCTGCTTACGGTCGGGTCTGTCGCCAATCGGCGACCGAGAGAACCGCTCATTCTGTCAGGGTAGATAGAGGTGTAGAGGACTGGTAGACCCAATCGACGCTCCGAATGCCCAGCCTAGACACCACCCATCCTCGAGGCGTGGCTCTGCATCTTCTCCCGCTCTCTCTCTCTCTCACTTCTCTCACTCAGGAAACCGTGGCCCCCCGTAGACCCACGGCTCGGCATCTCCGGCATCTATCCCCACCAGGCGTAGTGGGATAGGGTTTGCTTAGTTGGCCCACCAGTCTCCCTGGTCGCGCATGGCCTCGACGACCTTGATGAAGCCGGCAATGTTGCTGCCGGCCATCAGGCTGGGGAACTCCTCCTCGGCCGTGTCGACGTACGCCATGGCGGTCTTGAGGCCGTTGAGGAAGGCGTTCTTCATGACGCCCTTGAGCTTCTCGTCGACCTCCTCGGCGGTCCAGGTGAGGCGCTGGCTGTTCTGAGCCATCTCGAGGCCGGAGACGGCGACACCACCGCAGTTCGCAGCCTTGCCTATAAGGGGATGGGGTCAGCATATCGGCCTTTGTTTGGGTGGTAGAGGTGCGTGTCGAGTAGTTGTACTTACCAGGAGCGTACCAGATGGCATCCCTCTTCTTCTCCTTCCGGTTGGCCTCGAAGATGTCGATGGCCTCCTGGGTGCAGCCCATGTTGGAGCCCTCGGCAATGAACCTGGCGCCGGCGGCGACGAGTGCCTCGGCCTCCTCCTTGCTGACCTCGTTCTGGGTTGCAGACGGGAGGGCGACGTCGACCTTGCCGACATGGAGCCACGGCCGGGCGCCCTGGACGTACTTGTATTTGGACTTGGTGTCGAACTCGCTGAGCGGCCGGCGCTTGACCTTGAGTTCGGCGATGGCCTCGATATCCTCGGGGGAGATGACATTGTCGCCCTCGGCGACGAGAGAGCCCTGGGAATCCGACAGTGACACGACGGTGGCGCCGAGCTCAATGCACTTCAGCGCGGCGTACTGTGCGACGTTGCCCGAGCCGGAAATAGCCACGCGCTTGCCGGACCAGCCGCCAGCACCGGCGTAGTCGAGCATGTGGCCGACATAGTAGACAAGTCCGTAGCCAGTGGCCTCTGTTGCGCCCGAAAATTAGCCACCGGCCCGATTTAATTTTTTTGACGCTACTACGCGACTTGTTTGTGGGCAAGTCGGCAGTCGGCGTTTTTTCCAAGGTTTCAAAGGATTCAAGGAGAGCGGACTTACCGGGCCTGATAAGACTCCCGCCCCAGCTGAGGCCCTTGCCAGTCAAGACGCCCTCGAACAGGTTCCGCTCCTTGCGGTAGGTGCCGAACATGTAGCCAATCTCGCGGGTCGAGACGCCAATGTCTCCTGCGGGCACATCGGTGTTCGCCCCAATGTATCTGCTCAGTTCCCGCATGAACGCCACGCAGAACCGCCGGATCTCAGCGTCACTCTTGCCCTTAGGGTCAAAGTCGGCCCCACCCTTGCCACCGCCCATATTCTGGCCTGTGAGCGCATTTTTGAAGATCTGCTCGAATCCGAGGAATTTAAGACTGCGAACGGAAACAGACGAGAAAAAGTTAATTACGGACTCCTTCGGGCTCGTGCCAGTTAGATAACGAATCGCCCACACTCACATAGAAAGGTTGACTGTGGGATGCAGTCTCAGGCCGCCCTTGTAGGGGCCAAGTGCCGAGTTGAACTGCACCCGGTAGCCTCGGTTGATCTGGATCTCGCCCTTGTCGTTCTCCCAGACCACCCGGAACTGGATGACACGCTCTGGGACGGACACGACCTTGAGGGCGGTCTTGTACTCTGGGTGCTTATGGAAAAGCGAGCTGTTCTCGAGTGCGCTCACAAGCTCTAGGTAATCATCATGGTGAGCTAAGCACTTGGGGGAGCGGGGTGTCGGCTTGGAGGCATGTGAAAGTCTATTTACCTTTGTAGGCCTGCTCGAACTCGGGCTCCGACGGGAGGTTGGACATGATGGGCGTTCAATTGGGGGGGAGGAGGAGGACAAGGGGGTATCTCAGGTAGACGCTGGATGGACAATGGACAGAAACGCTTTTACTGCTGGGCTTTGGTGTGCTAAGAGGGCTTGGCCTAATATGCCTTTTGCAAAGGGGAAGTGATGATGGGAAGAGGAGAGAGAGAAGGGGAGATCTACAATAACGTCGGGGAGGGCGAAGCTCGAGCTATATAATGGGAGGGAGCGGGTGGCGATGCCATGAAGTCGCTTGAGCTCCGCAGATGAACTCCCTTCCGGGAACTAAAGGGCCGGTAGCTCGCAGGTCGATATCTATCCAAGGCATGCTTCCAAGCAACGACTGGTGAAGTGTCTTGGTGGGGCGGCAGGGAAGGGACAAGAGCCACGATTCAGGACGTGCCAATTGCCAAACGAGCCATCGGAAGAAGACGCCGGTGATCGCTCATCCCATCGCTCCTCACTCCTTCATCGTTATTAGCCCATGGATCGTGCGGCACCACCCCCATTCGTCCCAGACCTAGCTATCGCGAAGGCAGTCCGCTATCGCTCCTCGAGCCTCCCCCTTCTCCCGGAGGGATATTCTCCCCATACAGTATCACTGATGCAGCCTTCGCGACCTCACCGAGCCGCCCCTGGCCTATGATTCGCTGCGCCAGCCTTGCAGCTGGGATCTGAACCTGGAGAAGCAGCCGCATATGCTGCTTGCGCGGTTTCCGCACCGGCATGCCACAGGATGGGGGCCTAGAGGGGAAGAATAAAAAAAGTAAAACAGCCCACGCTGCTCCTTCCGTCGGAGCCAATGGGGGGCGGACGGTATAAGCTAGTTTAGACAGCAACCTTATCTGCGGCCTGCCATTGGACGCCTTGGACGTCAGACAGCCAGATAACGAAGCTGTTAACAAGAGCTTCTTGTAAGCATGTGTCAAGGACGAATCTGGCAGCGGGCTGATACAGGGTCCTGCACGCCGACTTCGCAGCCTAGGCAAACCCCTACCCTGAGACCCGCAGCTCCATCAGCGCAAATTACCTATGGACACCAGGAAAATTTTCTAGGACGTCTCTGAATCAGAAACGCGACTACATTACCGTACTGCATACACATTCAGACTCCAGCAGAAGAAGGCAAGATTAAAGACAATTGTCCTAACCCTAACTATCCCCCCTAACTAGATCTCCTAGCCTTGACCATACGCATGCTAGCCGATCAGCCTTCTGCTTTTCCGCATTCATTCGAAACCCAATTGAGCTTGTTGGTTGGTTCCTTTTCGGAATCCTGTCGTGTGCACTCTCTCCTCCCCCCCCGCGGAAGAGGTAAACCCGCGTCTGGCGTCAGAGCTTAGAATTCGATTGGCTCAGCTGTTACCCGACTCAAGTGTCCCTTCATGTACGATGGTCTGTGCACTCTGCTGATTCGCGACGGAATCGCGGGAAACAAATTGATTTGGTACGCCAGTAGCGCAGGGCGCCCTGAAAGTCGAGCCGTTCTCGTGCGAGCAATTTAGGTCCGCTGGGAACTAGACCGAATCCGTCGCCAAGTATGAAAATAAATCGGAACGAACTGCATCCCACTCTGCATTATTGATCGTCTTTTTTACGGGGGCGCCAGCGCAACCCTCCCTGTCGAACGGGGGGATCTCGAAGCCGTGCTCGGCCATACTACCTGCCTACCCCATCTCTTTGTCAAGGTTGATTGTCATTCTTGATTGTCACTACCCATCCTCGTTTCCTTATCTCACTCAGCCCTCCGCAGTCCACACACTCCAGCAAGCGGGGGCGGCCGTTCTCGACGGATGCATCGTTGCAGTAATCCGTAGATAGATAGTATTAAAATTGGAAGCCTGTTCGGGTAAATTCGCTTTCGTCGGAGACCAAGCCACATGGAAGTTGTTGAAGAAAAAGCATGGCCGAACCTTGGCTTGCATTAGCTCAAGGGCAATGGGATTTATCCAGCCTTCAGATCTGATTTCGTACGATGCTCTGACGTATTGCCTGGGCTAGCCAAGCCCTGCCAAGCCATACAAGCAAGGGTCTTCTCCAACTACACCGAGGTCTGTCTTGCAGGCAAATCGTCAAAAACAGCTAAGCTCAATTCAACCCTTTCCCCAAAATGCAACACCACTGTTATATACCGCCCAGACTTGCCGCAAGTCCCTGCATTCTCCTCTCTTTCCAGCCAATCGCTCTCTCGACGGCAACAACCACCCATCTTCCGCGACAATCCCTCACGGCCAACCTCGCAGCCTTGCACACTCTCGAAGGCGACGGCTCAGCAGCCAGCCCAATGAGTAGTCACCTGCTTCATAGCTGACGATTATTTGAGCAATGCAACCCGGGCCAAGCCTGATTTTTTCTACACTGCAGCCAAGCTGTCGAAGGCATGATATATCACAGTTCTCGGCAGTCCTGCCTGCGTAAGGCGAGCCACTCTTTCCTTACACACTCCCTCACCCTCTCCTTGCCGCTTCTTCGCCTGCGTTAGACTAGCCCCAGCCACCGACATCGCGACCAAGACTTTCCGTCTCGAACGTCTACTGCCGGGCTGACCACCCTCACCCGGTCACCCCAGAATGCCCCATCGAGGAAACCATCGTGTCGGCGAGAGGCTCCAACCCGGTCTGCTTCGATACCGCCGTTTCCTACAAAGTCAACAACGCCGGCCCCATCAGTAGGTCTGTATGGTACACGGGTAGTAGAGTATGGGTGTAAGAGCTTGCTCGAACAAACGAGAGGGAGTGACGAGATCATTGCTGTGAGATGTTACCTGGGAGAGAGAAAGAAACACAGAAGCTGCCGAGGCGGGGGGGGGGGGGACGGGGGGGGACAGTGAAATGCAGTTAAAAGGGTATAGTGATTCCCTTTTCCCGCAGACGGTTGGACTAATATCAGATGGCCTGTCCTTCTGCAGTCACCAATCATCAACAGTCCGCCCTCGAAGCGAGGCCCGGGCCCGGGAAGGTCGTCACGGTGAAGTCGGTTTTGAACACCTTGCAGCCTACGATTCGTCGTACGGGCGTTGTCAGATTGGCTGCCACCGTCTGGGTAGATCGCGCCGTGGGAGGCGTGGTGGGGGGCTTTGCAAGGTCTTTGACTGTAGACTTGACGTCGCTCGTTGGAGGGCGGCCATGCAGCAGACTGATACCTACCTACCCAGCTGTCGCCTGTGAGCTATTCACGATGCTAAGTTCCAAACAAAGTATAGAGTAGACACCAGCGCCGGAACCGGGCCAGGGTGGCAGAGATCCGGATCGTAAGCACCTCGGCCAGTGCAATAGGCACTCGTCTCTTTTTGTCAATTGCCCCCAAGACCAGTATGTCTTGGCCTCATTTCGAGCAACTCCATGCTCATCCAGAGAACCAACCAAGCCAAGCAATTACTCCCCTCCACTTTCCTTTGAAAGGTGTCGGTTGTTCTACGTGACAATCTGGCTCTTGCCAAAGCGCCTCGAGACTCGGCGACGACCTCGAATCCGTGTACCTCGTTCGTCCAGGACAAGTTCCTTTGAGGTTGTCTGAGCAACTATGCGGCTTAACATACATGGCTGCCCCCCGTCCTGGAGCCTTTTCGCACCAGGTTATCGAGCGGGGCGAGTCAACCTCAGCTTCCCCCCAGTCCCTCCCAAACCATCCTCTTTGCGACGTGACAACACCAATTCTACAAATCCCCCCCCAAAAAAAACCCCCCCAAAAAATGCCTGATCTCCTTAAAGCGGAATCCTTGAGGAAGGTGATCGCCGGCCGTTGGTGGTCTATCCAGAGATTTCCAGGCCCCGATCCAAGCTTTCTGGGGGTCGATCACACCGTCGCTCGCCGGCCTGCGACTCGCGGATCTTCTCGCTCTCGGGCCGCGCATGAACTGTCTGTGTGAGGATTACGTGTTCTCCAGGCGAAGCAGACGACTGTCTACGGAAGTACGGAAGATGAGCGACGGGGTTATTTCTTCGGTATTTTTTGGATTGCCTTGGAGTCGGGGCAGTCAGTCGGTGTCTTTTTGGAACGCTGATGAAATTGATTTTTTATGTTTTTATTTCTGTTTGATGGGTTGATTAAGACAAATTCGAAATGGTGATTATCTACCCCCCGGTCTCGCCCTTAACGGCGGGTATCATATTCAAATGCACAAGGAGAGATGGACAAGATCAGGCAAAGAAAAGAAAATAGGATTTTACTGTTGAGACAAACAGACAATAAGCGCAATTAACAGAAGAACAGAAAAAAAGAGTTTCTCCTCAGAGTCCCCGGGGATAAGGTATATAATGGATATATACAGGCTACCTAAACAAATAGCCAGAGAAGCGAATAATAAGGTTTATCTTTTGGTCTAAAGTCATCCGCGCGGCGCCAGTTTGACCCCTCCCGTTCCCCTCCGCGGCCCGTAATAGAACTCCCCTTTGTTTGTCCGCTCCACTGGGTTTCTGCGTAACATCCACTCACACAACCTTATCCGATCAAGTTTGAGGTGGCGGGGAAAAAAAAAAGGTTCGAAGAGAGAGCTGACGAGGAAAAAAAAAGGGGGAAGCATCCCATTATCCCGACGACCGGGCCCGCCGCTTACGAGACTTGCATGACCGTGGGACCAGCCAGGATTATGTCGTCCGAAATGGCACCGTTGACGGGAGCGGCGCTGACGAGGTTGACGTAGACAACGCCGGCCAGGCCTTGGGGAACCTCGCAGCCGGTGGCGGCGTCGAAGGCGGTGAAGGCGGTGCCGCCTGGGACGCCACCGGTGGTGAAGGCGCAGAAGCTGGCCTGGGCCGTGGCGTCAGACTGGAGCTGGATGCGGCTGCCGGCCTGGACGGCGTTGGCATTGGCACCGGCGGCCATAGTCAGGGTGGGGAACGCCGTCAGGATCAGGTTGCTGCCCTCGGGGCACGAGGCGATGAAGGGGGCGGCCAGCGAGAAGACCTGCTTGGGCGACAGGGCTGTATCGAAGGGCTGCGGGACGGCCGCGATCTTGGTGGCCACCCGGATGAAGGTCTGATGGCGGGCTTCGATGGTCAGGATGGAGGCAGCAGTGCCCAGGATGGACTTGTCGGTGATGAGCGGGCCTCCACCGAGGTAGGCGGAGACGCCGACGCTCTCGAGGACGGCAGCGGTGCCGACCATGCCGGCCGCGTCGGTGAAGCCAAAGTTGTACGTGCACGGCTGGACGGGCTTGACACCGGCCTGGGCAATGGCGGACTGCAGAAGCTGGACGTGCGCTTGCTCGCTGGCGCCGATGTTGATCAGATCGGTGATCTCCTGCTGCGTCAGGCCGAGAGCAGCGAAGTCTGATGCTGGGAACTTTGCGAATCCTTGCTGGTAGAAAGTCGCCTCGAGCCACTCCAACGTCAGGGCACTAAGTGGAGCATGTGTTAGCTGGCATGCTCTCGCGGAACCCCTATCCGGTAGCTCATGATGGGTTCGTTCTTACAATTGCAGGATGTCAACATCGGTAAGACCGGATGCGGCAGCAGCAGCCTGCTGACGCTTCATGTGTTCGTGGACCTTGAGTTGCGATCTTGTCAACTTGGGGTGTCCCGGTAGTGCCGACGCAACAGCAGCCAGTCCAGCAACAACGACACCAAGGGTCTTGGTGAGGGAAGGCATCTTGAATCTCGTTGTGGGTTTTATCTTCCTTCTCTTTTCGTAATGAATGTCGAGTCGTCGTTGACGGGGAGCAAGACCAGCCTGGCTAACGTGAAAGAGATAAAAAACAAATCAAGGCCCGCCTGGGTATTAAAATGGATTAGGGTGTTGAATAGGGTCTGTTGAACGAGAGAGACAGACTGGAGCTTGGTAAAGGAAGGTGACGGGGCGATGATCTCGCGAAAGCAGACCAGCGCTTTTAGTATCAAACGGGTGTATGGGATGGACGGACGAGATGGAGAGGAGGGAAGAAGAGTCAAAACAGAGCGGGAAACGGGTTGGGATAAAGAAGGCCTGCCAAGAACTTGCTTCAAGGGGGGGGGGGGGATGGGGGAGACTTCATCTCCCACGGCTGGTGGGACTTCCGCAGACCGCATCACAAACCTCCGGACAGGGGAGCCAAGCAAGGATGCCTTCTCCACTCAGGCTGAGGAGCATCCGGCCAGAGGGTCAGAGTGTGAGCTGGGATGCCAAGTGACCCCCTTGATTTGGGGGGGGTTCCTGGCAGAAGTTGTAGATGTTTCGTTTCTCGCCGGCCGCCCCTCCAGGTAGGGGACATCGGGCAAGGTAGGTCATGTACCAGCCACACCAGGGAGTCAAGCTCAACATCGGCAACAATTGAGGCTGAAGCGAGGCCAATCAGATGGTGCATTTGGTGTTTAAAGTTGGGACGAAGGATGTTGAAACCCCTGTCCAGGGACCCCAGAAGCTTAAACGCTGCAGCGCATGGCCCTGGCGAGAATGACTGCAGCATGTTAGTTGACTGGACCCAAACTTCTAGGGTGGTTGTGATTACCTGCAGCAGGGGTGGCACGGATGAGGCGGCCGGGGTTCTGCGACGTTGGCGTTCTCTCTTCGTGTCTCAGCCACGTTTCAATTGTCACGGACCGCATCGGACCCGCGCTAGATTGCGACACGCACCGCTATCCGAGATCCTTACTCCAGCCCAAAGGTATCGTATCGTCAACCAAATACGCACAGCTCGGAAGCAAGCAAAGGGAAACTGACAGGTACCGCCGCTGATCAATTGCGTGGGGCCTGGAATTGTGTATTCTGGAAGTACATGGAAATTGGGAATGAACGAAATATGGACTCTGTCCACCTCTATTCGAGAAACACTGTTCTACCGCTTCCTTTGTCAGCGAATACGCTGACTTGGTTGTGTTGATAGCAGAGAGCAACCGCAGGTCAGTATTGCATCCAGGTGGCTCTATCCGTATCCGCCATGCAGGAAACAGTCCTTTATCTTCTTTCCACCCTGGCCCTCAGGGTTATCCTGAATGTTTCCTTTGCCAGGCCCGATCGGGAAAACAGCTCGCAAATGAAAGGCATGGGGTTGCAGCTGGTTGACCAGGGCAACGAGCCTGGGAGCCTCAAGTTTTAATCTTGATTAGCCTCCTATGTACATACATACGGATCGAGAGCCCCCCCACTCTCACGTCGAGTAGGTCCGAGTTCCAAAGGAACACCAGGGCACGGCTCTTTGGAAGGAGCAGGGGTCTGAAGTCTGAAGCAGAGGGTCGGCCTTCTGTCCCCTCTAATCTGCTCGGTGTGTCCCTCCTGGTGAGAGGCTAACCCTTTTGTTCGGAAGGAGGGAGAGCCAAGGCAGCTTGGCACTTTCACCACTGCCCCTACTTAATGTTACCTTTGGGGAAGCCAAGCTCATCATTGTAATAGCGTATTGGGTTGACCCAAGAGAGGTTCGGGAGATTGTTTGTGCCTGTGGGATCTGAGGGCTCCCTCTCTTCGACTGGGTTCCTTGGGGAGTGGCCACCTATGATCCGACATGGCTGTCCGGACTCCGGAGAGGTCGCGATTGTGTAAGAACGAACATTCCCCTTCCGCCGATCCCACACAAACCGTTTATCTCTTCCGGCCGGGGGGGTGATATGCCTTCCCTCATCTGTCAGATCGACCCCAATGGATACATATTTTACCGGATCTGTCCTTATGCCGCCTCTTGTCCCCGCTCAAAATATCCATTCTCAATGGGGTCGACGAGGGTCAAAGCTTGACACAGCACCACGAAGGCCCATTGATATCCGATCCAGGAGACATAATGCGCCGCACTACTTATCCTGTAGATCCCTCAACGCTAGAAGACAATCTATACGCAGTCCAGAGGATGACATCAGAAAACGGGAGGACACAAGTGATACGAACTTGATGGCATGGCCGGTTATTAGTATGCCTTTGTTGTTTCTCTGGTCTTCTAATCCTCCTCACACTGTCTCTCCTTTTCTTCTTCCATGCTCTCTCAGCCTCTCCTCTCCTAGGATCCACACACACCCTGACGACTGTCTGTTCGCTACTCGAGTATAGACCCTCCACTTCAGATACTCTTTATGCAGCAGCTCCCCGCGACATTCAACAACAAAAATAAAAAAGACAACGATCCCCGAGGCTTTATACGAGTTGTTGTTAGCAACTTCCCGAAATATATCATTCTCCTGCCTCTCTCCCTCTCCTTCTCCATATACGTATCGCCGCCCCCCTATCTATCTCTCTCTCTCTCTCTCTCACTCTCTCTCTCACACACACACACACTTCCCCAACTATTCTTTCAGATGATGTTTGCCACGTCGGTCTATTGGCCCATCCGCCATCCAGCCATACACCGCTGTAATCAATGTCCAAAAACATATGTGCCAAGCTCCACCTAGAGTGCGTAAGGGTTCAAGGAGCGGATGGTAAGGCATCTGCAAGTGTGTTAGCTGGCACGTATCGAGGGTTTTCTGTAATGCCTTTTGGGGAACTTACGGAGGACTCTTGGAGAGGTCCGTCTTCAAGATGATCGGGACCCGAGCCATCTCTGTCACGTCCTGGATGTATTCGCCTCCCTCCTCCCTCAGCTTGAAAAGCTTCAAGTACTTCTCCTTGTTTGTCAGACGAGTCTCGGGCGCCTCGGTGATAGGGACCTTCGAATCGGATCGTGTGCGCTGGAGAGTGCCAGCAGCGTTCGACGACGATCGGGTCGGGGAGCCGGGGACGCTCTGCGTCGGGCGTTCTGCAAGCGAAGCTCCAGCCATGGCCTCAGTGATGTCCGAGGCATTGTCCTCGTCATCATCAAATAGGGCATCGACATCGTCGGTAGAGATAGTGCCCGTCTCAGTCTGCTTGCGGGCGGCCTCCTCGCGCTCCTTCCTGGCTCGTGCCGCCTCTTCGGCTTGACGTGCAGCCGCCATAGCGTTCGAGATCCTCTGCGACGCGCCGCTAAGCTTAGGCCGCTCGTCTTCGGGGACATACGCCGAGCTCGGCACTCCCTTCTCCCAGTACAGTTCGAGGACTCTCTTCTCCTTCCTGAACTCGGCCTTCTTAAGTGGGAGCTGGTCGCAGTGCACACGCTTCTCGAAGCCCCATTCTGGGATGAGGACGTCGAAGGCTGACTCGTACACGCAAAGGACAATGCCCTCACTGATGAGGTCGCCATTGGCCTCTAGTCGCGTCTTATCCATGTTTCGGCAAGACTCGATGTGCACGCTCTGCTCCTGCGCATTTTGAGCAGAATCCTTCTTTGTGTTGCACGACTCGATAGTCTTGACCAGGTTCTCCACTTCGTCAGTGTACTCAATCTTACCCTCCGAGAGGACAGCCTCCAGCTGCCGCTGGACTATGACATCAGCGTATCGGCAGGTTGGACTGGTGAAGTGAGTGTAGAGCGGCAGGTTTAGCGCGTAGTGCGGCCACAGGTGCTTGGCCATCTTGCCAGCAATGAAGTACTTGGCCCGCTGCATCGACTTCAGGATCAGCGTCTCCATGCCCTTTCGGATGTCGGCATCGTCAACCTTGAAGAGACTGTTCTGGAGAGCGCCGCTGCTGGACGAATCAATCTCGTAGCCCAGGGCAGTCATGCGCTCAACAAAAGTCTGCAGGCGCCGGGGATTGGGAGCCGCCTGTCTACGAAGAAGGGCCTTGTCGGGCAGGCCCTGTGCAAGCCGCTGAGCGACATACGCATTTGCCTTGTGGGTGAGTTCCTCAACCAGCTCAGTTGCAGCGGTTGAGTCGAAGATGTTGTGTTTGATCGGGATGTTCTCGTCATCAAGTTGTTGCAGCAGGCGGAGAGGAGCGATGGGTTCGCCTCCCGCACCCAGACGCGCCTCGCGGAACTTCTGAGCAACAGCCTGTAGTTTGTTAGTTTAGTGTATGCTTCGCGAGTCTGCCCAGATAGGAAGTGCTTACGTTTAGAACCTGGACATCCTTGAGCTGCACAACGTCGTGCTCGAATGCGCCCTGGCCGGAGAGGGCCTCGTCAATCTGAGAAAGCGAGAGCTTCCCACGGCTCTTGATGACGCCCTTTCCAATCCAAGTGTCGCCTTCGGCGACTGCGCCATTGTGAGGATTGACACGGAAGACAACACTGACGGTCAGTCGGTCTTGGCCGGGAGTGAGGGAGCAGACTTCGGTCGACAGCTTGGGCGGCAGCATGGCACAGAACCTGTTGACCAGATGAACGGCGGTGCCACGCTTCTTGGCCTCACGGTCCACGAGCGAGTTTGGCTTAACAAAGTGCGTCACATCAGGAACATGAATTCCAATCTCAATCTTGCCATCAGGCTGAGACTTGACGTGGAAGCCATTGCCGAGCTCGACTGAGTCATCCACGTCGAGAGTGAATATCTTGTCGTCCCGGAAGTCCCTACGGGAAGCAATCGCCGCCTCGTCTTCCTTCGCGATTGTCCAATCTTGGAGGCCGACGCTCCGCAGGACAGCATCAGAGAACTCGTCTGAGGAGAAGTTGTTATCCCGCAGCAGGGCATCAGTCTCGACCTTCAGGTCGCCCATCCGGCCCAGCTGTTCGACAAGAGTACCAAACGGATGGAGCGACGTAATGGGCCACCGCTTGATGCAAGCAACAAAGATCCGATCTGCGTAGTCCTGGTGCTTCTCAACAAAGTCGCGAGGGGCTTGCTCGGTTGGGATGGCGATTAATGGGACACGCTTGTCGGTAGGCTTGAACCACACAATCTTGGGCTTCTCCTGGTGGCGGTTCTCTTGGTGGCGGCCAGAGCCACCATCTCTGGCGGCCCTCTCGGCTTCTTGTTTCTCCTTCGTGGCCTGGCTGCTAGGACGAAGCAGTCCAAGAGTACCTGAGAACATCTGGCCAGCGACACGTTCAATGACAGCAACGATGTGTCCGGCGTACAGCGGTTTCTGTTGGTCGCTAATCTCCTCCTCTTCGACGAGTAGTAAGCTCTGACCCTCGACCTCAACGTCGTCGTTCTTCTTCTGAGTTGGGCGCTGCCGGAGACTACCCCGACGGCGGATGCCGCCCTCGGCGTTGCTGTTGTCGTCACCATTTGCATTGTTGTGACTGCCACCGTTTGTGGAGCCAGACCGAGTGTCGGTAATATCCTTGCGCTTCTTCTTCTCTTCCTTCTCCCGTTTCTGGGACCATACCTCATCGACGTCGAGAAGCTCGACGGCCACAAGATCGCCTTCCAGAGCGCGGTTACGATCCTTGCTGCCGCAGATGAAGATGTCGGCATCAAGGAGGCCATCTTGCGTCGAGACATAGGCGTCGCTGCGGTTCTTCTTGTTCACCCGGAGGATGCCGGAGACGAGCTGGCCGTCCCCAAGGAGAGCCGGCAGGGTTGCCTGGGGCAGGTATGGGGTAAACAGCGTCTTGCGCTGCTGTTGCTGTGGCTGCTGCGCGGCTAGCTGGGGAGCGTGCTGGCTCGCAGACAGACCAAGCATATGCTGGCCGTTCATCTGCGCAGCCTGGAGCGCCTGCAGCTGGTTAATCTGCATCGCGTTAAGCTGCTGGCCGGGATAGAGGCCGGGGACCATCATCTGGCCGGGGAGCTGGACGAGCTGAGGTTGCCCTGGGTACTGGAAGGCGCCGACCGACGAAATGGATTGGTGGTTCACCGAACCGCGAGCGCGATGCCCGGGCTGGAAACCCTGGGATTGCCCTGCCTGATCCTGGCCTTGGTTCTGACTCTGGTTGCGCCAATTGCTGTCAAAATTACGAGAGCCCGTACGGCCGTGTCCGCCCCTACGGTTGAAGTCGCCGCCCTGGCCACCGGAAGACTCGGTCGAGAAGTGCATGGAGCCTCCGCGGCCAGCCGCTCCTCCACGAGCACCGGGACCGACAGCCATGCTCTGGCTTCTCCCGTGGGCGCCTCCACGACCACCCCGGAACGACGAGCCCTGTGCTATCTGGCTATCGGTCGGTGTCTGAGCGGTGCCCTTAGCTTCTTCATCCGGCTTTTCAGCAGGGGAGCTAGAAGCGCCGGGACCGGGGAACTGGAAGGCCGACGTCGTACGCTTCTGTTGGGCTAGTTCGGCCGCCTTTTTGGCGTCGGCCAACGCCAAGGAATGTCGTCTTTGATGGCCACCTCCGGGACCGCCACCCCGTCCTCCCCGAGAGCCCGTGTTGTCCCGACCTTGGCCTTGAGCTTGTGAGTTGTCAAAGTTGCCAAAGGCAGACCCGGAAGCTCCAGAGGAGGGAGCAGGAGGCGGTCCCATGCCCATGTTTGGGAGCGCCGACTGATTACGGCGATGTGAGTGTGGCTGGGTTGGGGGGCCGCCCATGGGGACGTTCTGCTGTTGTAGCTGGTTGGGGAACTGGAAACCGGCCTGTGGCGACATATTGGCCATCGTAGGCTGCAGGGGATTGAAGGCAGAGCCCGGGGGTAGACCCTGGTTTGGGGCCATCATTCCCATGTTGACATATTGCTGTTGTGTAGCTTGGAGATGCTGTTGCTGCTGCTGCAACAGCTCGATCTGCTGCTGGATAGCAAGCTGTTCCACTACAAGCGCGAAAGCTTGTTAGCATGGCCCGGGAACAACCAGATGCAGTACGCAAAGTAGAAGCAACGGGAGATCCCGCCCGACGGAAAGCAAGTATTAGGGTTCCGGACGGGGAGCGTGGCTTACTTCCGGGATTGGAAAACATGCTCATCAAAGGAGTCAACTCGGAAGGGCTCCTGCGATGAGCGATGTGCAGCCGGCGGCCGGTAGGGCCGTGGATGCCTCCGGACTGAGGCGGTTGTTGAGGGTCCATGATGGATGGATGGATGCAGGTCAGGCTGGGTCAATGCAAGCACGTCGAGTGCGAGTACCTATGTTTTTTTTGGATAGACGATGGGGTTTGTTGCTGCCAAAAAGGCTGAGCGTTTGTGGCGAAGGCGACGAGGCTGTTGCAGCTATATCAGACGACAAATCTTGTTGCCGAAAGATGGGTCTGTCAAAGGGGGGCGAGCCTGAATGAGAGGATGGGATCGAAGCTTTTCTCTTGTACTGTACAAGGCCAGTTGGTGCAGAGGGAGCGTGGGCTGAAACTGGTTTGGTAGATATGGGATGACAAGTTTAAGGGGCACCTGGAAAGATGGCGGGTGGGAAAATGGGAGATAAGGGAAGGTGGGAAGGATAGAGGAAGAGGAAGAGAGGGACTGGAAGTTGGGGAGGTCAGGTAGATGATGGCGATGATGATTTAGTGTACAACGAGGCGAAGGCAAGAAGGGACATGGGGAACGTAGGTCTGGCAGCAGCGGTTGCCCCAGCTGCTGCGCTGATACCACCCTCTGGGATTCAGACGCTTTGATTTGCTGGGTACTTGGGGCCAGTGGGGACCTTTGGGCTTGGGGCCGTCTGGACTCCTTGGAGCTTTGGAGACACGGGGGAGCTAGCCCAGGCGGGGAGGGGATCTCGACAGCTGCCAACCCTGCCAACCTGTGGCAATTCACTGCAGAGTGTACATCCGTACGGCGTACGCAGTAGGGGAAACCGACAGACTGACAGGCCGCTAAAAGTACCAGCGGCTGGATGCATCGACGCCCTGCGGGAGCATAAGAAAGCGCCGAACCCATCTTTCGTACCGGCTAGTCGTGTACAAATGCATTCATACGATGCCGTCCATGGTGCTGCAAGAGAGGCGGAAGCTTAATTTGACTTTCGATCATCGGATTACTCCCATCACCAGCACAGGGGAGACCTGGGTACTCGTATCTGCCGGTCTGTACAAGGTAGGTGTAGGTACCTCTATGTAAGGAGTATTCCCCACCTATGATTCCTCGCAGCTTACCTAGGTAGCAAGGTAGGTACCTTACTTTGCTCTGTCTGGAAGCAACTCACCAGCATAGGATATTTTTGACCTCAATTGAATATGCTCTGACAAAGAAACTGTTTCAAACAGGCCATCGTGCTTCGAAGGCAAAAGGCCAAGTGCTTGTGCTTGTGCCACTGTCTGTTTCTGGGAACTGCCTGCCTGCCTGACCCACAAATTAGGTCCTAATCCGGGTAGCTCTTCAGTGATAGGCGCACTCACGCGGGGGTGGTTCTAAATTCACCAGTTGAGCTCTTCACAGGCCAAAATTTCAGCCTCGCATAGGTGAAACCAGTAAAAGGTACGTGCAGAGCTGTACCAGCCAACCCATACAAACCTTGGAAATCAACAACGTCCATCAATACGGTACCTATCTACCTACCTACCTCAACAGCCAGCCACTCGTTCTTTCCTTCCCAAGCGTAGCGTATTTCACCAAGTCCGCTTTACAAATATGTTATTATAGCTCATTGGCCTTGAAACACATCACAATGGCCGGCTCATCACCAGCCCGCCGCAGCTACCAGTGGTCGAGTCCCCAGCAATCAGTCCTCTCCGATATCCTGTACGAGGATCGGAACTCTGAGGCTCGCCATAAGCTTCTTCTCGAGACGGCAAAGCGCGAACATGAGCGAGTCCGGGCCGAGGCCGAGAGGATCTATAAAGAGCATGTCCAAAAAGAAGAGCGCAATCGCCTGCTCGAGGCCAAACGGAACGAGGAGGAGAGAATCAGGTTGGAGGAGCAAATCGCCGCAGACCGTCTCAGATTGCAGGCCCTCAAGGCGAAGAAGGTTACCATCCCACCTCTCCCTGAGCCTCAACCGGATCCAGCGCCGCGGGCAGCGCCGCCAGCACAATCGGCCAGCGCAAAAACCTCGACCGCATCGCCGGCCACCCATGGAACTGTTGCGAAGAACAGTCCACTGGCACAACCTCCTAGCCTTCTTGGTGGAGCAGGTTCTCAGGAACCAGCTACGCAGAATCCATTCTCGTCAACAAAGCCGAACCCATTTGCGCCTCGAGCGGCCCCTCCTGCATCGCCGGGAGCACAACAACCAAGCTCCCAACCCTCTGCGGCCAAGAGTAACCCTTTCGCACCAGCTCAATCGGCACCCCAAACCAATGGGACGGCAACATCCCAGGTTACACGCACCCCCGCTACCTCAGATGCCATACAGCAGGCGGATCGATACGTAGTCATCCACAGAACCCTGAAGCAGTTACGGAAATCCATGGACCAGCAGATTGGAATGAACCCCGCTCTGAAGTCTAGGATGGGAGATATGCGAAGGGAGGTTCGCAAGACTGTCGGCCAGCTGACTACTGGCACCGGAGTGAATAGGCAGCAGGTGAGAATATCATTTGTGCTGCAAGATTTGATTTGCCAGCCTTTTACTAATATTATATATACAGATCATCCGATTGGTAAACCTGCTAAAGGAGGCTATGGCGAACTCGGCACGGAGCCAGCTTATCGACGCAAGCCTCTTTGTCGTGGATCCGCGAGACCCGGTGGATGGGGCTCAGCACAACGAGCCTCAACTTCCGTCGCTGTTCCTTTATCTGCTGAACATATTTGCAAAGGCTGCCATCAGTCAGTTCATCAGCGAAGGTGGTGCAAAGCCAGACACGGCTGACCCCATCGGCATTGTGGTTGCCGATATCTTCTCCAACCCCGACTTCCACTGGCGCGGGAAATCCCTCATCGACATCCTACTTGCAAAGTACCGCGTCTGTTGCCCCGTCCTCTTCGGCTACCGAGGGAGCGAAAAGACGGAGCAAGGCCGGCAGAGGCTCGGCTGGATGAGGGAGGGTGGCGTCTGGGTGGGAGACCAGCAGCACATGGACCGCATGACGGGTCTTGGTGCCGGATTTGCTGCCATCTCTCTCCGGAATTTCGGCAAGTCGAAGAAGCAGAACCCGTACCCGCCCACCAATTACTGGACGGCTATGGCAAGAATTGTCAACACACCTCCGGCAGAGATCTCGAACACGCAGGGCGTAGTCCTGAAAGCAATGATTCAGAACTTTGAAAAGAAGTTTCTGGATGCTTACGGAAATGCTGCTATCGCAGCTCTGCGACTGGCCTTGATCGCATTCCCCGCTAAGGCTCCGGTAAAGACTGCGGCGATAAATTCGTTGCACGTCCTGGCGCAGATGCTGGAGAGGGATACTGGCTTGAAGCTTGAGTGATAGAAGCCCTGCCAAAGCATGGGTATGGCGTTTTGGGCATTGGTAGCGGCGTCTAGCATCATTCCGGCTCTGTGGAACCGAAAAATACCTCTGGGATGATTTTTTCGGCGCATAAGGAGAGGCGTTGCCTATGGTAGTAGGATATCAATCAATCATCCTCAACAACTGCAAACGCAGTTACTTGTAGGCTATATAGACAACTCTGCGAAAGAAAAAGAAAAACACCATTTACCTAACGCCGTGTCCCCGAAGCTCGTCTAATGAACAGCCAAACAAACAGTGCCTCTGATTCGAAACTTGCGCTCGCTCTTCAACTACCCCCTATCCCCGCGTCCTTAAAACCACAAAACTTTCAGAGTGCTAACAGCAGTATGAGAAGGATTATCAAGACAAGGATGAGAACCGCTATACAGCAGCTGCTCAGCCGGTCCTCGTTCTTCCGCATGACGTATCGCAGCTTCTCAACACCAGTCTGTAGCCTCCCGCCGACGCGGTCGGCCAGAGTATCGGCGGTCTCCAGCATCTCATGTTGCTCCTCCAGCTCGCGACCCATGTCGTCGGCCTGCCGGCGCAGGTTCCCAACCGTCTGGAACACCCCATCCAGGTGCTGGTCCTGCTCACGCATCATATGCATCTGCTGCTGCTGCTCGAACTCGGCGTAGCTATCGTCCGCATCGCCCTCGCCGTCAGGGATGGCGAACGCGCTGGGGTCCGGCAGGTCGTCCCCGCCTCCTCCGGCCCCGCGCCTCCCTCCTCCTGCCCTCCCACCGACCCCGGCGGATGATGCGCCGACCTGCTTCGCCAGCTCGTCCCGCATGTCCTCGATCTCGCCGCCCACCTCCTGCACCAGGCGCTTCCGGCGCGTCACCTCGCCGCCGTCGAGGCCATACTGCGAGGGGTCACTCTCGACTGCCTTGACGGACTCGACCAGGTCGGCGAGGTCCTCGGCGAGCGAGCCCAGGGCTGCCTCGAGGTCCGAGCGCGCCGAGACGAGCTCAGGCGAGGTCGCGTTGGTGGTGAGGGAGCGGATGCGCAGGTACGAGGCGAAGAGCGGGCGGGTGGATTGGAGCTGGGAGAGGACGTCTCTGGTGGAATGTATGTGATTAGCAAATATGTGCCCCTGATGATAGCAAGCGCGCCTGGTGGCAAATGGCCGGAGGTGGAGGGGAAGAAAGGACTCACTGTTGGACCTGGAGGAAGGGGTCCTCGCCGTTCGCCGAGGACATCATCCTGTCTTACAATGGTGGATGTGGGGTCATCAGGCAGGCTTTCGTCTGTTGGGTAACCCGTTCAATCGTAGAAGCTAGGATTCCTTCGAACTGTCGTTGTACTGCTGCTACCCAAGAATAAGTACCCAGGGACGAGGCTGAAGAAGATGACGTTGCCAGTCACAAGTGGTCGAGGTCTTATCTACCAAGCCACGAGGGGTGTGGCTGCAATGAACCGGAAGTGTCTCCGTGTAAAGCCCCACCGGCCACTCACAACACTGCAACCACACCCCTGTCACTGCAACCTCGCGGGCCATACGAGGGTCCCCGGTTTGAAACGGACCTACTTCAACCGTGTCCTTATAGCAGCAATCAGTCAATCGATCTGGCACCTGAGCTTGTCGGATCTCTCGAACATTCTCCATTCCTCCTCACGTCCATCCACCTTACATCCGATTGATCATTTAATACAATTATCATCATGTTCAGCCTCCGGCGACTCCTCTTGACCGCCACCCTCCTTCTTGGAGTTAGCGTGGTCTGCTTCGCCCAGGTGGCCGAGGCTGCCAAGGGCCCAAAGATCACCCACAAGGTCTACTTCGATATCACCCACGGCGACGAGCCTCTGGGCCGCGTCGTCCTGGGCCTGTATGGCAAGACCGTCCCCAAGACGGCCGAGAACTTCCGCGCCCTCGCCACCGGCGAGAAGGGCTTCGGCTACGAGGGCTCGACCTTCCACCGTGTCATCAAGAACTTCATGATCCAGGGCGGCGACTTCACCAAGGGCGACGGCACCGGTGGCAAGTCCAGTACGTAGAAACTCCCGCTCCCTTAATTGCCGTGTTCGGGCTTGTAGGCTGGTCGCGATCCTAACCGTTGCGCACTCGCACAGTCTATGGTGAGAAGTTCCCCGACGAGAACTTCAAGCTCAAGCACACCAAGAAGGGTCTTCTGTCCATGGCCAACGCCGGAAAGGACACCAATGGCTCCCAATTCTTCATCACCACCGTTATTACCTCGTGAGGACCACTACTTTTCCCGTACGGATCCACCGCAAGACAATGCTAACTGGCCATGATATCAGTTGGCTTGATGGCCGCCACGTCGTCTTCGGCGAGGTCCTCGAGGGCTACGAGATCATCGAGCAGATTGAGAATGCCGAGACTCTCCCCGGCGACAAGCCGGTAAAGACGGTCAAGATCGCCAAGAGCGGCGAGCTGGAGGTCCCCGAAGAAGGTATCCGCGTGGAACTTTAAATAAAGCCTCAAACATGTCCGCCTGTCCCCTCCCATCTTTTGTTTTCTTTTCAGAAAACGGGGTATATACGTCTCTGTGTGTGCCTCGTTGAAAAAGAGCACTGCGTACAGGCCTACTCCCCGGCAGTCTGGTGCTGATCGTTTGTCCCTCCGTCTCTCTCTAGCCGAGAATGACGACATTGCATTCTCAGACGACTTTCCCGTCTCGGATGACACTCTCGTCCTTGATGACATTACCCCCTCGAACGGCGAGAGCTGGTCAATCCTCAAAAAGGCTTTCCTCTTTGGCGTTATCATGGCTGCTGTTGTACTCTATGTTCGCTCGTCTAAGCGGGGTCAGGGGTGGGAGGAAGTTCGTCACGAGAAGTCATTGGCGTGAAAAGAAGGGTATATATAAGGATAAAATATAAAATAAAAAGGAATTGAGAGGAAAACAGAGGTTTCTGGTGTTGACCCTCATCTTATCATCTAGTCCTCGTTCATTGTGTTCCGGTCCTTGCCTCTGCATCACGTGGGGCATTTCAAGTACACCAAATTTTGAGATTTTTTTGCCCTCCATCATTAGCAGGCCAAAACGCTCTTAAAGAACAAGTCCATATACACTGGCGTAGGAACAGTACAACCTCCAGGATGAAGATACTCACTCTCAATTTCCTCACATGCGCGGCCAAATCCTGCAAGACCTCATCCGACTCGTTTCCGCTCCATCCCAGGGACGCGGAGCTGGTCCACGATGACATCGACGTCAACCCGGAGCTCCTCACTAACGTCCTGACCCGCGTAGACTGGAAGGCCCTGAGGACGACTTCGACAGAGGTGAGCGGCAATGGTTATTTTTTTACTATCCGGGAGTCGCTTTTCCCTTTCCCTTTTTATTTTATTATAATTTAATTTTTATTTTCTCCTTGAGCTGTTTCCCTAATTTTCGTCTTCCGGCCCAAACCTCCCTTCCTTCCTCCCCCTTCTAACATTGGGCCCAAAAAAATAGCTTGGATTCCCCGAGTTGCCGGATCAACCGCCCACGGCCGAGGAGCTGCAGGCGGACGACAAGATGCTCAAGGAGCTGCACACCCTCCTGCTGGAGACGCAAATCATGGAGGGCAAGCTGGTCTGCGGGGTCTGCGGGCATGAGTACGCCGTCCGGGAGGGGATCGCAAACTTCCTGCTGCCCAGTCACCTGGTATGAAGCTCGGGTTCTTGGCGTTGCGAAGGGGAAAGGGAGGTTGGGTCTCGCTGGGGAGGGGTAGGAAAGGAAGGGGTTAGCAGAGGAAGGGGGTAGGAGGAGAGGAAGGGATTCGCATCGGAAATTCACACGTCACGGCGTTCTGGGGATGGGTGGGTCATGATGGTTTAAAGACTCACAAGGCAAAAAGCATTTGTTATACCCCATTCTTATAGGGCTCACTGGGACCCAACACAGTTGAAAGCGTCGAGTAAATGATCTGTAAAATGATCTCCCAGACTCGATATATAGGCAGCAGATTCCCATGTCCACGCCGATTAAAAACAAACTCCAACCCTGATGCTATGGTACATTATGCCCGGTCCAGATAAAGGTCACAATCCAGCCCTGTTACTGGGGCAGTTTCAGAACTGCTTCTTCTGGGCAGCAGGCCCCATGTCTTTGTCGAACGCGCCGTAGGAAACCTCGAGGCTCGCCAAAGCCCTGAGGCCAACACCAAGAATCGACAGCAGGATGATGACGGTAATAATGACCATGAAGATCCCTGCAGAGAGTTTAGCACGTATGATCTGCCGGGGGCGTACTGCGACGTCTGACCTACCTGGCGTAAAGAACTGATACTTCTCGAAGAGAGGTAGGTTATTAGTCGAGTTATCGGCTCTCCTCCCAACGAAAACCGGACCCGTCTGCCGCTTGAGGTCTATATGTACCGGCTCAACAAAGCTCGGCTCGTAAGTAGCCAACTCATTCCGGTCGGAGAAGAGCAAGACGGTGTAATCCCCATCCAGCTTCTCCAGCAGCTGGCCCAAGTCATAGTCTATCAACAGCCACAAGGTCAGCACCGAAAAAGAAAAGAAAAACGTCTTCACACCACCCACAAACCACCTACCATTATCAGCCAGCACCTCCTTCCTCTTCGCCTCCTCCTCCAGCCCCGGCAGGTCCGGGAGGGCGACCTCCTGGACGCGGGCCTCCTTCCCCGCCCCCAGGCACGCCGCCCTGACGGCCCCGGCCAGCGAGCCCGACTCGACGCTGCCGACGACCTCGGCGACGCCGAACCGGCCGCGGACGCTGTCGCTCGCCATCGCGCGGCACAGGTTCGGCATGTTGCAGGGGCTGGCTGTGCCGGCGCGGATGTCGGCCGCGTGGGCGTTGGGCTGCGAGACGAGCAGGTAGCGCTCCGTCGGGCAGGACGAGAGGATGTCTGTCGCGGAGGCGAGGACCTGGGAGCTGGTCTGGAGCTGGTCATTTTTGGGCGGCGAGGGGAATCTGTGAGTGAGGGGGGAAGGAAGTCAGTAAGCTGTTCTGGGTGACCCTGGGGACTGGTTGGTAACGGCATACCTTGAAGTCGAGAAAAGGATGAAGGGCGATGAGTCGGAGAAGGCATGCACTGCCGTGGCAGCGCATGCTAGGAGCGAGTAGGCTAGGGAGAGATGCATGGTTGGTTGTGTGGTAGGCCAGAAACCATGCGATCTGGTCGTCCTTGATAAAGTCGAGATGGATTATTAGGTAGGTAGTTAGCTCTTGCCGACGAGATGACGGACGAGCAGAGTGTCGCGGCAAGACCCGCTAATCAAGCCAACGCACGGCCCCACACGAAAGGTACCTATGCGAAAGTGCATGGAGGGGTGTTAAAGTTTTGGACTTTTTTGGACCAAGCAGGTATCATTTTCAGTAACAACGACAAAACACGATCAACATGTTCGCCCGGCCAAGAGAAAAGAAGGGTCTCCCTCTACCTCCGAGCAAGAAACGGAAAACTACACATGCAATCGAGCAGATCAGCTTCGACGACAGTGCTCGCGTCGAGTATCTTACAGGGTTCCGCAAGCGCAAGCTCGCACGAATCAAGCAGGCGCAGGAGATTGCGGCAGAGAAGGAGAGGCAGGAGAGAATCGACTTGCGCAAACAGGTAGGCGAGGATTCAAGACCGATGCATCCATAATCTTGTATCTTCCCCGTTATGCTAACAGTCTATAGGTGAGGGACGAGCGAAAGCAAGCACTGGAAGAACATGTCAACGCAGTCAACAAATTCCTCAGAGAAGCCCAGGGAGCCGGCACAGGAGATATAGAAGCCGAAACCGGTTCTGGCGAAGAGGAGTGGGATGGCATTCACGACGAGGCAGAGGCACGGCCGGTCGATCTCGAGGAGGAATATATCGATGAGGACCGGTACACGACCGTCACGATAGAGTCTGTCACAGTCGACAGGGAAGGCCTCCACAAGCCGGAGATGGAGGACCAGCAGGAAAAGGAGGACGACGAGGGAGATGAGGGAGGCGGCAATAAGACGACAACGGAGGCCACTGAAAGCGAATCAAGTAAACCACAGAAACAACGGCCAAAGAAGAAGAAGAAGGATTTCCGTTACGAAACCAAGTTTGAGAGAAAACTCACGGCCAGGAAGCAGAAGGCGAAATCGAAGAGGCATGCCCCTTGAGAGGTGGTAGTGGTATCAAAAGATCTAGGGGGGTCAATTCCTAGCAAAATAGCAACCACTACTCGTGTGTTACAAACAGGTGCTTCTGTCGTGGGATCAACCTCCGCTCATTCTTCCCCCTTCCCTTCAACCATGACCGACCCTGGTGTAGCTTGAGAGTCCAGAGATGGAAGCCCATCCAACAAGGTGGCGACGCTGGCAAATATAACGTAGAACAACAACTGGGCGAGGACCGGGCAAATCTCCAAGGTTCCCCTGGCTGGCTTAGATGTTGCCAATCTCGATCTGGAAGTCCTCCAGCTCCTTTTGGACCTTGGAGTACTTCGTAGCCATCTCCTCGTATTTGGATTCCCACTGGTCGCGCTCAGACTCAAGAGCCTGGACTTTCCGCTCGAAATGACCCGCCTTGACATCGGTCTGGCGCAACCTGCAGTAATAAAGGGGTTAGAAATTGAAGTCCTTTGTCTCTCGGGGTTGCCAGACATGTGGAAGCCCACAGAAAATCGAAACCCTCGGAGATGGGATGGAAGACAACTTACTTCTCGTTGGCCTCGCGCAGGGTCTTGTCCGCCTCCTCTGCCTCCTCCTCGAGCAGCTGCAGTCTTCGTGCCAAGGTCTCGTTCTGGGTTCCGTGCTGCACACCCTCATCGGCAGACTTCTTCAAGTCCTTGACGGCAACATCGAGCTTGTCAACCTCAGTTTCTAGGAGGTTGTTCTTGTGCTGCAGGGAGGTGATCTCCTGCTCCTTGGAGAGGTTCTCCTGCTCGAGGACCTTGATCTTGGCCTGGAGCTCCTCGATCTTGGCTGCCGACGTGTCGGCCTCCAGGCGGAGCGAGTTCATTTTCTAAATAGGAGAGACATTTTCAGCCATGTGATGCCCAACGTATCTGAGACCGGGACGGAATGTTGCACAATCGAGCAGAAAGAGCTGTAAATGAGGGGTGTCGGGGCCGGCTGTTGATAGTGGGGTCAATAGGATAAAGCTCACCTCCTTGATGCGATCCATTTGGCCCGACATTTTGGCAGTAGTTGGGATTTACTTTGGGAAGCAAGGTGAGGATAGGTTTCGAAGGGAGTCGGATTCGACGATGGTGAGAAAATGAAGCTTGACAGTTCGTTTCGGACAAGGCAGCAGTGCGGGTTGTGGTGATGGTGGTGGTGGTGGGAGATGAGAAATCGAGAGGGGAGACTGATTCGCTGGCTTGGGCTGCTGCGTGTGTGGTAATAGTGAGTGTGTGTCTGATCACCAGAATGGTGCACTGCTCATATGAAGGTGGGGTGTAGCCTCCTCAACCAGCCTGAAGTCCAGTGGTTTCAGGAGCTGATAGGGTGCCTGCTAATAATGGTACGAGACGTAACTCCGTACCGCCACAAGCCACAGCCCACAGGCAAGGAGAAGCACTGACCACCTCAACAATTGTTGTCAGGTCAACGCATTCCATTCCCAGATTCCCAAACAAAGGATGATCTAACCATTCAAACTCGCATCGCCCTCCCCAGATTTTACAAGTTCTCAACTTTTCGATCATAGAATACATCAGTGTCAGCAACAACAACACCAACGCCGATTACAGAGTTCGGTACCCGTCCTCACCGAACCTGCCTCTGTCCTCAGCGCCAAGACAGATTAGACAATATGTTGGCAGCTCGCGACCAGGAAAACCTGGCCTTCAGTCACCAGGCTGGTGCTGCAAGCAAGCAACAGAACCAGGGAATACGGGCTCTGCAGCCGAAAACACCAGGAGCCCGGTTTCCGAAAACACCAGGGAAAGTCCCGTTGAACGACGAGAATGCAAATCCGGGGTTTGGAGGTAAAAGCGTGCTACGAACGAGGGGGAACGAAAACATACCAACTGCTGGAAAAGGGAAATCGAACCTGGTCACACCTCTCGGTATGTATCACCACCTTTCTTTCCTCGCCCGTCCCGTATGCCAGTTTCTGACCATGATTAAATTAGAGTCCCGAACCTCCCGAGCACCTCTCGGTAACAAGACCACGAATGCCAAGGCTCGGGCTGGACCTCTAGGCGGAGTGAAGGATATAGTACGAGAGTTCGAAAAGACACAGCCCAAGCCCACGACTGCTAGACGACCCAAGCAAGCTGCTCCTCACACGGAACCCTCGAGACTGGAAGTCCATAATGACAAGGCCGGCCCTCTAGAAGAGGAGGAGGATGACATTGAATATGCCCCTCCAAGACCGAAAGACATTCCCTATCAATCCGATGTCCTCCCGGAGGGGGCCATGACATTTGAGGCATTGAAGCCGGAAAACATGCTCAAGGGCTATTATGACTTCTACTTCAACCCTGTCGATGAGAATGGCGTTTCCCCGAAAGAAAGAGAGATGGAAGAGCGGAGACAACGCGACCTGAAGAAACTGGACGAGCAGGTCCGGAAGGATATGGACGACTTTGACTGGAGCGTCGGAGATGTGCCTGGGAGTAAGCAGGCCAAGAAGACGGGAGCCTCGATGACAAACTCGACAGCCTCGACAACCCTCCTGAAGTCGGATAAGAAGGCCCTGCGTCCTCTTTTGAAGCATCCCTCTACCATTGCCTCCCGAAAAGCCGCTTCTGCGTTATCCATTGCCCCGAAGGCTGCCACGAATTCACAGGCCAGGATAAACAAGCCTGCACCTACAGCGGCAAAGGGCCCATCCTATTTGTTTCCAGTTCGAAAACCAGCTCAGCGGCCAGTTCTTACGAGAGAGTCATCGGCTGAGAGAGCGACAGCCGTGGCAGCGTCAAGAAGCACCCTGGGCTACAGCAAAGGGAGAACAACATTGTCAACTATTCATAGCCCCGATCCGCCGCAGCCTGCCGGACGAAGCTTCACCCGGTCCGTAAGCACAGCATCTTCCGGGTCCGATACGACAATCACGCCGACTCGCTTTGCCCAGAGTCAAGCGTCAAAGACTGAAAACGGGGAGTTGAAGAAGCTGGAATTTCTATCCATCTTCGATGTTGACGAGGACGACGACGGCAACCTAGGCGGATCGGCTATGCCGCATGACGACGGGCTTGATGATGAATTTAAGTTGGACTTGGGGTTCTAGAGGCCAGTCATGGATTTAATCTGGAATTTCCAGCTCCATCATGAGCTACCTATAACTCAACAGAGGCCCTGGCTTGTATTACATGCATGCGTTTACGATCGGTGGATGTATAACTTGGCGATTGGGCGTTTGGGGCATACCACTTTTCAGATTGGCCAAGACTCTCCTTTGACTGGGTTGGAACAGGGAGGATTGGAATGTGACAAACTGAAGTCCTTTGGGAAAAGGGGTTGCGAATGAATCGCTGCTAAGAGTTTACGTCTCGTTTTTGAAGACGGCCTTAGTGTTACGGATAGACTTCCCAGCTTACTGGGATTATCAACACATTCTTCCCTAGTTGATATGAATATAGTTCCAACAATGCCGATCTCATTCCTAAATGATGATGATAGAACAAAGGACTGAAAGAAACCGTAAAACTTCCACAGCTCTGGTCGCATCAGCAGATTTATTGTTGACTAGAATCTCTCAGCTGGCAGCAGCTGCCACACCCCTTTGCCCATTAGTGCCGTGGAGCGCGGCGTACTAAAATCACAAGGTACGTACCAGACAGAGGCTTGCCTTGGTTTGGTTCCATGCTCACCCTCAGAACTAGCATCCCTGCTGGCAGCTTGGCTTGGACACTTTCCAGCCCTCTTCAAACTTTCTGACCTCACATCAAACCGTCTCCTTCGCGGCCAATTTTTCGCACCCCAGCATTCCGCCCGTTTGCAAGCACAATCTGCTGCGCTGACATCGGCAAAGACCTCTACAGACCCCTACCTGGGATTTTAGACTTTCGACCATCGATGAACGCCAAAACAAACATACCCATCATCACAGTGCGCCCGTCCGCTTCGGCAGAACGCCTGTCGCGTGGACGCTATATGCGCGCGTAATTTTACCGCAACACTCCCACATAATCCCATCGACACACATGCATGGTCGCTCTCAGCATCGCCGGCACGAGTTATGATGGTTGGAGGACGGTCGGCACGGTAGAACACCATCAATCTCACCATGACTCGCCCTCCAGGCGCGGGTTTCGCCCAGTACTTCCCGACCGCGCCGCGGGCCGCGAAAGACCGGGCGGCAGAGCGCGAGAAGGCCACGAGAATGAGAACCCTGGATTCTCTATCCTCCAATACTATTGACATCAATGGCCACCGTGCTTCGCTCAGCTCTGGACAAGAAAATGGTGTTTCGTCGCGGTCTCGCCGCGATGACCCTGGCTCTGATACTGCGCACCAACCTCCCGATGAGGCCGCCGAATCTGTCGCTGGGGATATTCCCAATACTGTTGGCTCTGCAAGCTCGAATTCCTCTGTGTTTAGCACGACGCGACAAGCTGTTGGGACACTATCGAAAACCCAGAGCAGCCTCATGACCCCTCCCACCACAATCGACTCCCCTTCCCACACAAACCCCCCCAGCTCAGCGAAGGCATATTCGACCACACCTCAACATGTCGAGAGGGTCAATGGATCTGTCTCCATTTCCAACCCGGCCGCTAACGGTGCTTCCACCCCTGTGCCAAGCGCTATCGAACGCGTACCCGCCCGAAACCCTGGCCGCTCGATCAAAGGCGTCAAGTGCACATATGACCCTGTTCTCGATCGTTCGCTCTCAAGCTCCGAGAAGAGAAAGGCGAAACCGATATACAAGGAGTTTGGAGTGGTACGTATATACAGAATATTACACCCGTTGCAGAGGGGGGAGCGTCATCTTCTTACATGAACTACCTGGCTAATGCTTTACGTATAGGACGATGAAGATGACGCTCCCCCCTCAGACCCTCGCCTGGCCAAAGGTGGGTGGCTCAACTACATTAATGTCGACTTCCATCTACCCCGTGCGCGTTTGCGCCATACACCCTATAACCTCAAACCGTATCCCTTCGATCCCAAGACTTCATGTGGGCCAGGGCCCCCTACCCAGGTCGTCGTGACCGGTTTCAATCCTTTGATCACCTTCTCCAAGGTCGCCGCTGTCTTTGCTTCGTTTGGCGATGTTGCTGAGAGCAGCAATAAGATGCATCCTGAGACTGGAAGCTATCTGGGGTTTGCTACCTTCCGATACAAGGACGCGAAGCCCAATCGTGTCCGACCCTTTGCCATAACAGCTATGGATGCCGCGAAACGGGCAGTTCGGTCGATGCATGGAAAGAGAATCGAAGCCAACCAGGTCCGGGTAGAATACGATCCGGAGGGTAAAAAGAGCTCGAGAATGCTGGAAGAAGTGCTCAAGTCGGGAAGAGAAAGGTCGCGAACGCCTGCCGCCAACGCGCCGAAGATCCCAACTGGTCCAAGACCAAAGGATGCTATCCCAGGACCGCCTCCTACTGCGCCAAAAGGTCCAGCGGCACATCGAACTCCCACCCCTGCGACCCCTGCGACCCCTGCCGAAGCTCCCTGGATGCCCATAAAGCCCAGATTACCGAGTCTGATCGAGCCCGAACCCATCACCAACCATATCAAGAGCGAGCCATACATCTTCGTGGCGCACGAACATGTTCCTGTTATGCACACCACAATTGCCCACATGAAGAAACGGCTCAAGACTTATGTGTTTGATGACATCCGTGCGGACAGGTCGGGGTACTATATCCTCTTTCGGGACTCGGGCCTTGGACGCGCCGAAGCAGAGCGCTGCGTGAGGGCCGCTGACGGAACTGCCTTCTTCACCTATACGATGGTGATGAAGCTTCATCTATACGGCACTGTGGGTCAGGCGTCACATCCTTCTTCAGATCCCCAGAAGCGGAGTCGAAGTCTGCAAAGAAGACCACCGGCTATAGATGCAAGGAGGCGAGACGAACAAGAACGGCTCCGGAGGGAGGATGAAGCCGACCTAGAGGAAGAAAAGAAGCAACGGGCGAAGAACTTCGACCCGGTTCTCGAAGCTGTTGAAGTTGTGCGCCGGGAGATGATGGAGCACTTGATCAAACATATCCGGACCAGGGTTGCGGCGCCAGCACTTTTCAACTATCTCGACCCTGCAAATCATGTTGCGAAGCGGCGCAAGTTGAATATCGAGAGGCCGCTAGGTTCGAGACTTCCCCCCATCGTCTTCGAAGATGCCGAGGATCGGTCTCCAGTCAGCACCCCAAATTCAAGAGCGGACCCCATTGAGCGGCGCACCGCCCGCCTGGATATTTCATCGCTGCCTCGAATTCGGAAAGCGAAGAACACAGGTCTGGGGCCTCGCAAACATGGCTTCAACGACCCCTTCGCCCGTCATCGGCCCGCAAGTGTGCGCCATGCCTTCCGCTCGCTGCACCACCGGCTCAAGGAAGACAGCGACGACGAGTCCGAGGACGAAACCGAGAACCGGGACTCGCTCGCAAGGGACACCGAGGAACCCGAATCCCGGCCCCGAAGCCGGATGAGCACGGATGACGAAGGGCTGAAAGATGAGTACGGCTCCTGGGGCCCTGCCGAAGATGATTCCATGACCGAGGCTAGCTTTGCCATTGACGGGTCGACGTTGGCGAAGAAGAGGAAGCTAGATCTGCAGATCGAGACGGCAATAAAGCGCCAGAAGAAGTCAGACGAGGAGCTCTTTGGAGTGTCGATCAATCGCATCGAGACCGAGCTCACCTCTCATGAAGCGCCCGAAGACATCATCCTTCAGGATGACGAGCTAGCTGAAGACAAGGAGACTGACAGTTCTCGAATGGGAACACCTGTCCCGGGCGGGTTCAAGGGCAAGAAAAAGCCAATAAAGCCCAAGAAGAAGTCCAAGAAGCAAATCTTTGAAGAGCGCGAGGCGCTCAAGAGACAGCAGCAGGAGATATATGAGGAGGAGGCTCTCCAACCGCCGGATCATGTCGATCGTGTCGACGAAGTTGAGCCGGTGCCGAAGACTGAGCCTGACGTGGTGAAGCCAATGGCTGAGGCAGCAGCGCAAGATAGCAAACCCGACCTGGACGAGAACCTCTACCCCATCTCGAAGACGTCTGCGCTTGTCCTACCACCAGATTTTGCTCTCGACGTCGCATCACTCCGGGGGCTGTCCCTGGGCGAAAGAGACGTCCCCGACGCAAGCAAGCTGAAGAAGTTCCGCGTTGGCGACATCGGCGATCCGGAGTTGTGGCTGTGGAAACGGGACCGGCTTCGCCAGTTGAACTCGAGGGACGGTTCTAATAAGTGGCCTGTTGCCATTGAAGGGTATTACGTGCCGAATCTCACCGGCTGTGCTCGGACCGAAGGCGTCAAGAAGATTCTGAACGCGGAGAAGTCCAAGTATCTGCCACACCACATCAAGGTCAAAAAGGCGCGAGAGGAGCGCCAGGCAAATGCGGCCGGAAAGGGCGCCGTCAAGGATGCGGCCGCCGCTGCTGCAGAGGCTGCCAGGCTGGCTGCTGAAAGCCTAGTAGCGAAGGGCAACTCTCGGGCCAATCGGGTCAACAATCGGCGGTTCGTCGCGGACCTGAACGACCAGCGGAAGACTCTCGGACAGGACTCGGATGTCCTCCGCTTCAACCAGCTTAAGAAGCGGAAGAAGCCGGTCAAGTTTGCGCGGTCGGCCATCCACAACTGGGGCCTGTACGCGATGGAGAACATCCCCAAGGACGACATGATCATTGAGTACGTCGGCGAGGAGGTTCGGCAGCAGATCGCTGAGATCAGGGAGAACCGCTATCTCAAGAGCGGCATCGGCAGCAGCTATCTCTTCCGCATCGACGACAACACGGTCATCGACGCGACCAAGAAGGGCGGCATCGCGAGGTTCATCAACCACAGCTGCATGCCCAACTGCACGGCCAAGATCATCAAGGTGGAGGGTAGCAAGCGCATCGTCATTTATGCCCTCCGAGACATTGCTCAGAGTAAGTGTTGGGTCCCCCTTCCCCCCCGCCCTCCCCCCAAATGCGTGCGTGCGTGACAGGTGGGCTGACAGAACACGCCACAGACGAGGAGTTGACGTACGACTACAAATTCGAGCGCGAGATTGGCAGCCTGGATCGCATCCCCTGCCTCTGTGGCACGGCTGCTTGCAAAGGGTTCCTCAATTAATCCCGCAGTGTATTTTGATATGCGAAGAGAGGGTGCCGCTAATTTTTTTGGGCGGACAAAACGGAACTATGGTGGCATTTGTGGCTCGGTTTCAAGGCGCCGTTTGGTGGGTTCTGGTGGGTTAATTAGCATTTGCAGGTTCATTTTGTTTGCCCTTCTCTTCGTCTTTTTTCCCCTTTGTTCTCGTTCTCCCACTTCAACGTCCTCCTTGGATGATCCACCGGTTGGTCTTCAACAAGATCGAGCAGTGAGCTTTATATACTGCATGTTTGGCGGTTGGGGCGTGGTTCGTAACTGGTGGGGCGGGGACCGTGTAACTTTCTTTCTCTTGCCATTGTTTGCGATGGGGCAATGCCGAACCTGTCGGGGCATTTGATGGGAGAGTTGTTGATGATATCAAAGCTAAATGCAAGAGAAGAAAGGAGATGGGACGGGATGGTGCGGATGGGATGGGATTGCAGTTGCCCGGATGGGCTGCTGTCTGGAAAAGAAAAAGAAAGGCAAGGGATAAGGCTCCCATCTCCAGCTCTTCCTGGCTGGTCACAGGGGGGATCGAAGGGAGATCCAGGCGTACTGCTCAGAAGCTCGCGGGAGATAGCGTGGATTTTTTGAGGCAGTCACCGGAAGTATAAAACTGCATGCCTTGTACATACATATAAAAAAACGACCAGAGGGCCGTTAGTGCCCTAATGTATATCTACATAGTCCAACAGAGCAGCAGTTGTTGCTAATTAAATGTCCAATTATTGCATGCGCTAGAGATGTTGATACAACCTCGTCGCCTCCACCTGGATATGTAGCTTGACGACTTTTTGAGGCAATTACCACCGAACAAGGTAGTTATAGTTACTCCCCAGGTAGTTACCCCATCACCGAGCCCGGCCCGCCCCCCTCAACCATGGCCGACCTGCCCTGCCTCGCCTCGGTCTTGAGCTCGCTCTCAAAGATGTCAACCGAGAGGCTCGCCTCGAGGAACTCCTCCAGCTCCTCGGTGACCGTCTTCAGCTTCTCCTTGACGGCGATGCTGCCCTCGAAGCCGACAATGTGCCTCGCGGGCGGGTTCTCGTGGCCGCCGATGGCGGTGAGGGCGTGCACGGTCTCGGTGACGAGGCGGTCGACGGACGAGGCCGGGAGCTTAGGGTAGCGGGACTGGACCTGGTCGTCGTCGTCGCCCTCGCCACCGGCGGAGGCGGTGGAGGGGTCGAGGGCGGTGTCCGGGTTGGCGTTGAGGACGTTTGCGAGCATGTCGCGGACGCTCGGGGCCGGGTTGGCCTCGCTGTCGTAGCAGGGCAGCTGGGGCACGAAGACGATGCGGTTGGTCAGGGCCGGGATCTCCTTGTTGGGCTGCACAATGGTGACCTTGATGTTGAAGGGCGCGATCTCGTAGGCCAGCGAGTCGCAGAAGCCCTCGAGCGCCCACGTCGCCGCCGTGTGCATGCCCAGCCCCGGCGTGCCGATGTGACCGCCGATGCTGGTCAGGACCATGATGTGGCCCGTGTGCTGGGCCCGGAACTGCGGCAGCGCCGCCTTGATGAAGTTGACCTGCGAGAAGAACATGGTCTCGAACTGGTCGCGCACCAGGTTCTGGGTCGCAGGGGTCGTGGAGAGCTCCTCGACGGTTCCGACCACGGCTGCGATTGGGGGGGGGGGGTGGGGTCAGCGAGTGTTGCCGCGTCTCTCTCTCAACATGAGAAAAGAAGGGGGGAACAAGTACCTTCGAATTTACAGCACAACAAGATGTCTATGCGGCCGAAGACGTGGACGGCCTCGGCGATGGCGGCGCCGCACTGGCCCATGATGCGACCATCGCAACGGATCCCTCGGATGCGGTCCTTCCAACCCTCCCTGTCCTTGCGGTTGCTCTTGCACTCGTTGACGAGCTCGCGGAACTCGGCGCTACGGTCCTCGTGCTCGATCTCGTGCGGCGGCAGGCAGGCCACCACGTAGTCGCCGTGGGCCAGCAGCAGGCGGATCAGGCGGATGATGAGGGGCGAGAGCGACGAGGTGAGGAACCAGGTCCTTGGCGAGTTGTGGGTCGCTGCGTGTTGCATTAGTTTTGCTTCCAATCTTTCTGCGACGCTGTCATCGCAGGGGGAGACAGGGGTGGGGGTGCCGCACGGAACGAGGCCGCAGGGATCGAGTGCGACTGTCTTCCGGGCGCGGCTTCCGGATTCTTTCGGTCTGTCATGCTTTTGCTGTCGTCTGTGGACAGGTGTGGGTGGGCACGGGTGGGGTCGTCGGCTACAGCTCTGCTAGCCGCTCCCCAGTGTGCAAGGGAAGGTGAGGCTCAAAAATGAAGGATACGAGGGGTGCAACATCACAACCAGACACTGCTAATAATACAGCGAAGCGAGAACAGGTTCTTGTGAGTCGGCAGGGCTGCCCGTCTGTAACGGGGGTTGCGATCTGGCTATTATAGGCAGGCTCTGCGCTAATAAGGGGCACTAAGCGTGGCATGAGTAGTGGAGCCCGAGCGGCAGTTGTTGGATCTTGGACGCGATCTCGGCCCCTGGGATGGCTAGATATCAATGCGCGCAGACCAGATGAGCCTTGGAAGCTTGCCCTACAGGCTTTGGCGGCGGAGAGAGTTGACAAAACATGAACAAGTTCAACAGGGCAGCGCCATGTCACCCGCAAGAGGTAAACTCCCAATGCATCCACCCGAGGTAGGAATGTTAACAGCAGAGGCCCGGCCCCGACTAGATTCAAAACCCCGCCCCTAGTGGTCGGTTAAATACCTAGGTGACTACATGCCGCCAAACGCGCCTGGGATTCGAAAGAGCAGCCCGTCAGTTGGTCACCCCGCACCCACCCGCCCGCCACTGCATGCTCAAGGAAGGACCCCCCACCTCGAAGATCCTGGGACCCCACGTTGCGGGGCTACTCAGCTCCTGCCGGCGCCTGTGAAAGTTTCTCGTAAAACCTGGGGAAGCATTGAGTCACGTAATTCGCGGTTGATCCGACACCGGCCTCCGTCCGGTTTTTTAATACTCATCTTATCCCTTGATTTGGATCGCTGCACCCACTGTTTCCCTCGCGTTCTCGTCATAACATTTGACACTAGTCAAGGGCCGTCTCTCTTCGTGCCGATATTCCAACAATCGACTCTCGAATCCCCGACCCCGCTAGTGGGATACCTGACCCCGCACCGGCCCCCCCGTCACCAAAGATATGCCCACTCGCCCCGAGATCACCTACTTCGGCGCCGGCCCGGCCGCTCTACCGACCGATGTGCTCGAGACCGCCGCACAAGCGCTGCTCAACTTCAATGGCACGGGCCTGGGCATCGCCGAGCACAGCCACCGCTCCGAGCTGGCTACCAACGTGATCAACGAGGCCAAGGCCGACCTGGCCTCGTACTTGGACATCCCCTCGGACTACGACATTATATTTATGCAGGCCGGCGGAACCGGAGAATTTTCCGCGACCGTGTACAACCTCGTCGGCGCGTGGGTGGTGCGCCAGAAGGCTGCCGTGCTCAAGGAGCTCGGCGTGGCCGACGAGAAGGACGCCGACCAGGACGCCGTTGTCGCCGCCCTCCGCAAGAAGATCGACGCCGGCGAGCTCAAGCTAGACTACATCGTCACCGGCGGCTGGTCTCTCAAGGCCTACCAGGAGGCGCAGCGCCTTCTGGGTCCCGAGCTCGTGAACCTCGTGGCGGACGCCCGGACTGCCAACGACGGCAAGTTTGGCAAGATCCCCGACGAGAGCACCTGGAAGCTGTCCAAGGACGCCGCCATGGTCTACTACTGCGACAACGAGACGGTCGACGGCGTCGAGTTCCCCACCTTCCCCAAGGTGCTGGCCCCCGGTGCGGACGGGCAAGGACCCATCGTGGTGGCCGACATGTCGTCCAACATCCTGTCGCGCAGGGTGCCGGTGACGAACTACTCGATCTTCTTCTTCGGCGCCCAGAAGAACCTGGGCTCGACGGGCGTCACCGTCGCCGTGATCAAGAAGAGCCTCCTGCCCCCGACGACGACCCAGCCGTCGCCGGCGCTGATGCGGAAACTCGGCCTCCCCATCCCGCCCATCATGCTCTCCTACGAGACAATTGCGAAGAATAACAGCTTGTACAACACTCTCAGCATTTTCGAGTAAGTCGGAAGTTGGACCGCGGAGGGGGTTTTGCTCGTTTTCCAGCTGACGGTTTGGCACCTAGCGTCTATATCGCCGGTCAGGTGCTGAAGAAGCTGCTCAGGACCTACCCAGACAAGGTCGGCGGCCAGGAGGCACTGTCCGAAAAGAAGGCACAGCTGATCTACAGCGCGTTGGAGGCGCACCCGGACGTGTACAAGATCATCCCGGACAAGTCCGTCCGGTCGAACATGAACATTTGCTTCCGCGTCACAAAGGCAAGCCTCCTTCCCCCCAATCAAGCTATTTTGGTTTACCCCCTGTATCCCCTACTCCTGACACCAAATACCAGAACGGCACCGTCGACGAATCCGAAAAGGCCTTCCTCAAGGAGTCTACGGCCCAGGGCCTGACGGGCCTCAAGGGACACCGTAGCGTGGGTGGCATACGGGCGTCCAACTACAACTCGATCCCGCTGGCCGGTGCGGAGAAGCTGGCGACGTTCATCGAGTCGTTCGCCAAGGCCTGAGTCCTCATTACTGTGTGGTAAAACTTAGGAAACGAACTGTCGAGGGCGAAAAGGAGGTTTAAAGGGCATCTGGCGGGTCATGGAGCGTGTGCATGGGATGGGATATTTCGGCCGGGGTGAAAGGGGGTAGCCGGTTTCTCGGCTCTTCAACGAGACACGAGACTTGTGGATGTACTACGTACTTCTACGGAGAGAAGTCATGATATCCAGACTGGCAATTTAAAGTCATCTTTGTGATACTTGTTTAATCCCAGATGCTTGCTACTTCTCAATTGTGAGGGTGTCGGTGTCGAGTACACGGAGGGAGCATTTTAAGCTATCGGCATTTCGCAGTTTGGTTGGCGACGGCAAATACCCCTTGCCTGGCACATATACATTATCGGCGTCCTTGCACTGCAAATCCGCACTTCCCTCCTTCCGGCAGAGAAGGCATCATGTAGCCACCCCCGAAAAAGTGGTCAATACCTCAAGACCCATCAATCTCAGCCTTGAGCCAGGCCGGCAGCTCAGGCACCATATCCCACCCGTCGAGGTACGACTCCCTCGGCACGCCCTCGCCATCCGGCTTCGCGTAGATGGCCGAGACGTACCAGACGGTCTCCCCCGCGGCGACGGTGTGCTGCAGCGTCGGGATAGCGGTGCGGCTCTCGACGAGGTTCGAGTTCGGGTCCGCGTTGACCAGCGTGGCCCTCCGCCCGACCCCCTCCGCCTCGAGAGCCCTGATGCCGACGGCGCCCCTGGAGACGGCGAACGCGCCCTCGCGGCCCCTCGCCCAGGCCTCGGGCGTGGCGACGTCGTAGTTGCCGATGATCCTCGGCCGCGTGCCCTCGCACGCCGCCGCGTCGTACGGGTCGAGGTAGCGCCCGTCCAGGGCCCGCTCGTTGCGGATGGCGAACGACCCGTCCGCCGTCATGACCTCGCGCCCGGCCTCGATGCGGTGCGCCCGCAGGTGCCAGTTCGGCGTGGCCTCCTCGGGCGGGACCAAGTACGTCTTGATCCTGACGTCGGGGAACGGCCTCCACGCCGACACGAGCACCGGCTTGTCGCCGCGCTGCTCGATCCCCGCGTACTCCGAGACCCGCCTCGCCTTCCAGAACTCGCCGCCGTCGTCGGAGAGGCCCAGCTGCGACGCCAGCGCGTACTGCTCGAGCGTGAACAGGCCCGGCGGGACCGAGTACGCGTACGCGCTGCTGTAGGCGAAGCCGCCGTACTTGGCGTGCGTGCCCTTCATTGGATAGCTGCAGGCTTGGCCCGAGGAGAGCAGCATACAGTGGCCGCCGAGGTAGCTAGGCGTTTGTCAGCTTTCTACCGTGTGTTCCAGACTCTGCGGGACTGACCTCATGATGTGACCTGGGTGCTTGAGTGCTTTGACCTTGGGGATCGAATCTCCGTGGTATTCTTCTTTCGAAGTCCAGAACGGGTGGTCCTCCGGCACCGCCAGGCAGATGAAAGCCAGGCAAGCCCAGTACTATGGTAGGTTTAGCTAGTCTACGCCATATTGGCGTGGATGGGTAGACTTACTGGGCTCCCAGGGCTGTTATAATTCTCCGCCATCTGTGTGTCACGAAAAGTGAGAAACGAAGCCCACAGCTCTCGTGGGAGGGAGCAAGACACTTACATACATATTGGGATATGAATACCCAATAGTAAGCGTCCCGTTTGGGCTCCACATGTTATCCTGGGTCTGCCACCACCTGAGGTGCCGAAGCACGATGCCCTTCACCATGCCCCAGGTCAAGGGGGCGGGCAGCTCGACACCAGCGTAGGCCATAGCGCCCCAGAACGAGACCATGGCGAACCTGTATCCCACGCTTCGTCCAAAGGGAATGGATCGACCTTTCTCAAGTAGTCAGCATCCACTTCCGAGGAAAAGGCAGCACTTGTGAGGGCAGGGAGAGATCATCATTACCTTCTTTATCGTAGTAATGCACCAGGTCTAGCGCCGCCATCTGGGCCCTCTTCTTGAACTCCTCGGCGCGGGCCGGTTCGTCGTCGGCGGCCAACTTGGCGTACAGCAGCTGCAAGAAGTGGATAGCGAAGCTGGACGAGTAGTAGTCCATCTGGTGGATGCCCTCAGGCCCGTCGTTTGACCAGCCGTCGCCGCGGTAGAAGGTGTTGAGGTGCTCGATGTCAGCGTCCAGCCTCTCCTGCGAGAACCTCGCGCCATTCTTCTTGAGGCCGAGGTTCGCAAACACGCGGAACCAGAGCCAGTTTGTGTTTGGCATGTCCTTCTCGTTGATCGAGTTGCCCAGCCACTGCTCGACGTTGGCCCTCTCGCGCCCCGACAGCGAGTCCCACAGCGCCGGCGCCACGGCCAGCGCGTACCCCAGCGGGCACATCTCCACCATCCTCTGGTCGTTGTCCCGCGGGTGGCCCCAGTACTCGGGGCTCTCCGGGTCCGTCCCCGCCCGGATCCCCTGCACCCACCAGTCCGTGCCGTGGTACTCGCCCCCGCCCGCCAGCAGGCACGCCAGCCCCCACAGCGGCCGGCAGAAGCCCTCCACCTCGGACGCCGTCTGGTCGAACCGCACCGCCGTCGCTCCGGGGCAGCGGACCCGCGCTTTTTGAGGCGAGAAGAAGGGGTCCAGCGGGTCCAGGAGCGTCCGGAGCAGCTCCTGCACCGAGGCCCGGTCCGTGATGTCCACCTTGGAGAAGGGGTGGCGGCCGTTGTAGCCGAGGACGAGGCCGGTCTTGGCGTCTGCCATGGTGGTGGTAAGGCTAGGACTACCAAGCTAAGACGAGGGGGAAAGGGGGGAGGGGATGTATGTATCTCGTTGTAAGTCTTGGGGGTTATGCAGCTTATAGACTAGGCTAGAATCACAGCAGACAGCAGCAGCTCCCCAGACAAGAAGCTGAGAGACGGAAAGGAGAGTGAGAGATCAGAGAAGCAACCAACATCGTCTCGGAGGGTCGACTGGTGGGGGTCACGGCCTGGATGATATACTTGACTGACATAACCCAGGTAGCATTGAGGGGTTGAGCTGCGATCGGAGCTCTGTGGGGCCATCCAGGTTCGCGGCTAATTGCAGTGGGAGGAGCTCGAACAACGACAACGTCTCATCGTGGGGCCGTGGGCCGGACTTGGCACGGAAAGGAAATGGCCAATCTTCGATGGCAACAGGCACTCTCATTGGTAGGCAAGAGTATCTTCTTCGCTCGGGACTAGAATATCCGCCCGACTCGGCAGGATTTATACCGTAGGCACGGGGACCTCCGTGGTTTGTCATCGGCGTAATCTACTCGCGCCGGGGACTTACAGCAGATGGTGGAAGTTTTTCCACGGCACTGTGGCCATTGATTGCTGTTGATGGCAATTGCCATTGCTTCCGATAGTTCTCGACACGATAAGGGATGTGGACAAACCAGCAACGAGTATTGCTGTGCAGCACAACAAGTTATATCCAGTACAGGTCCAAGAATCGAAATGATATCATCGTCTTGATATACGATATAAACTACAATGTTGTATAATTCCGTCGACCAGAGAGAGGGGACTGGAACCAGGCTTTTTGGATTCAGACCCGCCTCCACGCCCTCCCAACTCAATCCAAAAAATCCGCCCATGGAAATAATAGCGTTGTCCCTCGTGGAATGGCCGGCGAGGCGGTCTTGATCTTGTCGGGAATTCAGGAGAAGGACGGAAGTGCCCGGTCGAAGAACCAGCAACTGCAAAGCACCAGTCGCCCTGCCCTAAACACCAACCACACCCCTGGCCATGTTGCTGGAGGTTCATCCCCGTTCGAAAGCCTCCCCCCATATTCCCGGTCTGCAAAGGACTCGAATAAAAAAACAAAGGCTGTATGTACTGCAAGGGCTCCCCCTTCAAAAGAGCAGTTGTAGAGACTTCCAACTGATGCAAACGGTCCTCCCCATGCTGATCATCTCCGCCCTCCACCAAGTAAACATTACGTACTGTATAACCAACCCTTCCATCTCTGGGAGGAAGCTGGGCTTTCATCCTCTTCTTACTCGCCATCCCTTTCATCCCCCGGGGCTTCCTCGGTCGTAGGCGTTAGCGCATCTCCCGCATCCGCCATCGCGTCGTCTCTGCCCGTCCCGTCGCCGCTGGGCGTCGTCTTCTCCCGCCTGCGCCTCCTCATCCGCCTCTCCTCGTCGGCCGTCTGACGCCTCGACCGCCGCAGGCTCTCCCTCTTCTCCGCGTCGGCGGCGTCGTCCGCACCGTCGCCGACGCCGCTCCGCATCCCCTGCAGCAGCATCGCCGCCCTCTCGGCGACGTCGTCCTCTCCCGCCTCCTTCGGGCTGAGTAGGTCCGGGCTGAGCGGGTTGGGGTTCCCGTCCTCGTCCATCAGTCCGCTGCCCGCACTCCTAGCGCTCTGTAGGCCCGACTCCAGCTCGGGGATCTCGTTGAGATCGGGGATCTTCTGGCCGCTGGCTATGCGCACCTGGTGGCGATCCTTGAGCCGCGCCCTCCTCCTCCTGTCTCTCTGGTCTCTCGCCTGCGGCGCGGCGGCGCGCAGCTTCTCGAGCAGGCTATCCATGGCGCCGGCGCTGATCGGGCTTGCCGGTGCGCCCTCGATCCCCGCGGCGCTCATCATCTTGAGCTGCGCGTGCTTGCGCTTCATGCTGGCCTCGTTGCGCTTACGCGTCTCCTCGAGCTGGATGTTCTTCTCGCGCGACTTCTTCCACTCGCTGACAAACAGCGCTAGCTTGGCGAAGAAGTCTCTCCTGGCGTTGTCGTCGGTGGGGTCTTCGCCGTAGAAGACCATGATGTCGTTGTAGGTCCTCACCATCTCCTCGAGGTACAGCTGCATCTGCTCCGCCTTGCGGCGAGCGTCCTTCATGCAGCGCTGCACCACCTGGGACACTCGGTCTTGCGGGTGGAACTTCTTGGGATCCGACAGGTTGCCCGAGTCGAGGCTCATCTGCACGTTCCGGACATTGTCAATGTACCTCTTGGCATCCTGTTGCAGCTGCTCGATGTTGATCTTCTGTGTGGTGAGGACACCCGTGATATCGTCGGTGAAGTTCTCCCACTCCGGATACTGGTTTCGAACGATGCGCTCAACGAGGTCGGCCAGCGTGGATTCATTCTTATCATCCTTGACCATTCCCAAGCGGGCCAGGGACGAGAGTTTGAAGCCGCGCGCCTGCTTGTTCGCATCATTCATGTAGTTGCCAATGTCCAAGATGAGGCCCAGGACGTTCATCAACGACACCGAGTCTCTCAACGACTCGGAGATGCTGACGACTAGGCGGATCTTCTCAGTGATCTCCTCGTATTCCGGCTCGAAGCTGCGGGTCAGTGCCAAGGCCCGCATCCTGCTCTTCCAGTAATGGTGGAGCTCGAAGGCGGTTTGAAGGTAGATCTGATCTTGCCTCGTGAGTTCGGCCGGGTCCTGTTCCCTGTTCTCCTTGTTCGCTTCCGGACCCGTCCAGTCCTTGCTGTAGGGAGCCATCTGTTTCGATACGTTGTCCGGGATGTTGCATAGATCGTCCTTCTGCAAGAAGTCCATGACAACAATGTTGTCGAGCACTTCCTTCTCACAGTGGATGATCATTTGCGTAACCCTGTCAACAGGATATTGAGAAAACTTTGCAAGAGCGATTTCTAGAAAGTGTGTCAGGGCCAAAACTGGAAACTAGAGAAAAAAACTCGTTCAGACATGGAATGCTTACCGAATGCTTTCCGCAGATCGTTAGAGATGATCTGCTTCTTGTCATCCTTCTTCCCGCCTGCTTGGCCAAGCTTCTTGATCTCCTTGGCCATAAACAGCTTCTCAACCTCGTCCAGGATACCCTTGCGACTGAGTTCGAGATACTTCTCTTCCCTCTCCTCAGCGGACGGGGCATGGGCGGCCCAATGCGTAGTCAGAGGAGAGTCGACCTTGTCCCAATGCAGTGCCTTAAGTTTCTTCTTGGGCCGGACAACGGGGAGGCCGATCGACGCGGTTGAAGTAAATGCCGGCTGCTGAGACAAGAAGCGGCCCGACATAGACCCTGCGCCCGGCATTGGAGGAGGCGGCGGGGGTGGCATGCCCTTCGCGCCAGGCATGGGAGGAGGAGGCGGCGGTGGCGGAGGAGCACCGGTGAGGGTTCCGGGCATCGGAGGGGGAGGAGGGGGGGGTGGCGGCGGAGGTCCTGCAGCGGACGAAGGGGAGAGCATTCCAGGCATGGGAGGCGGTGGCGGGGGCGGAGGCGGAGGAGGAGCACCGGGCAACTGGCCCGGCATGGGGGGGGGAGGCGGCGGCGGTGCTGGAGTAGCCGTGACCTGGATTTTTGGTGGTTCGTTGTCACTCGGAGTGATGGGAGACTGCGACTCGAGGCTGGGATGTGAAGGACCGGTCGTCACGCCGTCGCCCTCTTCGGAATCGCTGCCATCGTACCGCTTGACCTTGCCTGCGAGCTCGTTGAACATTCCGGCGGAGGCCTGCCTAGGGTCTACCATCGGTCTCTTGATCTCGACAAGGCGCGGCTTCTCATAGACAATGCCTTCATCATAGGTGTCGTCGTCCTCTGCGCCGCCTTCGATGCGCTCGCCCTGTGAGTTGACGGTCCTTCTCGGTGTCCTCGTCTGCCGACGAACACTACCAAGCATGCTGTTGGTAAGGTCTCGTGGGGGTGCCCCCAGGCCAGGGGTGCCCTCGGCCCCTGCAAAGCCATCCATCTCCTCTCGCAGCGCACGCAACCGGTCCGAGGGGCCCGCAGCGTCGCCCCAGACTCGGCCTTCGAGCTTGAACTGGGTCTTCTGGCGCTCGATCTGCATCTGAAGCCGTCCCATGAGCCTATCACGGTCGAGGATTCCTTGCATGCGCACCGGGTCGTCGTCTCCGAGTTTCGAGCCACCCTTGGCGGCGTTGGCGGCAGCTACGTCTTGGGCATCACGGAGCATGAGGTATAGCTCGCGCGTCTCCAGCTCGTACCGTTGCGCCTCCTTGTTCCTGACGGTTTGCAGGCTCTCCAGCTCGGATTTGAGCCCATCGGCCTGCCTCCGTTGGGCATCGATGAACCTCGCCTGCTCGTCCAACTGCTTCTGGAGCTTCGCTACCAACCCGTCCGCGCCAAGGGCCAGCCGCTCCCTCATCTCATCCCGCTCGGCCATGGCGGCGTCTGCTATCTGCCGCGCCTCTAGAGCCTCATCTTGAGCCTGGCGAGCCTCGGAGTCGGTGTGCAGCTTGTCCAGGAGGCTCTGCACGGTGAAGTTGAGGCTCTGTTTCAGATCCATGTCCGGCAGTCGCCGGTCCATGGCCACGTAGCTGAGCATCGAGTCCACGAGCTGGAACATTCGGAGTCGCTCCTCGCCGTCGTTGTCTCTGATCAGGAGGAGGTGCTGGAGAGCAGAAACGAAGTAGTCTTGCGTCTTGGAGCCCTGTAGCCGTTGCTGGATGGCGTCCACGATCTGCACGGGGTCGCTTAGATCCTTCACATCCCCTTCGATGCTGTCCTTGATGCTGCTATTCTCCCGCTCCAGCACGTCCTCGTAGTCAATAGCCTCGTTCGTGCGGAATTTCTCGATCTGCTTGTCTATCAGGTCGTACTGGAAGGCCTCCATCTTGGTCAGGATTCGCTTGATCCCGCACGCAGTGAACTGCGCCCGGATGTGGATTCGCAGCTGGAGATCCTTCTCCGCGGCATCGACCATCATGTTGATGAGGATGAGGGTGGCGACGGCGTATTCCATCAGGAGGTTCTCCATGCCAATGCCGCCGCTCCGTACCTCGTCGCTCGCCCCGACGAGACTGCCCATTTTCCCGCGGCCGTCGACGGTGACCTCGACGAGGCGCATCCAAGCATCAAACCGGCCATTTTCGCTCTGCTGGTTCTTGACGAGGTCCATGGACTGAATGACCCTGAGGTGGCCATCTCCGTCGGCCCAGTGGCATAGGAACGTCAGAACCTCGCTGACCAGCTTGCGGGTCGTGAGTCGCGGCGAGATAAGGGACGAGACCAGTGCCACGATGACTTGCTGGTGCGTCAGGGCATCGTCAGCGCCGAACTTGTTGTTCATCAGCGCCTTCAGACACTTGATGATATCGTACTCCTTGTCCAGGGCCTTATCTCCCTTGCCCGAGTCAGGCCCCGCCGGTCCGAGGGCGGTCTTGCGATTGATTTTCATCAGCACATTTGTAAGTGCGACCTGACCCTGGCACTCGATAAACCGCTTCACCCAGCCTATCTGCTGGGTCCTAAGGTTGACCTCCAGGCTGCCCAGACCTTTGGCGTCGAGCTCGTTGCCCATCACTTTGCGGACATACCACTCGGGGCTCCCTTCCTCGTCCGAGTACTGAGCAATGTCGACGTTCGAATACTGGCCGATCTTGGCCGTCTGCCTCCGCCTCTGTTCGCCCTGCCATTCCGTCAAGCGGTCCTGATAGATGAGAGTCCATTTCTTGACGGCGGGATAGGCCATCATCTGCCTCCTTGCCTGCTCCGGGAGGTTGTGCCACCCTCGCTTCTGCATCAGTGCCTGGAACATCTGATCGATTACGTTGTCGTCGTCAGGTTTGGGGAAGTAGAAGCCCTCCTGTGAGCTTGAGCCTGAATGTTGTGGTCCTGGAAACTTGGTCAGGCGGTGCGAATCCCTCTGGGACTGGTGGGACGAGTAGGACGACTGGGACGAGGCACTGGGGAGTGCTGTTCTTGATAAGCGACTGGGCACTGCCTGTTCATAATAGGGACCTCCATTACCTGAAAAGATACTCGACTGGTCTGCCGAGCTACGCCCAGCGGACGGTGTGTAAGAGTTATATCTGGAGTTGTGGGAGCCCGGCGCGCCGCTTTCCCTGCCGGGGCCCCATTGCTGGAGTTGTGTCTGACGTCCAGTCGACGCCATGGTAATATTCCCGGCGCCAGGCGGGGGCCGAGGTCCGGAGAGATGGCCGACAGAAGGATTGTAGACAGAAGAGGGATCCACGTTCGGGTACTGGTGGAAGTCGCCGGTGACTTTGTTTAGTTGGTGCGGGAGCAGTTCGCGCCTGACGGGCATCTGGTCACCTTTCGGGAGGTAATCGACGGGGATTGGTGAGCGCCGGTCGGCAGAGACGCTATCGTAGGGAATGGTGGTCATGACGCCGGCCATCATGTTAAACCCCGAGTCCGGGGTGCTGGGGCGGTCGAGTGATATCACGGACGACTCTCGGTTGTGGCGCGAGGTGCGCGATGATAAGGAGCTGACCGTGTCGTAGTCGGCGACCAGGTGCCTGCCGTCATCGCTCGTGTTTCGCTTGTCGGACTTGTTCTTGGATCGGGAGAAGAAGGACGGCCTGCTGCCCGAGGAGGCCCTGGACTTGTCGTAGGAAGACATACCCAAAGTCGGGGGCGGGACGTGTGAAACGGTCGCGCGCTCTCGGGAGCAATCAATATGCCAGCGTGGTCGAGTGGATGTTTCTTTGGAAAGGTGGTCCTCAATGCGAACGAACGAACGGCAAGCCGACTCGTGCGGACAAGTGAGTGGATCTGCCGTTAGTGGACTCTGTGTCTCAGACCCCAGGTTGATGGCATCATGTCCTCAGTCTACGGCGCGGATTTGACCATGAGTTCTGTTGCATGAAATCGGGGCAATTTAGCATGACTGTCTCCAGCCAGGTACCTCCTCCAAGCTGTTGCGTGGGAGGACGAGGTCTAGAAGGGGGATCCTTACGTAGAGTGGCTTTATTATGCGGGATCCGGTTATAGCCTTCTGAGTTCGAGGGAAGATAGGGTTTCTTTTCGAGAAAGCGCCCCTGGACGAAGCGATACTTTTACTCGATGGGCTAACAGCTGGAAGCGATTGTCACGGGGGTGGCGTCGTGTGGAGATGCCTTGGCGAAAAAGAAAGAAGGAGAATAGGTATTAGAGACTGGGCTTCCTTCTCGATTTGTTCTTTCGGCTCAAACGAATGCACCCCTCAGCAGCGCAGAGGCCATGGGTCAGAAAGACAGAATCGATAAGGGAAAAGGGTCGATGGGAGAATGGCTGTCGTGTCGTGGTCTGAAACGGGGTTAGTTGGGGATCCTGGGGATCTTCCCCTGAGCGTCTCGACGTTTCCGTTCGGGCGAATCGTTATCACAAACACGCTAAGTACAGATTGCACTTACTCTAGGTAGCACTCTGATGCATCCAACCCCCCAGCTGGTAGCCTTTTCACATTGACCACATTGACCTGTCAAAGCGGACGGTGCCACGAGGGTCCAAGTCAATTGATCGATGGATAGGTACACTTATGCAATTCGGTTGAAACGGTCTGAAGTCGAGGCTGAAGTCGAACCTTCCTGAGTGGACTAGAAGTTAGGTAGGTAGGTACCTACCTAAGTACCTGAGTGCGAGGCAGTTTTTCTGGGCGCGTATTTATTAAACTTTCTAAGTACATACCTAGGTACAGATTGAACGATTAAGATCTAGATCCAGAAGCACGATAACGCAGTTACATATCAACTGGGCAGAAATGGCCCCCGAGTAACATCATTGGTTTGGCAATTGCAGGTACCTACCTACACATGCCTATATATCTCAGTACCTACATTTATTGTGTGAATGTTCGACCACGGTGCTCCTCCATCTGCATGTGCATGCAGGATAAACGCAGGTTTGATGCAGGCTTGAAGAACGGGCCACCAAAACCTGAAACAAATCTGCTTATGTAAGTCACTAGGAGGTTCATTGGTACCTCTTGTACAATACAAGTCAAGTCATATCACTCAAATGGCATTATCTCTGATAACCCTCAAAATAAAGGGCAAAAAACGAAAACGACTGTAAGAAGCGAAGAGCAGTAGAATCCAATACCTGAATAACGTTCCCTCGCATCCAGTCATTTTAAAGTGTCCAACGCAACATATCGAATACAAGTGACTCGGGCTGCGACCAGCCATAAGCATCAGCCACTAGAGCTTCAGTTACCGCCGCCGAAACCGCCGGCTGGAGGGCCGCCAGCTGGGGGACCACCCGCTGGGGGGCCGGCCGGGGGACCACCGTCACCCTTTCCCTTCCCTTTGCCCTTGCCGTCACCCTTGCCGCTGCCCTTGCCCTTGCCCTTGCCGTCGCCGTGGCCGTCGCCGTGGCCGCTTCCCTTGCCGTCACCGTGGCCGTCTCCCTTGCCGTCACCGTGGCCGCTTCCCTTGCCGTCACCGTGGCCGCTTCCCTTGCCGTCACCGTGGCCGTCACCGTGGCCACTTCCCTTGCCATCACCGTGGCCATCACCGTGGCCGTCACCGTGGCCGTCACCGTGGCCGTCACCGTGGCCGTCACCCTTGCCATCGCCGTGGCCGTCTCCCTTACCCTTCCCCTTGCCCTTGCCCTTGCCCTTACCATCTCCGTTCTCAGCATCGCCGCCGGAGACGACAACCCCCTGTGGCTCGCGGGCCAGGAGGACGTCGAGAGCGTCCCTCTTCTCGACCTCGAGCACCTCTCCCTATTTGTGAGTTACTGGGTCAGTATGCCTTGTTCAAAACCGCTTGTTCCATGGATTCGTTCCACGGGAGACTTTAGACGTACGATGATGGCACGCTCGTTGATGGCGACTGCATTCCTGGCCTCGGTAGGGAGGGTGCGCCCCAGGATGGGTGTGAGCAGCAGGGCTGCGAGGAGGAGCTTGCTGGCCATTATGGGTTGGGTTGGGTAGAAGAGTTGTTAAGTTTGCTGAGGTTGAGGTCTTTTTTGGATGCTGCGATGACAGTCAAGATGAGGTGAAGGCTGAGTTGGAGACTGGCGTTCCATTTGAGGCGCCATGGGGCATGTCTTTATATAACAACGACAACGCCAAAGAACGATGTCCTCATCTAGAGCCGTCCTTACGACTCCGCATGCAGTAGGTAGATGAAGAGGGTAAGGGAGACGATGTGAACGTGAACGCTCCATATTGCAGATTGCCTTGCGCGTCCCTGCTATGTCTAAAAAAAAAACCGTTGAGACCTGTCTCGGAGGCGGAGGACGCGACGATGTCTCGTCGGTCTATGAATTCAACCGGCACAAGCGAAAGGAGGGGGTTTTTTGATCTCCTGCCGTGCACGGAGCGAGTGTGTGCCACCCACAAATGCCCGTTTTCCAGGAGGAGGAGCCGGAGCATCGTAGGGGAGTCCTCATAGGAGATCGAAGTCCGGATGATGCAAGAAAAGGGGGGGGGGGGGGGGGGGGGAAAAAAAAACCAACAAAAACCAACGCCGGGGGTTAAAACTTGAAAACACAAACCCCGGTTATTTGGGCGTGCACCGCCGGGGGCATAGAAAGTTTTTGAGCCCGGGTG